AATTTGAACTCTCTAACTCTAAAAACACAAAAGTTATACCATTTCCGATCAATCAGTTATATGGCAGCTATAGGATATAGTCGGCCGATCCGGGCCGTTCCGACTTATATACTGCGTGCAAAGGAAAGAAGGGTGTGTGCAAAGTTTCAAGTCGATAGCTTTAAAACTGAGAGACTAGTTCGCGTAGAAACAGACAGACAGACAGACGGACAGACGGACAGACGGACATACTCATATCAACTCAGGAGGTGATCCTGATCAAGAATATATATACTTTATAGGGTCGGAGATGTCTCCTTCACTGCGTTGCACACTTTTGGACAAAATTATAATACCCTCTGCAAGGGTATAAAAATCAGGGCATCCACATCCACATCCAAATCGAAATCGAAAAAAAAAATATCAAATAAACAAGGCGGATGAATTTTTGAATCGAAAACTTTTGCGGCTTGTCTTTGACGCCACAAAAACAATAACAAAAAATACAAATAAAAACAATCCTGCAAAAACATGTTCAAGTCGATATAAACTAATTGAAAAAATTTGTTTCTTTTGGCGGCGTCACTGTTATGAATGTTACCCTGTACATAACAGATGGGTATTTTAGTTTTTTAAAAAATTAATTTTTATAAATAATTAAATAATAAATATAAAACAATAATTAACAATTTAAGCTGTCTATATATTTAAGCAGAAAAGCTGTCTATAAATACGCCCAACAACTTTCGTTACTCATTCTACACATCCTTCTCATCCTTCCAAGGTGAGAGGAAATATCACTTATCACGGTGCAAAGTCAACCGTAAGAGAGAGCAACTCTTAAGGGAGCCCAACTCCAATCTAAGCAAACAAACCCACCCCAAAGAGACAAAAGGATGGAGCAAAAAGTACAGTTCGCACAACAACAAACAAGTGCATTGAGAGCAGCTAAGGATGCTGTGATCCTTGTTGTTGTTGTTACTCCCGAAGCATAAGAAGGAGGAGGAGAGCAAAAACAGTAGTAGAATTAGTAGTAGAAAACAGTAGAGTAATTATTATTGCCTTTAAAGGAGAGCCTATGGGAGCCTCTGGAAAAATTGACAAAAAAAAAAAACTAATAATATGTCAAATTCCAGCATATTTCATAGTCGCTACCATCCGATGTAGGGCCACAAAATGCAGGCGAAATAAATTACCATAATTTCTCACTATCAGGCGTAATAAAAATTTTCGTTTTGTATAAAAACACACAAACAAACACACAAATTGAACTGGAAAATAGACAAAAAGCAAACGAATGGCAGCAGGGAGAGCCACCCATGTTTTTTTTTTGTTAGTCTTCTTCTTCTACTACTCACCATAAACAACAAAAAAAACCATACAGGGTTAAATTATTATACACGGATGGAATTTATTATTTTAACGAAACGAACGAAAAAAAGTTTTGTATTTTAAAAAAGTAATATTTTAAATTAAAAAAAAAAATCACAAACACAGGAAAAAAACACAGCACTCATTCTATTTTATGGCCACTTTCTTAAATTGTGGTACTTTCACTTTTCTTTTCGCGTTCCTTTCTAGCCACTGATCGCCGGAGAACTGAGCGAAACGCTCTTAATCATATTCCCGTTTGGGGCCTCTCAAGGTTTATTGAAAAACACTTAGCCGGCGCAAGTGCAGCAGCAACAACAACAACAACAATAGAACAATGAAAAAGAAAAACACTGATTTATTTCACTTTCTATTACATTTACAGTTTTCACTTTTTTCTTTTCGTTGTTTTTTTTTTAGAACCGCACGCGTCCGCGGATAAAAACAAAATGCAGGGCAGAGCGAGATGCTCCGCAAGAAGCGCAAGAACAAGCAGCATCCAGGCTGGAAAAAAAAAGAGCAAGAAGCAGACGATGATGGCGTAGAAGATGGCGACGATGGGGTGTGTAGCGGCGGGGGTAGTGGGGGTAGGATCCAAATAGGATCCAAAAAAAACAGCCAAAGATAAACAAAAGTTATGAGTTGGAAATAAACCAAAAATTTTGATGTTTCTCCAAAAGTGCGCGTGCCTGGTTTTTCTAGATTTTCGTTATTCATTACGTTTCCTTATGGTGCTGGTACTCTTTTTTTTTTTTAAATCTTCCAGTTTATTTTTAGCTGGAATGTGAAGCTCAAGAGAACAAAATATTTGCAAAAAAAAGAGAGTTTATTAAATTAAATAAACATGAAGAGAGAGTTTCAGGGAACTTAAAGTTTCAAGCAAGGCTTTTGATATTTTCTAATAAATTATAGCCTCCTCTTAAATAATTAAATTCATCTTAAATCTTAAGCAAAATTAAGGATCAATATTTCATCTCTTAGTGGCCTCCACATTTCAGCAAAATCTCTCAGTTTGCAATAATCTTAAGTTTTTTTATTTTCGGTCATAAATATGGTTATTTTCTGTTGAAAAACATTTATGGAAATACATAAAACATCTGGACAGAAACCCAAAAAACCAATCCGAGCCATTAATTAACTATAAATGAACCACTAAGCGAAACTACATAGCTGGACGGGACGGGACGGGCTACGGAAAGTACGTGCCTTTCAATATCCCATTAACGAGATCATCAAATTCGATTATTTTCGACTTTTTTTCCCGTCATCGGAGGAGGGTGTGGGGGTGAAGGGGAGGTAACATCTGGTCTGATATTTAAATCAGAGAATCAGCAGCAGCAGCAGTTCCGTTTGTGCTTCATTAGCATGCCTGGCACGTGTCCTGGAAATGTCCTTTTGTGTCTCTATTGTTTTGGCTTCATCAGTTGCCAAAAATCCTAGTTACTTTATAGATTTTGTTTTTATTTTTTTTTTATTTATTTAATTATGTATGTTCTTGATTTCCTCAAAAAATATGCAAAATACACAAGCTTAGCTCTTTCATAGATGTGTGTCTCCCTTAAGGGTTAGGAATGCTGTAACGGTACTGACGGCAGCGCCATTTTGTCAAAATCCTCCAAAAGTTGCCATTTCCCGCAGCCATTTTGTAAGTGTTGCTGTTTCTGTCACGATAAGATGACTTGAGCTGCGCATATTTCATGTGTCCTCCTGGATCACCCACATCCTGTCGGTACCTCCTCCTGCCTCCTCCTTTCGGATTTGAATATTTAAATAAACTGTTTCACGAAATCCTGAATCCTGTTACTCCCCTGATGTTGTATTCTCACATATTTTGTTGTTGTTGTTGTTGTTGTTGTTGTTGTCACTCGCATTGCGGCTGTTTAATTGTCATTTCGTGTGCAGAAACCCAAAATGCCAAATAAACGCAAATTTCCAGCCAACCGATTGACGAGCGAGAGTGTTTGTGTAACCGAGATGGCCACAGTGGGGATTAACTAAAATAGATTTTAGTTATAATATAGTATAATACTATACTATACTATAATAAAGTATAGTATATTTTTATAAAAAATAATCAAAAAAGGAATAAGTTTTGTTAGAAAAAAGGTATAGACTTTATAGAAAAAATACACTGCGTATAAGTAATTTTAGATTCTGGTATATAATTATTCATTCGTATATTAGACCTTTTTCTATTTTATAAATTTATTCCTACCCTTCTGTTCTACCCACTTGTCGCCCCATAATAGCCCCATACAATATCCCCTCAAACCTAATCCCCCAAAAAACCCTTTTGTGAATAAAAATGTCTTTCAAAATTTCTTTCATGCCATAATCCATATACATATATTTCCGGAACATAAATGTTACATCAATTTCCTAACTGATTGCCCTAATTGACTGCATACCCTGCACTTTTTGGGAAAAATCATAGTGTAAGTCAAAGGGTTGACTGTCGAGTACTTCTAGCCTCTTGGTAGTATCTGCGGCCTCAGATACTATTGTGTGAATAAAACAGAAACAGAAACAGAAATCATTTTTTTGTTGGATGTGCGCATCGTCTCCAGGCAGCTCGTTCCCACAGGCTAGTCTAGTCCCATCATGGATCTCATTCGTGGCTTCATTCGTTGATGACCCATCCCCAGTTGAGTCACACGCCGCTCCATGGATAAGCCGGGACATCAAAAGCCTCGTAGTAGCCAGGGTTCGATGGGCATCCTCTTATAATCCTCTATATACGATTACGTTAATTCGATAACTTAGAAAATAAACGAAGTGTTCTGTTCAACAGTCGAACAACGAATGAGCTAGAGAGCTCCAAATGCCAGGCACATGAAACCCAAGGGCTACTGTGTTTGAAAAAATTCAAAAGCCATACCACAGAGCTCTTGGATTAGAAAAAATAAGTAAAGTCTCGAAGCAAAGGTTTTTAATCGCAGAAAGGTCAAAACGGTCCAATAAATATATATATTTTTCCTGAAAATGGTGTTTTCCTCTATAGGGCCCACTGCGATGTCTATATCTTCCCCAATTCTTATCCGATTCTTATGCGGAGTACCTTAAACGATTTCTGATTCGATTGATAAAAGATCTGTGAAACCACACTACGTATGAGCCATTTCTTATTTTAAAATTTAAATTTTTGTAAGAAGTCCTTTGAAACCACTCTTTTAGCCAAATCCCTTATAGCCAACCTCCACTGTCTCGTCACTCTGCATATGTAATGACAACCTTGAACCGCCAACTGAATTTTGGAGGCTGCCAATTCGATTTGGCCAGTGACTGGTGTTCTCTCGGCCACAATTGCAATCGCCGCTGGAGCGTATCATTGTTAACTTGGCCAAATTATATTGGCCCGTCTATGCGTGCGTGTGTGGCAATGTGTGTGGCAGTGTGTGTTTAAATTGCTGCCTCAATTTCACCGCCGGCCTCTGGAAAATGAAATTTGCAAACGGTGCAAACGAAAATGAAATGAAAATGTTCGCTGAAATTCACTCGACTATGCTCCACTGACTGGATCGACAGGACATCCTCCAATTCGGGCCAAACTAGGCATGCTTAGTCTGCCTTTAGGCGCTTTTTTAATTGAATATTTGGCCAGAAAATAAATGCGTTAAAACAATCAAATATTCTCGGTTAGTATCTCTGTTTTATTTCATCAAAAAACCCTTACTGGACAGTATCCCCTTGTTCAATAATCTCTGCCAAAAGTGTTCCATAAAAAATCCCAAAAAGGCCAACAAATTCCCGCCAATCACCACATAGAAGGCCAACTGCAGGTCTCCGATAGTAAGGACTCTTAGGAGGTCCGAGTCAGAGTCCCCTCCCATGAAGGACAAGCCCATCTTGATGTCCACCCTGGCCTTGGCGTCATGTATCCACTTTACAATTAGTCCCGAACTAAGGAGCCTCAAGAGAAGAGCATTTACGGCATCCTCCCAAGGGGAGTCCCGCGGCATTACGTAGGATATGGTGTAGTATTTGGGGCACTCTGGAACGACCCAGATTTTGCGGAGTAGCATAAAGTGCGAGGACTCCAGGGTGAGGGAGGTGTACCGGGATACACCCGCCTTGCCACCATTCCGGGCCACATCGTCGATCACATCCGCGTAGAGGTTCCGATTCCAGGAGAGCTTCTTGTTCAGGCTCGCGAAGAGCGGGGATGTTTCGCTGAAGAACAAGTCATCCGCCATGGAGGTGTACTTGTAGACGACCTTCAGGCCGCTGTCGTCCAGCTCCTGCATGGTGTTGATGTCCTTGTAGTACAGGGGATGGATATAGACAGTGGCCAGACTGGACTCGAAAATGGCCCCGAAGATGACGCTCACCAGGCACAACGACCCGATGAACATCCTTTCAGCATAGCTGGCCGGCAAGTGGGACAGGTTAACCCTCACCCACACCACCCACGTATCGACTACGATTCCCAGGGCCTGGCTTAGCAGGTGCTGGTCGCTTCTGTCCCTGATCCTGAGCTTCAGGTTGATGATCCGCAGGATCAACCAAATCAAAGCACACACAAAGGCGCTCAGGATAAACCCCAGCCAGATGTCGTAGCCCACGGCGAAGATGGGCAGGATGGATTGGGGAATACGACTGGCTTTCGGGACATAGATGCACAACTCATCGTCGTAGACGGCCACCGTGAAGTCCATGTACTGCTGCACCAGGTAGTCCTTGACGAAGAATCCCGTCAGGCAGATGTCCAGGCCATCGTTTACGATAGATCCTATGGCGCCATTATAACTCCCATTGGCGCTGCGTTCCCTGGAAAATAGATAGTGTTTTGTAGTAATAGATGTCCTGGAACAAGGACCAGAACCAACCCAAAATAATTCTTATCCGGCTGCTGGAGTAACATCGTAAAGTTGAGACGTTCCTGGAGCGTTTGGGCCACCAGGAAGTCCACGCCCGTCACCCTCTCCAAGAGACCCGTTTCCGGATCCATTTCCGGCCTGGTATAAACGGATCTGAACATCTGGATGCGCAGAGGATATCCCTGCATGTCGTGAAAGAGCAGCCTATTCAAAGGCTCCTCTCCATGGTACCGAATCAATTGGCCAAAGGACGAGCCACGATGCTGGAATGGATCGTATATCCAAATGGAGTCCCTGGCCAAGATGAAGCGATTGTAGATCTTGTGCAGCATCCACAGTTTGCGGCAACTGTCCTCCAGCATGTCCAGTTCGTTGAGGGTCAAGTCCTGGCTTTGGTCCTCCAGGATGTAGAAGAACATGGGGGCCTTTTCGATGGGAGCTGCAGCTCCCTGATTGCTCAGGATCAGGTCCAAGCTCACGACTAGAGCAACGTTATCCCTTCCAAAGGGATCCTCCACCCATTCCTGATTCTCCTCGTAGCTCTGGATTTCCAGTGACATATTGGAGCGATGCAGGAACCACTGTACATAAGGATTAGCCTCGTCCTGGTGCTGCCTGCTGCCGCGAAGCCAGAGACTCAATCGCGGCAAGTCTCTCGTGGGCGCCGCCAGGACCTCATCCATTTGGGTCGAGTTCAGTTGGCCCAGGGAGTCCTTCAGACGGCACAGGACCACGAAACAGAGTATCGGCCAGTAACCAGACACTGCCATTCGACTGGATATTGTAAACACAAATGACTCCCAAAGTGGCCGAAGAAGTCGAATCTCAGGCACTCCCCCATCCAAGGTCCGAAATCGGGAATTCTGACACCTGCAATTTGTTTGTTTGTTCGCCGGCAATTATAGACTCGTTATGTCAGCTGTTGGGGGTCCTGCAGCTCCCAAGTAAACATCATTATAGTGTCCTGGTGTCAAGGGGCTCTAATACCTTCTTAAAGACTTTCCAAATCATTGTCCTTAATCTTAATGCTTTAAGTATTGGATATTTTAGAGTTCTAGTTAATATGGAGATTTTATCAGGATTTCCTTAAAGTTTTTTGAAATCCTTTCTTTAAGAAGTCCTTAGCCAAAAGTCAAACCTTAACCTTAAAAGCTTAATATTAAAAGATTCCTAGTACCAGGTTTCTATAGTCTTCCCTAACACCCCTCTTAAAATCTTTAGTATTTTTTATAAACTAAACCAAACCCACACCACTGTTGAAAAGATTTCCACTTTTTCCGCCAACTTTCACTGCCAAGAGTCCTTTGGAAAGCCATCAATAAACTCTCGTCCTGTGCGTGTGTGTTTGTAGTTTTCAAAATGAAAAATAAATTAGAAAATTGAAAAAGCAATTCATGGCAATGGCAACGTGTAGTGAATAGTAGAAGGACAATGTTCCTTTTTTTCTATCCATTTCGTTCTTATGCCAGGTGCTTCTCGCAGATAAAAAGCTTTTCATTCAGGACTCGATTTCATGTTGAGTCCTGTGGGGTCTGTGCTTTTTTTTGGTTCAGAGGGCGGCCAATATTAGTTCCTAATTTCCTGTCAAATGTGCCGATTCATGGGCTAGACCTGGCTCCCTTTAATCCCATATATATATATATTATATATTAGCTATGGAAAATAGCTATTGTCCTTATGCTTTATTCGAGGACCTCATTTTCTATTATTTTACGGGAAACTTCTGCAAAAACTGCATTCGTCAGAAACACGAGACGAGGCTGGACTTTTATGGTCCGGCGATAAAATCAAATTGAACTTCTTTGCCGGCACTTTTCACAAGGATAAAAACAGGATCAAGTAAGGACGAGAAGAGGAAAGTTGGATGCAGCGTTTCACTCATTTATTATTATGACGAGGCCGTTGTGTGCACTTGAATGAGGCTGGTTAGCTGGGCGAGGAGCGAGGACCGAGGTGATGTGCGTGTGCAAGCCAGGTGGAAAATGCGGAAAAATCAAGGGAGGGGCCAGCGGGAAAACTACAGCTACTACAGCGAAAAGGCGATGGAATCATTTGTAACCCGGCACGTGGAAATGAAATTTTTGAGCGAACATCAGCTTGAAATTCGATTGGCCATTCTGGTGAAATGCATTTTATACTTTCCGCTTTACATTCCTTTTATTCCCGACCATTTTTCCTAAATGCATTGCTTCTTAAATAAATCGTGACGATAGTAGCGACTTTATGATACCTGTATTCTTACGAATCATTTAAGATATTCCGCAAAAGAATTGGATAGGAATTGGTAAAGATATACCCATCGGAAGGTGCCATATACATAGGTGGTTTGCTCTCTTCCGAATTTTTTAAGGGGTCCCATAGGAAAAAATTAAAAAAAAATAATATTAAAAAAATTTCTAGGGATAATCTTCGATGCAGGTTGGAATCTTAAGAATCGGATAGAAACTGCCAAAGATATAGACATCGTAAAGGGCCATATGTGTACCTACTCTATACCAATCCCAGAATTTCAAAGGGTCTCTTGGAAAAAATTTAAGAAAATTTTTAAAAATGTAGATTTATATTTTTTAATGCAGATTCGTGGAGATTTGATTCTGGAATCGATTAAGGTATTCCTAGTTGGGATTGGACCGGAACTGGCAAAGATATAGACATCGTAAGGGGTCACACACCGCATTCCCCACCATTCCTATAATTTTAAAGAAGTCCCATGGGAAAAATTAAAAAGAAATCTAAAAAAATTTTCAAGGCCTAGATTTTAATTTTTATAATAAGGGAATTATTCCACAAAACTTTGAAAGTATTCCACTTAAGGATCAATGAAATATTGCCAAAGATATAGACTTCCCAGTTAAGACAATGTAAGAGTATTATTTCAGGAAGTACTTTCTCTTTTAAAAAAGAGAATCCAGCTTTTTCTTTCAGATTTTAAAGCAGATTTAAATGAATAAAATATTATGGTGTCCTGCACGAATCCCCCCTATCGTACCCTCTGCCAAATTTAGCCACAATCTTACCCCTCTTAAGGCTATTATTTCCGTTGCATTTGCTGCGTTTGGCAACGAAATTCTTGGCCAGAAAGGGGGAGGTCCAAAAAAATAAAAAAAAATGCAGGGAAAAGTGCTACGGAATCGAGGGAAACAAAGTGCAATCATGTTGGATCAAATGAACTGAACTTAACCAAGTCGAAATGGATTCTCCCCTCTCGTCGCAGAGCCAGTGGCCCAATTTCCAAGGGATTACCTTCAACGGGTCACGAAGGATATATTACTTGCCCTGAAAAGTAGGCAACAGAACAGGGCATGCGGAATAAGAACTCTGGCGTTTTTTGTAGGCTTAACATGGTTTATTTCAAATAATACAGTTAATAATACATTAAATATAGTCAACAAGAAAAAAAAAAGGTCACTTAGGGCTAAGTAGGTCCAAGGACCTTTGAGGTCCTGCTGCATCCTGCTCGTCGTCACTGCTGCATGGCCGCGTCCAGGCCGTGGGTCCGGCGCATCTGCTCCAGCACGGAACGTGGCAGTCCTCGCTCCACCAACTGCCGTTCCGCCTGGGCGATCACACTTCGCATCGTGTCCAGCATCTCGGCGCTCTTCTGGAGCTGTCCGCTCACAAACTTGTGCCGGAATCGGAGCCGGGCCTTCTTGATCTTGTTGTTGTAGCGGGATTTGCGGCAGGACTCGGCCCTCTGGCGCTGGGCATCCTTGCTGTCGGAGGCGGAGGAGCGGGCCACGCCACCTCGATGGCCGCTGGAAGTAGTGGCCACTTGGCCGGCGGAGGAGTGAGCCGGTGGCGGAGGAGCTCTTCGTTCCACGACGATAGGATTCTCAAGAATCATTTGGTCCACATAGCGCTGCTCCTCGTCGGCGTAGTGCATCTTCAGGTGGTGCAGTTGCTGGGCCACCATCTCCTCGATCTGCTCCGGCTTGGAGTTTCCTGTCGCCGGATGCTCGGTATACGGGGCGTACACGTGTCCCATCGGGGCGTAGCTCAGTTTCGGCAAATACAAGTGATGGCTGCGTTCCATATTTGCTGATTTTGTGTTAACGTTGATCTGCTCTCGTCGAAATCTCAAGGCGTAATGATGTCCCTACCCCGAGAATCGCCCATTTTTATACCCATTTTCCAGGTCCCCTGCCCAGGTATCATTGGTCATGAATGATCGGATCTTGGGCCAGCCCCTTTTGGGTTTTATGATCTTGTTTGTGTCGAAACTGAGGTTCAGGACGACTACCTGGCTACCTGTTGGCCGGGTCTATTGGTCAGCCAATCCCAGAGATGTAAACAAAGGGATTAGGGAATTCTCCTCCTACCTGGGCTGCCCAAAGGGGAAGTAACAGGATAGACTACCTAAAACCAATGATTAGGGATTTACTTTTCAGCTTTTGGGTTCTGTTTTGAATTTAAGTGAAGAGTTCCGCGAGTACCAGGTATCATACCTCTATCATAACAGAGGTCACGTTCTCACTTTCCTTATCTCACTAGCCTGCCATATCGCCCCTAAGAGATAACCCCTCGATTATCGGCTGGCAGGTTACTACCTGATATTATATCTGGTATCTGTGTGCTCGGAAACTCCCCACCAATAGGTAATAAGGGTTTCATTATGGAATCGGGGTAAACAAGTTACCGCTTGTTGTGGCCTCTGGGATTAACCCACAAATCCCGCGAAGCTAGTGGAATCATTAATTTAACAGCCACTAGGCCCCTAATCCCTAAGCCCCAGAGAAAAACATTCGATATACTTTCCTAAACTTTTATTTTTATGAAATATAATAATTCCCTTCTTTTTTTAAAAGGATGTGGGAGTCCTTCAAAGAATGTGTCATTTTCCATTTCATTTAAGTCTAGAATTTGTTGAAACGTAATTTTGAATAGTCTTGACTTTTTTTTGATGTGATTATAGTCCGGTAACTTGTCTTCCTGGGAAGCGAGAAATAAAAAGGATCATAACCGAACTTTAAGAAACAAACCCAAGGACTCACCGTGCTATTGAATGATCTTGTCCAGGAACTTGAAGCACTGGTCGAAGTACCCCTCCGGCAGCAACTCCTGCGATCTCTGTTCAAACCCCCGCTGATCCAAGGCTGTCATGGACATGGAAATGTTCCGGGTGGGGCACTGTACGTACTGCCGGTGCTTCAGAAAGGCATGGGTCCTACGATTGGCCCATCTCGAAGTGGCATTGTATCCGGCACAGATGGAGCAGGACAGCTTCTCTTCGGTCTCTCGCAGCGTCTTTGGGTCCAAGTGCAAGGTCACCCTCTTGCCGTAGTCGACGCGTCGTTGGTGCTGAACTCTCCGCATCTGGCGGAGTCGGTGGCGACTCTCGAAGTGGCGCAGCTCGTCGATACGGCGGCGACACAAATCTGGCGAGACAACGGTCATGTTGTGCCTCTCCAGCTCGCAGGACACCTCGCTCCAGGCCTGGGTCTTGGCGGCGCAATCCAAGAACTGGCTGTGATTGACATTCCACAGACACTCGTGGCTGGCATACAGCTCAAGGAGCAGGATATTGAACCTTTGGCTCAGAGTGGGGGTCGGCTCATGAAGGCTATGATACGAGGACGAGGCACTGACATCCAAGTGCTGGTCCGGGGAGAACTTAAAGTAAGAATCATCCAAGTGCCGGTCCGGGGAGCACCTAAAGGAACATTCATCCGAGGACGGGATGCTGTAAAGCGACGAGCACAGGGAGGGCGATACGGATCCCCCAAAGTTCGGTAGAACGGGTGAGCACTTTCCACTCAAGACCAGTGGCGGCACAGAGTACACACTGTACTCGTCGTGCGTCGCTGAGGACGAGTCACTGCTCCTGGCCGTCGATATCGGACTCAAGTCCTTGCATTCACTGCCCGACGAATCACTGGACGAATCCGAGGAGGACTCCAGTGGTTCTTGTGCTGCAAGTGGAGACAAGTTGGTGGTCATTTTGATATTTTTTTGGTTGGATGATACTTCTGTTTGAAAAATATATACATAGCTCGTATATCACAGATGTGAAGAATGATCATTTTTTTTTTTTTTGAATTCGAAACTCTTTTCATTGCCTCAATTGTTACAAAAAATTATAAAAAATAGTGATTGGGTTTTTCAAATAAAATAGTTAGTTCTACGTACGATCGAAATCCTTGTAACGATACTCCACATATTGAAAAAAATCAACAAAGACATCGAAACTATCAGAATCACCCGAATCACCGAAATCTTTAAACACTTTGCAACCATTTGAATATCCAGTATCTTTACAATCAGCTTTTGACCTCCATGCTCCCATTTGCTTATAAACTAAGAGGAGTGGATATTGAATGAGATGAGATTGTGGTATAAGCTCCTGGATTCTATAAGGATATGATGGGAGTAGGAGTTATCCAACTGATATCCACATTCGCTTCTGGTTAGGGTAGTGTAGGTAGGGTTCCGAAAAAAAAAACTTTTACTACAGAAATTTTACGTATTTTACTTTGATGTTTCAGAAAGTATATGTTTTGTGAGACTGAGTCAAGCCTAGAAATAAATTTAACTGGCTCCTGAAATCTTAAAAAACCTAAAAAAAAAACTAGAAACTATAATATTAATTAAGTCTGCCATATGTCGGACATAATTTCGCGCTGAAAAAAACATAAATCCTGGAAATAACTTTTCGCAATAATTGACAACACAATTGAGTAGTTTTAGTGGCCGAAAGCAGTTTTAATTCCAAATATCTCATTTAGCCAAATGAGGGTAGAAGCTGTCAGCGCCAGATGGACAATAATTTTCCATTTTTCCGCTTTTTCCCCATTTTTCATTACGTATTTTCCATGTGAACACAATAAAATCGACGACTCTGCGTTGCGTTTGATTCTATTTCGGAGGGGGGGAGGGGAAAAATGAGAAAATATTCAGACAAATATAATTAAAAAACCATTTATAATCATTTTCACCCAAATCCCAGTTGACCTCCTATCCCCATAAGCGTCCTGAACGCCCAGGAGCACTTGAAGTCTGACATTGACACTGGGAGAAACGTTGGCACGTCAGGGGTCCTTGTTTCAAGGGCTTTTTCTATTTTCATGCAAAGGACCCTATTTAAAATTTAATAGAATTTAAATAAATCTTTTCAACTATCCAATTTTAAACAATAGCATACGTTTTTTTTCAGTGACGTTCGAAATAAATTAAATTGAGAAGCGGGTGGCCATAAATACGGACATGGAGGAGAAGCCGCCGCATCCACATCTCCAGCGACATTGAGTTTGAATTATGTCAGCGCAGCAATAAATTCTCCAAGGCATTAAATTAAAATCTATGTATAGTAGATATCGGCTAAGGGACCAAGAAGCGAAAATAGCAAAGCCATTAGCAGGACATTTACACTGCCATTTCAAGGACACTTTATCTAATACCCGATATACATGAACAAAATACAATAAAATCTATATTACTTGCTTAATAAACTGAAAAAAAAAACAATCATCCTTCGGCAATACTCACTGTAGATATAGTTTGCGTGGGCGGCCCATTAGATGACCCCCCACTGCCAATTCAGGATTTGCATTGAGTAATTTACAGCATCGACAATGGAAATCGCAATGGCATTTCGCTTTCCACTTTGTCACTTACAGAATCGTTTATTTCAGCGGCTTGTTTTGTATAAAATGTATTTACAAACTAGGGCGAAACCTGTCTGGCGAAACAAAAAAAAATTGGCTTCTACAATGGAAACTATGGTGCTACATGTTTTGTGGTATTTCCTAAATGCTACGAATTCTCTCGATTGGGGTTAACATGATCTGGATGATTTAGCACTTAGCCGGAACATCCACGGCAGCCGCAATGGACACACTCGACAATGCGGCCTTCTTCTAACTTGGATTTGGGAACTCGGCAGATGCAGTTGGTTCCGAAGTTGGTGTCCCTGGTTTGGATGCAGCGCAGACAGCACAGATTCTCATAGCCCGATTTCTTCCACTTGGCAATCAAATTTCCATCAGCTATTTTCTCTTTCAGGCAGTAGTCGTACAGTTCCCGGCTAATGGCCTTTCGCCGGTAGAACAGATCGTATATGTAGCGAGTCTTCTGGTGGTGTATCTTGAATATGGGCCAGAGAGATTCTGTAATTCGTTTTCCCTCATGCGGTTCGGTTTCAGCTAAAAAAATTTGTAAATTGTTAGCATTTTCTTCCACGCCTGGCACGCTTTTCCTACCTTCGCGCATTTTTTGCTCCAGCTCCTCTAGAGTGGGTTCTATGAGTTCCCACCCATCTGGCGGTGGCTTGCGACTACGGCGTACTTTGGGCATTTTGTTTATGCAGTAACTGTGGCGTCAAAAGAAGTATATTTGACAAAAATACGTTTTAAATGGTTGTTTGTCAGAAAAAAACAACAGCTGACGCTAAAATTCAGTTGGTGGCGGACCTTAATCGATATGTCGATAGGTCCATCACTAACGCGACCTGTGACTTGGAGACGAAGCAACGTTTTCGTTTTGGTATATTTAGAGAAAATACCGACTATCGAACTATCGATAGCTAATTAGCGCTGAAACGCTGATTGTACCAAAGTTGGCAGCACTGATTGTTTTTGTTGTTTTCCTTTGCCCACAGACGCGTTTTATTGTTGCTCGAGCCCGTGATAATTTTTTATTTTCCTTCGTTTGTTTACGCACTCTTTTTTAAGTTAATTTTTAAGTAAAATCGGAGAGTAAGTAGGCGATCGTCAATCGTATGAAAATCGCAAAAGACAACAACGATTAAAGGGTGCCATTGATTGTGTGAATTTTCGGTGCTTGCGTTTGTCTGCAAAAGTTGCAAAGATGCCTTTAAATGCGAGACTTTCATTCATAAGACATTCAAGAGGAGGAAATAAGTGATCTGGAGGAGGGTGATGGGTGGACAACAACAACAAAAAGCTGCTCCAATGGCCTTCGCCTACTCACACAACAACCACACTGAACACACACACATACATACATATGTATGTAGTACATACATACATATACCCACATAACGGACCTACGCTTTGGTTTTACTTTTCATTTTGTTGTTGTTGTTGTTTTTGTTGCATTCATTCATTGGTATTATTTTCAGTGCTTGGTACACCAAATAACTTAAACTATTAACGCGCACACACATACTGGGAGCGAATTAGTGCAAGCGGGATGGGGATAATGTCCACCCCCCATTAAAGCTAAACCCACCCACCGCCCACCGTTCCCCTGGTGTTCGTTTTCTGTGTGTGAAATGAGCGCAACAAATCAGTTTTGTTTTGTTTTTCTTTTATTTTTTTTTTCAGTTCAGTTCAGTTTTATTTTGCACATTCCACAGTTTTGTGTTATTGCCATTGTTCCCCCGCTTTTGTTGTACATTATGTATAAACGTATTTACATACATATACATACATATGTAGAACAGAACACCAGTCACCCACCCAACCATCTACCATATTAATAATCCCACGTATGAGCCATTGTTTATCTGAAAACGCCTCCTAAGACTTTCACACACTTATCGATAAGATAAAATAGAAAATACAATTGCTCATATTGGGTTCCCAAAGCCTTTTCGCTTCAGCTCCAATTTCTACAGCAAAGGTTAAATATTTAATGTCCTAAATTTGTCCAAGAAATCCAATCAGATTCCTTCTTATTCGATTAACAATTTATTTCTTATATAATTTTCAAGAAATAAGATTAACTATTATCTTATCAATAATCTAATCCAAAAACTCCACTCGCCTATAAATTTCCATATTTATCTTCCAAGTTTTGAAAGAAAACCACACTTATTAGGTTGACCCCCATTGTACATGCATCACAAACACCCGTTAATTGAAGCGCAAATATTTGTCGCTGTCTCTTTGCAAGACGTTAGTTTTGAGGGGGCCTGAGTGGGATGGACGGATGGACGGACGTCCTAGCAGCACCCCACCTCTCTCTGTCGCTCTCACCTGTAAGAGTGAGTGAGTGGGGGGGAAGCTTCCAACTCGAACAAGTGTATGTGAGGGACAGACAGTGTGTGTGTGCCAGGGCATTGGCTTTCGTAATTGATGTCTGCCCTTGACGAAGGCCTAAAGAAGCAACAACAACAACAAGAACATGAAACAAAAGCCGAGATTACAAGCACGATATTGTTCGTGCAAGTGCGAGTATCTAATAAGGAAGACTGGCTGTCTGAGAATTGCGATTTTTCTGCCTGCCGTGCTCTTCGTTGGATGCTGCCTCCTATTCTCCTCCCTTTTCCCCCCCAAAAAGGCTCATCCACTTACAGTACTCATTAGCTGGGAGAGAGTATTATTAGAGTTGGGCGCGTGATTACGATTTCCCCCTAGGACGTGACTGACGTCACAATTGTAAACAAATCGGAATAAGGTCGCCTATAGCGATTTCAATGTAAATAGAACACAAACAAAAAATGTGCTAAACTAAACCATAAACAATCCACCATCCATATTGGGTATACTTCCCATAGTGCTTCCTCCTCCATAGGGGCAGCTCCTACTGTCTAGCCCCCCAATCGTTTAAATATTAATACTCATTAATTAATTGGCGCCCACCTTTCACATACGGCCAGTTGACAGCTTGGGCGGTATCCGTTTAAGAGCCGAAACCCAAACAAACTGATATAAAGTGTCGCACTCGCCCGTCCGTCCAGTCGCGGGTCCCATCAATAATGCAAAGCCATTTAAAGCAGGCGGCATTGCGCAGTTTTTGAAAATGTCGTGGGAAATGGGAAAACTGCTGCGAATCCGGAGACAGATTGCAATTGGATGAATACTTGATGCGGAAATAGCAAATACAGAAGATAATTTCGAATTCCGAATCAATGGCACATTCTATATAATTTCCTCAAACTTTTAATAGAACTTCTACCCCGTTTCTAGCCAGCAGCGGCTGCACCATGGAGCCTCCAGCTGCTGGAAATCTGCTGGAGATCATGGACCTGGCCCGCACCCTGCGCCAGGAGCAGCTCTTCATCCAGCAGGAGCAGGCTGCCTTCGTCCAGCTTAACGGAGCCCTGGAAACGAATGCTGGGACCATCACCAAGGTGAGTTCGAAATTCATTAAATCCCATTGGTTTAATTCTGATTCCTTCTTGTTTTGTAGTTGTCCTTTGTGTGTGCCCAGCAGAGGCAGATCTTGAACGAGCTGCTCCTCTCCCGGACGGACCATGATCCCCTGCATTCGTGCAGGCGAGCAAGTGCCTACGACAGTGCCCAGTTTATGGACGCCAAGCAGGTGTTGCCTTATGAGGTGAGTGCGGACGGGATGCCTAATCCTGGGATGCATTAAGCAAATCTACCCTGTTTCCAGCATGCCTTGGCCTACGAGGATCTGTTCAACTACCTGTACAATACGCCGTATTTGCTGGCCCTGTCCCTGGCCACCGCGGATCGGTTGTCGCTGCTCTCGGCCAGCCAGCTGAATCAGATCATAAACACGATAGCCACGGGGCTGTACGGCAATGCCATCAACACCAAGGATGTGGAGCTGCTGCTCAAGCTGCTCCGTGAACTGATAGAGATCCAGCTGCTGGCCAGCGACCAGCCCAGGAGGCTGATAAGGACGAACAGCAGCTCCTTCGCCCGCCTGTACCAGCGGCTGGTGGAGAGCATCTTCTCGGCGAGGATCTTCCTGACGGCAGCTCTGCACGCGCCCCTCATGAGTGTCCTGAGTGAGCACGAGATCTGGCTGGATCTGGATCCGCACAAACTGATGCAGACCTTCACGGTGCGGGAACGGGAGAAGCGTTTCGGCCAGGAGGGCGATGAGGAGTATCAACGGAATGTGGCTAGGTTTCATGCTGAGACTCTGGGAAAACTCCATTCCCACGTCCAGGAGTTCGTCAAGAGCCTGCAACAGAGCTGGGTCCTGTTTCCCAGCTCCCTGCGATGGCTGTTGCAGACCCTGAGCCAGCAGCTGCGGCAGAGTTTGCGCTACGAGGAACAGGAGATACGGCAGCTGCTCACGGATCTGGTCTTCACCCACTTCATATCCCCGGCGATAGCCAGCGCCGATCTCCTGGGCATTATCGATGTGAATGTGAGCGAAAGGATGCGTCACAATCTGAACCAGATAGTGCGGCTGCTGCAGAGGCTGGCCCTGAACGACGAGGACAGCGAGCTGGTGCAGCTGATGGAGCTGCTGATGCTGGGACAGACTGGCGAGGATGTGGTGGCCATTCTCCCCCAGCAATCGGACTTTGAACGCTCCCAGCTGGCCATCAATCAACGCGAACTGTCGCAACTGGTCGAGTTCTTTCGGCTACTGACCGCCCGGGAGGAGTTCGATGTGTCTGCGGAGGAGAGGCAAAGGCTCCAGAGGATTCTGGGCCGTATACCGAAGCAACAGCAGCCGCTAACTACGCCGGCTCAGGATGCGAACGAGTCCCGCGAGAGTCCCGAGAAGGGAAAGAAGAGCAACAAGAGTCTGATGCGGCTGGGCAAAGCCACCAAGAAGAAGCTGGTCAAGGGCATGAGCTTCACCAGCGGCAGCAATCATCATCCGGTCCAGCCGGCTCAGCCCGTCCCCCCGGAAGCCACCAATGGAAATGGCATTAACGGCGGGGCTGCCGACCTGGAGCAGAGCTCTTCGCACAGCGGCAGCAACACCAGCCTGAGTTCCTGCGGCGCCACCGTTCCACCAGCCACCGATCCCTTGGACATATCCTCTTCTTCCCTGTCCTCCACCGACCCGGTTTTAGTCTTTAGTCTTTACAGTGCGGGAGCGAAGAGCAAACTGAAGCCTCTGACGGAGGAGGAGGTGCTCAAGATGAACTGCATCGGCCAGGACGGCAGCAATCTACTCCCAGCCGTGGTCACCACGGCTCCCCTGGCTCCCTCTTCCAACAACGATGACGTGAGCAGCTTGGAGGCGATGCGGAGGCCGCAGGACGATGCCTCGATCGGCAACTCGGACAACCTGGAGGCGATTAGCGAGGCGGCCCACTCGGTGGCCAGCTCGCTGGACCTGGAGGAGCAGCAGGAGCGCGATGTGCACGAAAACGAGGACAATCTGTCGGACATGGTTTCAGCCAACGTCTCCGGACGAGGCACTCCGAACATCAGCGGCCGGGACACCCCCTCGTCGCAAGTAACCGATGGGGACGGGGCTGGCGGGGATCTGGCCCATCACCACGGTGTCCATGCACGGGCCGCCGCCAATCCGCAAATGCAGAAGATGCTGCTCTCCAAGGCCAGGTCGGACATCGAGGACAAGTTCTGCAAGTTCGAGTTGAAAAAGTTCGAAGGAGACGAGAACGTGAGCATCATATCGGACACCTGGTCGACGGATGTCCTGGCCTCGGACTCGGAGAACACGCTGGACGCCACCGGCAGTGAACGTGGCGACCGGGATCGGAACTTTTCCACTCCGCTGATACCATCCGCTGTGGTCCTGCCCGGCGACAATAACTTTGTGGTGGAAGCCTTGGCCCGGGCCGGAGGAGTGGCCGTCCCCCAGCTGGATGCCTCGGACCAGAGGTCGGAGAGCAACTGGAGCACGGATGTTTTGGCCAGCGACTCGGAGAAACTGGCCGAAATCGATACGGACGACAATGTCTCCATAACAGCGACGGCGCCTCTGGCTGTAGTTTTGGACGACGATGATGAGGACGAGCAGACGCCCGGGAGCAGTGGCGACAACGATCCCGACCCGGATCCGGATCGTGGCAATGTCAGCGAGCGCAGCCAGGAGGATTCGGCCTTCTTCGATGCGGTGAACTCGTACGATGATGCCCATCTGTATCAGGGAGCTTCCTCGCTGGCCAGGAGCTCGGTGCGGACCAGCTACCATGTCCTGGGAGGCGAAAGCAACTTCCAGCAGCAGTACAAGTGCAGTGGAGCGGACTCCAGTGGCCGGAAGACCACTCCCCTGATGGGAACCTCCTGCATGCGTCGGCAGACCTCCGCGGAGAGCAGCATCAGCAACCAAAGCCTCAACCTGGAGGAGCCACCGCCGCCGCTGGGCAAGCACCACCATCATCACCATCACCGGGAGCACCGGGATCATCATCGGGAGCATCACCACCACAGGGACAGGGAGAGGGAGAGGGAGCGCGAGCGATCGGCTTTAAAGAAAAAGAAGCACCAGCAGCAGGAGCAGAGGGATCTGATCGACTTTAGTGACTGCAGCGAGGACAAGGAGGAGCTGGAACGGAACCGAGAGGCAGACCAGCCTCCAGGGTTGGTGCAGCAGCTCCTGGACATGTTCAACCAGGACGAGCAGGCAGCTGGAGGAGCTGGCAGCGCCTCGCCAAACGTGGAGCATCGGCGCATTTCCATGGAGCAGCGATCCGCCATCGTGGATGGTCGGAGGAATGGCATCCTGGCCGGGAGCATGCGCCGCCACCAGAGCCTCAACTACGAAAACCACGAGATCATGCTGAGGTGCATGCTGCCCAAAACGGACGACGACAAGCAGGAGATGCTGCTCTGCGCCCAAACGCGGCAACTCCAGCTGGAGGAGAGCTCCAGATCGTCCGGCTTGGGCCTGGAAGCGGAAGACTCCGCCGGACCTTGTGGCTCGAATGGAGTGATCGGAAATGGAGCTACTGCATCGGGCCTGAAACCTCCCACGAAAGCCACCGGAGCCATACCAAAGAGCATTAGCTTCGACGCCAGCGCGGACAAGGAGAAGCAGCCGTATCACCAGGATCGAGAGCGAGAGAGGGAACGCGACAGAGAGCGGGACAGGATGAGGGATCGGGAAAGGGACAGAGACAGGGACAGGGATCGCGACCGAGATCACCATAGCGCTGGAATTTTCAACAAACTGAAACAGGGGATCTTTAAGAATCGTCGCGGCACCAGCACGAAGGGCCATTCAAGCTCGAACTCCTCCAACTCCCAGCCAAATCCTCCTGGAGGTCCAGCCTCCACTTCCCAAACCTCCGATAATCGCAGCGTCAGCTTCGATCCCAGCGCCGGATGTGTCAACATCGGCCCCCATTACTGTGATAGCAGCGAGGACATCCTGGCCAAGTACCGTCGCAAGGTGAGCAGCTCCAGCGAGGCCACCAACTCTGATTCCACGGGCAACGGCCATGGCCTAGGTGTAGTGCCAGCTTCGGCAGCTGGAGCTGGCGGGGGCGCTGCCCACCTCCACAAGCACATGAACGGCGGGTAAGTGGGATGGGGACTTCTTCCTCATGAGTGAGTGCAATACCACTGAGATTTTATCCTTTCAGGCAACTTCCTGGCGTGGCTTTCGGCTGCGTAAAGCAGAAACTCCGGACCGTGCTCTCCAGGACGGACCTGCATAGCGGGGACTTCCGTCAGACGACGAGCACCACCTCTACGATGGCCACACCGCTGCAGATCTACCTTCAGATCCAGCTGGCGCAGTGCATCAGCCTGCAACGCCTGCCCCAGATCTCCCACGTGGCGGAGGCGTTGCGGTGTCTGGCCCAGCTGGAGAGGCCGCAGCACGGGCAATTGTTGGCCGAACTGCAGCTGGATCTGGAGCGCCGGCAGAGCTATCTGCAGTACCTGATGCGCCACCGGCAGCAGCTACTCCTCCGATCGGAGCAACTGGAGCAGCTGGAGGCACGTCTGCGTGTGGAGGCGCGCAGCTGCCAGCGGTGCCTGCTCCAGGCTCTGGTCAATATGTATCTGGGATGGCCGGCGCAGGAGGAGAAACTGGAGCAGTTCCAGACAGAGTTCGCCCAGCTGAGAGCCAGCGACGAAAGGGTGGAACTTACCGAGGAATTTGTGGAGAATCTGCTCCAGGAGCTGCGCTCCAGTGCCGATCTGCAGGACGAGTGGCAGCTCGACTCCGCCAGGGTGGCCATCGAGAGGATGCTTCTCGAGCAGATGTACGAGCAGGTGATGTTCCCCAACGAAGATGCTGATGTGTCGCGGGATGAAGTCCTCTCCGCGCACATCGGCAAGCTGCAGCGGTTCGTGCATCCGGCACACCCTGCCCTGCGCATCGCCCAGGAGTACTTGGGCGAGGCGCCCTGGACCTTTGCCCAACAGCAGCTCTGCCACATGGCGGCCTACAAGACGCCGCGCGAGAAGCTTCAGTGCATCATCAAGTGAGTGTGGAGCCAAAGCTTCTATTCCCATGGTTTGAAAACATTCCCTTCTCCCTCAGCTGCATCTCTAGCATTATGAGTCTGCTGCGAATGTCCAGTAATCGGGTCCCTTCCGCGGATGATCTCCTGCCAGTGCTCATCTATGTTGTAATAATGGTGAGCATTGCCATCAGCCTGGCACTTTTTTTTGTAACAAAGTATAACCCGTGAGTCGTTTCAGGCCAATCCTCCGTACCTGCTGTCCACCGTGGAGTACATCAGCTGCTTCCTCGGCAAGAAGCTCGAGGGCGAGGACGAGTTCTACTGGACGCTCTTCGGGTCTGTGGTGAAGTTCATCAAGACCATGGACTATCTGGACTAGCCGCCGGGATATTTGTTTAGGCTTTAGGTGGATGTATTTGTAGAATTGTTTCCCCCCCTATTTGATATTTTCTATATATATATATATATATATATTTATATATGTAACGTGTGTCTGATTGATATTTATGTATGTATAAATTTGTTAAATCCTAATCTAAGTTCAACTGCGGCAGATGGTACATGATCCAATCCAAGAAATCGAATGGAAATGCCGATCAAGTGAGATATTCTAATGAGGATGTGAACCCAGAACACAGAGATCTAGTTTTAGAGGAACATATATAGTATGCTAGAAGGCCTCGCCTTGCTACCTTGATAAATATAGTGAACGTAATTGTATATTCTTATGTATACCAATACAATAACTAGAGAGCCTATTCTTCTACTTATATATTATATACATACATATTTGCATGTTTATCGGTCTAGCCTCTTGAATAAGTATGTTTCGGATACGAACTGCAACTTAATATTCCTTATTGTGTAACACAAAATAAAAACAAAAATTATACAAAAATCAATACATCTGAATCTATATATTCTTTATGAATTAATATCTGATGACTAAAGCTGAGTTATCTTCAGTGATTAAAATCTAGAACTATATCTTGGACTTGTACTGGGAGAAGGAATATATATATTCTAAATAGAAATCAGAATCTTTGATCTGCCTGTCTAAAAAGTACCGAGTATCAGTTACTTATCGCTCCTAAGTATTTAAAAAAAAAAGTAAAGGGCTTAGAACTAAATCCTGGGGAGAAGGGATATATATTCTAAATATAAATCAGAATTTTTGATATGCCTGTCTAAAAAGTACCGGCTATCAGTTACTAACCGCTCCTAAGTATTTTTTAAAACAAAGTAAAGGGCTTAGAATTAAATCCTGGGGAGAAGGAATATATATTCTAAATAGAAACCAGAATCTTTGATCTGCCTGTATGAACAGTACCGGGTATCAGTTACCGCTCTCCGAATTTTTTGAAACAAAGTAAAGGCTTAGAATTAAATCCTGGGAGAAGGAATATATATTTTGAATAGAAATCAGAACCTTTGATCTGCCGGTCTAAAAAGTACCGGGTATCAGTAACTTACCACTCCTAAGTATTTTTAAAAAAAAAAGTAAAGGGCTTGGAATTAAATCCTGGGGAGAAGGAATATATACTCTGAATATAAATCAAAATCTTTGCTCTGACTGTCTAAAAAGTACCGGGTATCAGTTACCGCTCTGGGGGAGAAGGAATCTATATTCTGAATTTCTAAAAAGTACCAGGTATCAGTTACTTACCGCTCCAAAATCTCCTGTACTGGGAGAAGAAATATATACATATATTCTGGATCAAAATCAATAGTCTAGTCTGTCTAGTCCTTTTCTTTTCACTCCTTCCTCTTCGAAAAGTACCGGCTATTATACAGTCTATCTTTTTCAGATCATACTCACCTTTGGGAAATATCCATCGAAAGGAAACACCATCTTTTAAACATTTACATTAGCTTTGTATATATTTTTCGGGGTTTTTTTGTCTTCAGTTTCTTTTCGCCCGTCGTTTAATCTTACAATTTGACTTTCGTTCATAGTATAATATTCAAATAAAAAACAACCAATAATAATAAAAAAAGGAGTAAGTGTATAAACTAAATGTATAAACTAAAAACATTCGACTTAATACTTTCGAGTGAGATTATTGCACAATTATTGCATATGCCGGATAACTAACTGAGGGAAAGCCAAGCGACACAAGATAATAATAATACAAGGTTTCAATAAATTAAGGACTATCAGTATCAGGATAATAAAACAAAATTAAGGTCTGAAGCGTATTCGAACTAAAATTAAATCTCGTAACTGTGCGTCGGTTTTTTGAATGTCTTTAGTACAAAGTTGCCGCCTCACTAAAATGCTTTGAACGTCTTTGACTAACAAGCGTGAAAAGTATCGCATATATATATATAATATATCTTATATATAAATCGCATATATAATAAGCAGCGGTTACCCCGGAGACATCGTAAAGCTCACATTTTGCTTTTAAAAACTGGGACTATAGTTTCTCCATTTGGATTTTGGATTTTTTTTAAAGGTAATGACTAAACATGTACATTAGAGGGGGGAGTGGAGGCATCAGCAGAAGCGACTTAATTGAAGTTTGTTCGGTTCGGTTACGGGTTCGAGGACTCCTCCCGTTTCTAGGCCATCAGTAGTTCTTCGTGGAGGCCGTCGGTGTCCAGGGATTTGTTGGACTTGAACATGAAGTTATTGTCACTGGAGCCCTGGGACTTGGAGCTGGTTGTCATGGTATACAGATCGTCTAGATCCTGACTGCGGCGATAGCTGCAAATAAAGGTTACATTGTATTATTATTTTTTTAAACAAGATTATTTATCAAAAATCCAAACATCAAAAATTCTTTCTACAGGAGTTTATATATTTTGATAGTTAAAGTTTTGACAAAACTACAGACTTGAATTAAAACCAATATTTTGAAAAACACTCTTTTTAAAAGCATCAACTGGAGTTCGAAACCTAACTGGATATGCCTCAGCTCTATGTAATTCTAGGTAATGGAAGACTTTCGATTGATATACATTTCATACCGATCGGAGTGCTTTAGCAGATTATTAATTAATCGTCTATATATAGAAGTTGCCTTGCGCACTTTCGGCCGTGCGTGCTGTCGTCACCTATTTGGAAAATAAAAATCAAAGTCAAATTTTCCTCTCGAATTTTCCCATACCTAGTATATGATGTAATTTGAAATAAAAAATTTTTAACGAGGTTAACATTCAAGTTGATGGCTGGGAGATGCGCTTCTTGAATGACGATTAATATATACACCTAAAACATCAGAGTCTTATATTTAGAGTGCCAATATATATATTATATTCATGACGAAATCTGACGGCATATTTGGGGACGAAAGCGAATTGCATTTGTGAGTGGCAGTACAAAAAATCAAACATCTTGCTTAAAACTTGACTTTCAAAAACGGTGTGGGAAAGGATACAATATATTTTACAGAAAGGATATCGAAAAGGATAATCCTCAAAGACAGTCCGAAACTTACGTGCTTAGTGGCCTGCTGTAGGTGGACATGGCCGGACTGGCCGGATTGTTGTTGCTATTGTTGCTGTTGCTGTTGCTGTCATTGTCGGCGTTGTCGTTGTTGTAGAGATCAACGTTGTCCAGATACTCGGATCGCAGATACGTATCCAGGTCATTGTCGCACTCGTCCTCCTGGTCGGCGTAGTCCTGCTCATTGTCCTGATCCTGTTGCGACTCGACCATGCAAAGCCACTGGGAGTTGTGGTTCCGGAATTTCTCCAGCTGGAAAAGAAAAGGATTATGTTATGATTGGAACTCCCAAGATGGAGAGCTAGAGTCAGACCTTGATCCGCTTGGCCCACTCGGTGTCGCTGATCGCTATAATGTCCAGACAGTAGTCGCACACCTTGCGGATCTCCTCGTTCTTGTCGTGCATGAGATCGATCAGGTAGGCGGGCGACTCCGTCTCCTTGATCATGTACTCCCTGGTGCTTTCGTGGCGCAGGATCTGCTGGAACACGAATATGATCTGCAGGACGATCTCGTCGTCCTCCTGCTTGGCCTTCAGCAGCTCGATCAGCGATATAACCACCTTGGCCCGGCAGAACAGCAGGGCGCACAGTTCGTCGCAGGCACAGGTCCCCAGATAGACGATCGTGTCCAGCACAAGGTCGTCCAGTCGGGAACAGGGCACGAGAAGCTGCCGGATCCAGGGTATCAGCTGGAAGTTCTGCAGGATCTGCGAGTAGTCCAGATCGGTGAGGGCGAGGTTGCCCAGGATGCCCAGACACTCCACCACAAAGGCCTCATCGTCGCAGATGGTGAGGATGCGAGCCAGGTCGCCGACATAGTCGATGAACTGCAGCTGGAGGGACTCGTGCTGCGAGAGATTCCGCAGCAACTTCATCAGCAGCGCGTCCTGGTACTTGAAGGCGCGATCCATGAGGCTGTGCAGGCGCTGGCCCTCCACCATGATCTGGGCGTTGCGGCGATTCAGTGAGAGATTGATGCACAAGGCGATGAGATCCAAGTCGACCTTGACATTCAGGTTGAGTATTATGGCGTCCGTGGCCATTTGGACGCATTCCGTTTGCGTGAACATCGCCTTAACCTTGTCGTCCAGGCTCATGTGGTAGAGGATCTTGACGGCAATCCCGTGGTGCTTTTCATCGTTGATGAACATCACCAACATGGGTAGATAGCCGGCGCCGATCATCTTGCGACGCAGTCCGCCGTCAAAGGAAAGATTGAAGACCAGCTTCAGGGTGACCTGCACCAGATCCGTGTGGGTGCTCTGGAACAATCGCGGCAGCTTGGCCACAATATTCAGGGAGCCCATCTCATCCTTGTTGTCGCCCACAATCGATAGCTTCTTCAAGAAGGTGCTGACTAGCATCAATAGGTCGATGTTCTGGCGATCCAGGGCCTTGACTAGCATCTTGACTATGTGCTTGCGGCGCATCTTCTCCTCCAGCTTCACATTCTCGGCCATGTTCAGCAGCAGGTAGAAGGCAACGCGCAGCAGTTGCTCCTGTTTCTTGGCGAAGATCTTCAGCTGCTTGTTCAGCCGATCGATCTCCTCCTTCTTCACTTTTGGATCGTTCCTGTCCAGCGATTCGTTGCTCTGTGCCTTGAATTCGGAGGACACGGCGGGCGAATCACCAGCAGGAGATCCACCTGCGCACAGCGCCTCGTGGTAGCTGCTGTTCAGGATCTGGCTCTTGATTAACGATGACGACATCGAGCCATGGAAGCTGCTCCAGTTCCCGGATTTGGGTCGTTGCTTTAGCTCCGGAATGCGACGACGCGGAGGTTCCATCTAAATGAGTTAGTTTTAAATTATAGTTTCCCAAATAATTTAGTTTTTATTTCTAAAAGAAAGTACCTCTTTGGGTTTCTCCTCGTTCATGATGTCCAGAAAGTCATCCGTGCTGCGGTTGAGTTTCTCCTTGCTGGCCTTGGCCGAATGCGGTGTGGAGGAGCCATTCGGTTGCTTACGCACATCCAGCTCGTTCCTCATCGTTTCGTAGCGACGCAGCTCGTAGTCGATCACATCCATGCAGAGAGATCCGATCTTTAAAAATGAATTACAATTAGTATTCTCAACAACTTGTAGATTAGTTTCCTTACCTTATATTGCACTATAAGTGGATGGAACTTGGTGTAGGTGGAGAAGCAGAAAAAGATGTAGATGATGTTGGTGGACAGGTCCAAGGATTTGCGCCAATCCTCGCGAAGAACACGCGACAAAGCGCTGAGGCAGGCTTCTGCAAAACCAAAGAAAAAAACATTAACAACCTTATAGATTAGGAAATTATATAAACCAACCATTCTTTTCCAGCTCCTCGAGGTTGTCTGGATTCCGTGCCATCTGCAGGATCATGGCTGAGCCGCGAATCCGTTCTCCCAGCTCCTCATATAAAAGCTCCACGTACTCATCGATATTATTGATGGAAACATCTGCCGTAGGAGTGGCAGCGTTTGAGGCATTCGTTCCGCCATTGGTCACAGTAGAGCCACCACCTCCTCCACCGCCTATTCCGCTGCTGCCAGTGCTGCTCGACATGGCGGCCACGCTGCTGTGCGATCTGGCCGAGGATCGAGTGTGGGAATTGTGCAGAGCCGCCGATCTCCGACTGTGTGTGTTGTTATCTGGAATATCTATAATTGATAAATTATCAAGCTTTTATTTATTTATTTATTTGAGAGGAAGACCTACCATTGCTAGCATTATCCTTGCGGTTCTTCAAGTAGAATATAATCTGTTCAACGTCGTTCAGTTGGGATTTGTGTATGAGATCACATTTTTCCACCACTTCGCGGGCCAAGGCCGCCGGATCTGTTTTGGCGTTGAGAGACCGAAGTCGGATGATTTTCTGACAATGCTTTATAATGAAAATAAATACATATATATGAGTTTAAGTAACTAATATTTGTTATTATTATTCCAACCAATTCTCTTAAATAAAAGTAGGTGAATAGTTCTCATATCGAATATAACAACAAACAATCTTCCACAAACTGAAACTAAACTCTTATTTATTTACAGCCAGTTACACTTGATAATAAAAAAAATAAAAAAAAATAAAACTCCAGCTCCATATAAGTGGAATAAAACGTGAATCGAGGGCAAAGACCCGCCAGCCTTTTTTTGGATATTTTTTGCTACTCGCATTTTTCTGTTTGAATCCACTATTCGATACTCGAGCATGACCCGCCATCGACCCCGTTTGCTATCGATTACCCCGTTCAATGTCATCCGAGATCTCAACCCTGCACCCCCCTTACAAAGATTAACCCTTATGTGGTGAGGCGTCTGGGGCATACCTTCTTCTCCTCAATCATGGGATTGTTGGGCTCCCCAAAGACTGTGGCCTCCAGTTGGTAGTTGACAATCAGCGCCTTGTCCGTGGGATGCGGTTCGATGGAGCCGCCTTTCCACCTCCTTCGGTTTCGTGGTTGGGCGTTTAACATATTTTGTTTGATTAAAAGAGTAAATATTGTTGGATCAATCATAAATTATGCGGGTCAATGCGTAATGAGGTAATAATGTTCTTTTTTTTTTGTATCATGTCTGCCTCTTTTGGGGCTTGTGGGGGGGCTTAATCGATAAATGCTATTATTTTTGTATGAAAGCAATATTTTATTAATGGAGTTTTAAGGGGGGATACAATTAAAGATGTGTGATATGATAAGGGTTAATAACTTAAGAGGGTTAATAACTTAGTGTAAGATATGAGAATTAATTAAATAAACATTATTTTTGTTAGTAGTTTCTGTCAGTGTAACCCTAAAAGTGTGCTATATATTTATATAAACTAAAAATATAATGTTTTTACATTTAATAAGCATTAATTAATGTTAGTGACAACATAATTTTAAAGCTTATAGACTTGACTTAGTATATATATTATTTTAATCTTACAGAACTCTGACTAATGTGTAGGCTTATATTATACAAGTGCAGAACCATTTGCTAGACCAAGTAATTTGTTTCTGTGTGACTAATGTTCGTTGCAAGTTGTTGTTCTTGTTTTGTTGTTATTTTTTTTTTGTTTTTTTTTTTGGCTCACACACACACAGACAGGCGCGGACGCACACGCATGGTAACAAAAGGTTGCGGCAAGTGGAAAATCAATAAAGAGCACAAGCAATAACAACAACAACACCTGCGGCCAGAGAGCAAAGGCAAGGTGAGTGGGTTTAGCTCTCTGACGTACTTATGATGTTTTTTGTTGTTTCGTTTTGTCGTTTTTTTTTTTTTTTGGATCTTTTTAAGCTATTTCTTTTGTTCTGTCACTTGCACACCCACACGACAGCATACTATACATACGCACTTTTTAATAAACTTGGCGTCATCGTTTGTTTGCATGATGTTTGCCGAAGAACAGGAAGAATTTGCCAAATTGTTTATGAAAAGTCCAAGCTCCGATGTTGTTGTAGCTGCTACTCCAGGTGGTGGCGGAAAACGGGGGCCGTTGAGCGTTGGGGGGTGAATAACGGTGGCCGCAGAGTTGCGATTATTTTGCTGCTGCTGCTGCTGCTGCTTCTTAAGCTGGTTTTGTTCGATTTTCTCGGTCTGAAGATCACCGGCAATCGCATTTATTATGTAATAGATATAATGTATCACAATCAGAAGCAGCACAAAGCCCGAGAATATTTGGAAAATTAATAACAAAACAAATTGCATGCGACTCCCTCCGATTGGCCCTGTGGTGTTAGTGTTGTCGGTCGCTCCAATCGATATATGACAGTGTGGCCAGTTCTGTCGTTACCAGCTCGGCCATTATTGGGAAATCCCACTAAATTCTACCTCTGGTCACCCATCTGGATATCGATTGTTAAACTTTAGGCCGTTATTTTATTATTACTTATTTATTTATTATATTAAGATTTTTTTTTATTATCAATAAAACCATAAAAACTTTACATACCTTCACAGGCAATTTCTGTCAAGCATTCTTTAGAGGGAAAAAATGGAAAACCAGGTCACACTAAATTTTCAAAAATAAGCTTTGAGTATTCTTAATATCGGACAGTTTCTATTAATATTAAAGAATGTTTAATAAAAGAATTATATTTTATTTAGTACTAGAAACCTATAAATTTTGTATATATACTTTTACGTTTAAATATAAAAATCGAAAAGAATTATGTCATTTATCGGCTTTGAAATTTGGTGTTCCAAAAAAGACAACATAGTAGGCCTTGATTTTTCAACCTCAAATTGAAAACTAAAAAAATTTTCATTCGACGGAGAACCTTTGAATGACTAGTGCAAAAAAAAAAAACCGGAAAACCACAAAAAATCTAAAATATAACACAAAATATTAACATAAATAGGTAGGCCTTGATTTTTGAATCTCAAATTGAAAACTAATAAATTTTCATTCGACGGAAACCCTTTGAATGACTAGTGCAAAAAAAAAAAACCGGAAAACCACAAAAAACTAAAATATAACACAAAATATTAACATAAATAAGGAAAAGAAAACGATATTAAAATGGCTGACAAACACCGCCGAGTTCGCGAAGATTCTGGTGACGAGGAAAATATGGAGATCCATCCGTCTAAAAAGCGTCGCCTGCAGCCCTCCAGGATCAAGATGTTGCCCAACGAGACTTACGTGGACACATTTGGGCGTCTGATGAACGCCCTGAGCATCCAGAATGGCTGCTCAATAGAACTGAAGCTGGAGGATTTGTCGTATTTCTTCAACGAAAAACTACAGGGCAATAAGCCGGCTGTCCTGCGCACTCTGGCCTCCTGTGTGATCGAACATCCGGCCCATTCCAGTGCCTATGCCACCTTTGTGGGTCTCTTGAACATTGAAAACTACGAGTTTGGTGGCGATTGCGTCCACTTTATTATGAAGAAGCTGCGCACCTCCATGGAGCAAAACCACTGGAAGAATTGCTACGGAATAATGGCCTTTATAGTGGACCTCTTCAATTGCAATGTGGTTACATGCAATTCGCTCATGAGTCTGCTCACTTGCTTCCTGAGCGAGTGCGTCGAGGTGGAGGAGGGCGACGATGTGTCGGACATAACCCCTCAGGCTCGCCGGGATTGGCTGGCCTTTTGCGTGCTGTCCACCCTTCCGTCTGTCGGGAACGAGCTCCAGCAGAAGGCGGCCAACTTCCAGAGTCTACTGCTTACGCTGCAGATCTATGTGAAGAAGCGCATTCCGTTGCATGCCGCAATGCTGGGAATCTGGAGCGGGGGCAGCGGTTGCGCCCAAATGGACTACCTTCACCTGCTCTGGGAACAGGTGAGGCAGCTGCAGATTCAGGAGTGGGAGGAGCCGGAGCATCACCTCCTTCTGCGCCCTTACTTGGCCTTCGACGACACTCTGAGTGCCGCCTTGCAGCATACCCTGCCCCCCCTGAAGATGCCAAAGCATACCCTGAAATCAGAGTATCCTTCTGCACGGGTGGTGTTCCGTATCTTCGATTTCTCGACATGCCCGGATGGCCTGCAAATGCCCCCCATCCTGAGCGTTGAACGGCATCTACTGGAGGTGCAAATCCTGGAGATTCTCAAGGTTCATCACTTGGAGCGTAAGATCTGCGCCGATCATCTTTGGAACTATGCCAAGTCGAAGCCCCAGATTCCGGTCCACTTCTGTATTGTGGAGGTTATCTTTGGCGAGATGCTACAGCTACCCACTTCGCAGTGGACCACCCTTGTATATGGCTCTATTCTGGTGGAGCTGAGCAAGATGCAGCCGGACAAGATCCCTATGGCGGTGATGCAGGGGGCGGACACCATCTTCGCCCAGCTGGAGTGCATGAGTGTGGCCTGCTTCGACCGGCTGGTGAACTTCTTCTCCCACTACCTGAACAACTTTTCCTTCAACTGGCACTGGAGCCAGTGGGCGAAGGACTGCAAAGGCGCCTCCGACCCCACCAGCAGTCAAAGCTTTATTAGCGGCAACTTCCATTTCCAAGCGGTTTTTCTACGGGAGCTCATCAAGAAGTGCCGCCGTTTATCCTACCACGAGAACATGCTCCAAGTGCTACCTGAGAATGCGCTCCACTTTCTGCCACCTCCTCCTCTTTCCCACTTCAGGTATATCGATGATCACGTGCCGGGAGCGAAGCTCTCCCAACACCTCCTTGAGGCGATGAGAGGCCGCAAAGCTGAGCCCGCGGAGGTGAGCAGCATCTTGGGCCATACTAGCATTCTGCATCTTCTCAAGATTAATGTGCTGACCCAGACGTGCCTTCACATCGGCTCCAAGTCTTTCACGCACACCTTTGCCACCCTCGCCCGATACAAGCCGGTGTTTAAGGTTACATTTTGACTCTCCAAGCTAACACAGTAACTAAACCATTTATCCTTACAGCTCCTAGTCAAAAGCGAGTCGGAGCAGCATGCCATTCTAAAGGGTGTCTTCGAGGTGTGGGTCAGAAATGAGCATTTCAAGTACGTGGTGGTGGAGAAGTTGATCCGGATGAAGATCGTGGAGCCCAAATACATAGTGTCCTTTATCTTTTTGCCCGTGCTTCGCGGGGAACTCACCAAGATGTACATGTGGGAGATTTTGCATGCCACGATCCATATCGTGAAGAATCCCGTCCGTCTCTTCCCAAAGAACCGCAGTGCCGAGGAGGAAAAGGAATTGGATAAAATGACCGGAGATACGGAGATCGCTGTCAAGGGTATCCTGCTTTATGTACTCCAGCGATTTGTTAAGGTCCTGGAGAGTTCGATTCCAGGAGCCGAGGGTACCAACACCCGTCACTGGTTCCAGTGGGTCCAGGGCCGGATGCAGGAGTTTCTCTTCATTTACTCCGATGACTATAAAAAGATGGCCACCAAGTTGGTGAAGATCTGCGAGGAGTCCGAGCTGCCCAAGTGCTCTATTAAGGTTATTCAGGCTTATCTCGCCTATACCATGTAGATTTTCTATCTTTCTACCAGCTACAGAGTTTTAAAATATGTATTATGTTTAATTATATATCTATTATATACTAACATAAATTGTAACATATAATATACTCTTGATCTATAAATTATAGACTTCAAATGGAGGCTCTTTACTAATCTTAATTTTATGTCCCATAGTTAAGATTTATTATAAACTTTCCCTAAAAGATTCCAAGGTTCTTAACCCCCCCATAACCTAGTCATTATAATTATGATAACCCTTACGGAACACCTGTGATTATCTTGGAAAGTCGCGCGATTTTCAAGACATAGCTTTATGACCAAAAAAGACTATCACCCTGCCATAAAAATAAAAACAACAAACGCCAAAAATAATATTTGAAAATTACTAGAGATATGGTTTTATTGAGTGCCCTCCAATATAGTGGCGTCACCCAGACCGGCCACCCACTCACAGATCCGCTTGAAGAACTCGGCGTCCACCTGTTCGATAATGCGAACGTTTTCCGGATACTTTTCCCGCTCCCGGAGATGATCGAGTACCATTTGGCCGCGAGTGTGAGTGCCTCGGAGATCGACGTCTGCGTGCCAGGTGCTGTGCTTCCGGACGATCCGCTCCTCGAAGAGCCAGACAGCCACCACGATGGAGTCGCACGGATTCCACGTATTGATGCCGTACAGCTCGATCATGGGCAGCCATTGGGCGGCCTCCACCTGGTTGAGCATTGTGATGGCAGGATGATTGGCCTCCTTGGCTTTTTCGGCGAATTCCTTGAGGCGCCACTCCTGCAGAGGATTAGCATAAGGAACTGTTCTTTTCTTAAAGAAATGTACTTACTATGGGAATGTTGAATCTGTCCGGGAGACAGGGCTCCCAGGGCAGAATGGTGATCGGACAGCGACTCTTAAGGAGCACCGTGTGTGCCGCCTCCGGATCGGAGTGGAAGTTGAACTCGGCGGCTCGGGAGGAGTTGCCCACGCCCTGATAGTTGCCGCCCATGATGAAGATATCTCGAAAGTTGTTCCCGAACTGTTCTCCGTACATCGTATAGCCCAAGGCTAGATTCGTCAATGGGCCCACGGCAAAAATGGTAATCTGTTTGGGTCTCGCCTGGCACAGGGCATGGATGGCGGGCACCGCATGCTCGGGCTGCACGAAGCACTCCACTGGCTCACAGTCGTCGGGGAGGCAATCGCCGAAACCGTCGCGTCCATGAAAGTACTTCTTTTCGTCATCGCGGGATGGAATAAGAGGATCCACGGCTCCCAAATAAATAGGGATCTGAAGTTTTGGATATTTTTAGTAATATTTCCAAACTAATGATTATATTTTTTAATGGATGGTATGATTCATAAACTAAGAAAATCATTAGTAATTAGTAATGATTAAATAACTATATTTCTCACTGGAATTCACATATTTTTCAACTCTCATTGACGCGAAAAATCACTTTCTTTTCGAAGAGAATGCACGTAATAATCACTTTAAAAAATAATAAACAAAAAATATTGACCTAGAGCTAAAAAAACCTTTATAAAAAATGTGTCACATCATGAAACGCTTCTCAGCTGTTTACACAAAGGTTGAAATCGGAAGAAATCGGCGAACATGAATCCGTGAGATACTTCTCGTACTCTTGTTTGTATTTATTAAATACATATACTCGAATTGTTTACCTCTGTGCGATTGGTGGCGATGAGAATGCGCCTCATATTGCGGGCGGCATTCTCCCGGTTGGTGTTTCCACATCCCAGTGTTGTGACCGCCAGTAGCTGGATGTTGTGCGTCTTCTGGGCATGGAGCAGAAGGAGCAGAGCCCAGGCATCGTCACTTCCGCCGTCGCAGTCGAGGATGGCGTATCGGGGTGATGATGAACCATCCTCTCCTGCGATTTTTGTGTTTGTTGATTCACTCGATGCGATTGTCCGTCGTCCGTCTGCCATCGCCGGCGATTGCTGAATGACTACGGCGGACTACCACCTCATACCTCATACCATACGTACTCATCTACCTCGGAGTCTATCGTAGCGCCATATCTTGATACGGGGCTGCACTAAACCGACCTCCCTCCCTTCCGCTGCCTGCTCCTCGGATGACCGTCGCCGCAAACATGTGGGATACTTGGTGGCAACATGTGTGCCGTATTTCATGTTAAATGAAATCAGCTGCGACCGCGAGAGTGGGACAATCGGATATTCCAAGTCCGGAAGAATTTACGAGACGGGTCGACCCATAGATACCCTTCATGTCGTCGGTATCTTCATTTAAATTAATATTTTACAGATTATTCTTGACCCAAAAATATAAAAGCTTACTGGCACACACTCTCATAAGCTAATCAAGCCAGTTGCGGCAGGTCGTTCTGATAATAACGTCTATGTATGTACAATAATGAAAGTCGTTGTCCATAGACTATATCGCCCACTTGCGACAGCGACATGAAGTAATCTAGATTGTACCGTCTATGCTGGTATATATAGTATATAATTATATAGTTAAACGCATTACGGAGGGTTGATGAAGGAAAACAAGTGCCAGTTGGGCAACTTTCGCGCCCAGAGAGGCCTAAAACAAATTTAAATCATTTTCAACACAGATTAATGATGGATAGATGCATTATAATATATTTCTATATCTTTTCTATAGGTTTCTACATTTGTATCTATCTTTAAATAACACACGAAAGGAATTCTTTGTGAAGCTCTTCAAGTCTTTTTAAGTCATCTAGTTTCTTGGAGAAGATCCTTGCTCTTTCTTCGACACAAAAGGAATCCTTTGTGGAGCTCTTCAAGGCTTTTTTAAAATTCAGTTATTTCTTTAATCGTCTAGTTTCTTAGAAAAGATTCTTGCTCTTTCTTCGACACAAAAGGAATTCTTTCTGGAGCTCTTCAAGTCTTTTTTGCTCTTCAAGTCTTATTTCTTCAGTCATTTAGTTTCTTAGCAACGATCCCTACTCTTTCTTGAACACAAAAGGAATTCTTCGTGAAGCTCTTCAAGTCTTTTAGTTATTAGTTATTATTTTAGCCATCAAGTTTCTTAGAAAAGATCCCTGCTCTTTCTTCAACTGGGCTCCAGACTGGGCTTCGTTTTCTTTAGTTTCTTGCGAAGCTTCACAAGTCATTAAACGCATTCGTCTATAATTCTTCAGTATCTCTTCGCCCTCATGTTTGTATCCAGGCCACTTGCTTGGTGCTCCATAATCCTTGGCGATTAGGTATGACTTGTACACGAAAGTGGGCATCATTTTGGAGGTATTCTTTATTGGACTAGGACCAAAATCATTTAACGAAAATTCGTTTTAAAGTACAAAATAAATTTAGTTGTTTGCTGTTTCTTATGTGGATGTGAATCTATTAATGTCTAAAAGTAAAGTGAACTAAACGTAGTACAGTCTACAGGATATACATTTCCCAGCCTGCTGATTTGAATAGAATTTGAATTTCAAAATGAAACGTTTAAATATTTGCCGCCAAGTACAAAGTGCCACCGCTAGCACCGATAGGCAATAGTGCCACCACTCTTATCGCTTTCGTTGATTGTTGTTTAGCCAGATTATCATCCACATGGAAGATTATGTTAATTATTTTATCAAACTTCGCCTGAGTTGACTCTAGTTCTTATTTCTCGACATGGCGGACAGTGGAAAATGTGATGCTACCTCAAACCAAAATAACCGTTTGGTTATATTCGACTGCGATATTGGCACGGACGATGCCTGGGCCCTGGCTATGATGCTCCGGGCGGAGGATCTGTTGCTGCCTGACGGAAGACGCATTAAAGTGGTGGCCATTACCTGCGTCCAGGGCAACACGGATGTCCACAATGGAACACTAAATGCCTTGAGAATCGCTACAACGCTGAACAGAAGAGATGTAAGTATAAAATAAAATAATCATCATTTTTTCATATTTTGATTTTTAATTAAAAACCAGAACTACATAGAACAAGATTTTTGAATAAATTAGTATAATACCCAATTCTTCATTTGCAATCCCACAGGTACCAATTTACAAAGGCTGCGCTAATCCCATAGTGCCTCGGACTTGGAACTACACTTATCGCTTTCATGGCATGGACGGTCTGAACGACATCGGTGACTATCCAAACATAGACGGATACACAGAGAAGCCAGAACACGCCGTGAATGCCATGTACCGCTTGGTCTGTGAATTTCCCGGTCGTGTCGATTTCCTTCTGCTGGGACCCTTGACAAACTTTGCCAATTGCATTAACCTTTATGGAGACGATTTTCTGGACAAAATTGGCGATGTTTTCATAATGGGTGGTAATTACCAAGGCAAAGGGAATGTGTCCAAGAGCGGAGAGTTTAATTTCATGATGGATCCAGAGGCGGCGCACATTACCGTGGAAAATTTGAAAAAGCCTGCACTTATCCTACCCTGGGAGCCCTGCGTCGATGGCGAGTTCGGAGTGAGTCTCGACTGGCGGCTAAATGTCCTTGGAGCTGTTGATCATCCATTCGTGGAGCTTCTGACCAAAGTGGAGAGATCCATGCTGGTTCCCCGAGGCTTTGAGAAGTGGATTAGCTGCGATTCCCTCCTTGCGGCCGCATATCTATTTCCGGAGGCGATGATTGCCGATCAGAAAGAGTTCTATGCCACTGTGGAACTTTCCGGAATCCACACCAGAGGTCAGATGGTGCTCGATCACCTGCGTGGCCGCAAAGTGGACTCCATCCATGGCAAGAAATTCAACTTGAGGATCATAAGACGACTTCATTCGGAACCCTTCCGCACAATTATCAGCTGGGCAGGATATCTGCCCCAAGCAGACATCGCGAAACTGTGTCAGCCCAAAGCATAAACTACCTCGACAACTTAAAGCTGTTTATAATTCTTAAGCCTACCTTGACGCTATAAAGGTTTAAAATTCTTATCGTGTGATCTGTCGTGTGTCGACTAATATCAATAAGGACTATCGATGATGAACCTCCTGTCTTTTCGAATTATATGTGGGAGCGGGAAAAATATGTATGTGTTGCATAATTGCAAAGACTTACATCGATAACCATTCCATATTGTGTGTTGTAAGGTCAAAGGTGAAGAAAAAATATAGACCAGAAGAGGACCGAAGAGGTACGCGGGGCGCGCGATCGGTTCGTATTTGGATCAACAGGCGCCGGGGGAAATCTTTTTTTTTTCATTTGAATTTAACGGTTTAGGGCCCACTCACGATACACACAAGGTCCACAAAGGTTCCACATGCCACCTAAGACACATACCCAGCCAAGACACCACCCAGTGGATCCGTGACGTCACTGATTTTACTGGCTGAAATTTTGTCAAATTTTGTCTCAAATTATCGAAATTTTTCCAATATTTTTGAGTTTTCCGGAATTTTCCTGAATTTTATCCGAACGTTCTTGAGTTTTCCGGAATTTTTCTTATTTTTTCCCGATTTTCTAACGATTTTTAAACTTTTTCGGGTTTTCCGAAATTTTCCCAAACTTTCTTCAGTTTTCCAGCATTTTCCAGAATTTTTCAACAGAATCCACCTACTATGCGTTTCTGTTCGCCTGGTACTCCGAGCCTGGTACCGCGCCGAAATCCACTTTTTCGAAGCCGCAAAAAAAATTGCAAGTCATTCTGAAATATAAAAAAATTGAGAAAAATTCTTGAACATGCTGAAAAACTCAAGAAAATTTTGGAAAATTGGAAAACCGTGAAAAAAAATCGGAAGAAGTATAAAAATACGGAAAAACTCAAGAAAATTCGGAAAAAATAGGGGAAAGAGCCCGAGATTTTAGAGGCAATATCTAGATGCCGTTTGTGGTTCGATCTGGCAACCATGTACATTTTCGGAATCAGCGCTCGAATGTCCATCGAACTGCATACCACGATTTTCGATATCGAACAACTCTTTTTCGACCGATTTTTCGCTATACATACGATATTTTTCGATTTTCTCCGAAAAATTTGTTGTCCGTGTTCGACAAAATTGGTATGCAATTCGATTGACTTTGGGACGCTGATTTCGAAAATGTCAAGCGTTGCCAGATTGGACTGCAAACGGCCGATATATGGGCTCTAGAATCTCTATTTCTGGCCCGATCTGGCAGCCCTGCACATTTTCGGAATCAGCGTATCAATGTTAGTCGAACTGACAAAATACCAATTTTGTCGAAATCGAACAAAACATTTTTCAGCAAAAATCTAATAAAAAAATTATGTAAGCCTTACGGCGTTGCCAGATCGGACCACCGATTTTTTCGATTTTCGCCGAAAAATTTTTTTATAGCTCGATAGATTTTGGGGCGCTGTCGTATAGATATTTATCGATAGCTATATTTCAACACACCCCCACAGCGCTTTGCAACACCAAAACTAGGCGCCAAGTTCGAATTTCTTTCGCAGTCTTTCCAGACACAGGAACATTTATTGAAACTACAAAAAATTCGGATGTATATATTTTTTCAGGACTACAGTGGTGTACAATCAGTGTTTCAATAAATCGATGCAATGCCAAGTGATAAAATTCACAGAGTGCTTTAGTCTACTTCAATCTTATAGAAAAAAAATAGAGGTAGCTTTGGTAAAAGCCAAAGCAATAACTTTTATATAATTTTTATGTTAAATAGTAGTAGCTATATGAAAGAATCGACTGATCTTAGTTTTTAAGTTCAAAACTAACTAAACTTATGCCAACTTTGGTAGTTACGATACATGACAGCTAGATACTATATCTTGGTATAGGATATTACAATTTGTATAATTTTTGTTTAATTTTTAGTAGAAAATATATTATTAAAAATTTTATCTTCCAATGCTAATTGACATGCATCCTGAATGTGAAAATACTACATAGCATATATATATGTTTCTGATAAAAAAAATGGTGTTTCTGAGTTTAAGTTTTTTTTAAAACATACTATTTAGATAGTTGCTGATAGTTTAAATTAAACATCTAGATAGTTTACAAAAAACGATTGCATTACAAAAATAAGACCTAAAATATAATGTTTGTTAAGAATTAGAAAACAAATTTCAATAGGATAACAATTTTTTGTAGTTTTTCATAGATTTGACAACTCACTGTACACAACCAGCAAAATTAAATATTTACAACCAACAATCGTATGTTTTTTAAAGGAAAATATTGGCCAAATCAAGCCTTAAAAGGTGTGCGACTTATTTTACTAAAATTACGGAAAGAATTTTGTGTTTTTTTTTAAGATAAGGCCGAATGGAAAAAGACTGTAACTGCATATTAAATGGATCTAGAATCTAGATTTAGAGAAGGAGCTACATCTAGGCCTACACTTCCTTTTCATTTGAATATATATGTACAGGATAATGCCTTTTGCTGATGTGCCCGATTATTTAAAGCTACATATTAGTGATTGGCATAGGCTAACATTAAAAGAGTACATTTTAAAAAAATGTTCAAGTCAAAGTTAATTATCAATTCCGTTTAGGTTTCATAAAGTTGTAGAGTGAGGAACAAATACGAATACTAGGACTATAAACTAAGCAGTTTCTTTGGATTTGACATATTTTAAAATGGCCACAAAACATTCAAAATTAATTTAAGTTACGAGCAATAGAAGGCACATAGTAGATAACAGTGGATAGAAGAATTTATACATTAAGATATATATATCCTAAAAGCTACAATAATTTGTTTGTGCTATCATTGCAGCAAAAGGCATTGAACTGCAGATCTAAAAAAAAAAATTAATTATGATATATGTGTCTTGTATAATTCCAACAGTGCGTTTTTGTATAAACTTTTGCGAGTATATATTGTTCCTAGACGGGAATTCCCGTGCGATCCTTGATCTTTCCGAGGACATTCACATGAACTTTCGAGTAGCCACTTGGTTTCTTGGACAATCCTCCGGGAGCAGCAGCACCAGGCAGCGGAACCGCTGCCGTTGAAATGCCTACGTCTATCGAGGCCGATGCCGAGGCCGAGGACAGTGGCGATGAGTGCTTGGAGTCGTCCAGGTGGGAGGATCTTTGGGTGGAGATGAGGAGATCCTCGCTGCTGGGCCGCATCTGCGCCGAGGAAGGTGTGTAGATCGGTTGCAGTTTGTCCACCTCGTCGTCGATAGCCTTGAACTGCCAGCTCCAGTTGGGTCTGTAGAGGAAGGGCCGGTGATCGAACCGATTGTCGTCCGGACTGTATCCCTCGGCGTGCACCGACGGCGTCAGCACGGTCATCTTGTGCCTATTGATGGCGTAGCACCTAAAGAAGTGCTTCACCTTATCGGCCACCTCCTTGGGACTAAGGTCGCCCTTCCAGGTGGCCACCAGCCGGCAGAACATACTATACGGCCCGCAGAAGGATTGTTTCCTCAATCTTCCGTACTCCGATAGCTCCGCATACGTCATTCCCATGTCCTGCTCATCCGTCTGCTGGAGTTCTCCGTTCTCCTGGAGCGGTTCCAGCTCCGCGGTGGGCGGGGCCTCGATGATCTGTTCCAGAACGGGTAGATTGAACCTACATAAAAAGATTAAAATGGTAAGAGGCTGGAATATGTGTGGATATGACCCTCTCACTCACTTTTCTTTGGCGTAGGCCAGAAATCTTCGCAGGTCCGTCTTGGAGATGCCGCCAATAGGATTAATGTCCGCCGAGGAGCAGTCGTACTTGGTGAGGTATCCCCGCAGGGACTCGTCCACGTTAGCAGAGCCTAGGACGAGAAGTCCACCCGGTCGATTTCTGACCCACAACATCAGCTGGGCGAAGATGTAGGCCAGGACCATGCGGATGCGGGATTGGATGTTCTGGAGAGCCAGATTCTGGCGGGCACAGCCACCCTGGGTGCGGAAACGTGGTGTCAGGCCAGTGACGGCATTAAAGATGCCCAGCAAGGCATTGACGGCGAGGTCGATGCTGATCTCGATGTGGTAGCTGCCCAGTTGGTTGGCCAGTTGGGCGGCTCGTCGGCGAGTCTCCTTGCTACTGTTGACGCTGCCCATGAAGCAGGTGACGAGCAATCGGTTGCACAGCCCGGCAGCGTTGTCCGGCGTGTAGTCCGTGTCGGCCAGGATCTTGCGGATGTCGTGCAGCACCTGAGCGTCGCCCAGCTGAACAGCCTGGACGATCAGCCGGCACATGGAGTGAACTATGGTGGCGGAGCTGCTGGAGTCCACACCGCCACTCAAAGGCAAGAAGAAGCCACCTTGTCCCGAACGCCGAAGGTAATCCCACAGCCAGCAGGCGGGGCCCAAGGCTATCTCCTCCTCCGGCGTGTGGTTGGGCCAGTTGAGGGGCGGAGTCGAGGTCTTGAATATATCACTGTGGGTTGACATCTCGAAGTCGCAATGAATCCTGGGATAATTTGCTGCCCCGGCGGCGGCCGAGCATCTCGATCGCAGGCTAACCCTATAGGCTCTGATCTCCTCCAGATCAATTGTGGCCAGGGTGACCTCCACATCCTGCAGCGCGAACTGCTGGCCCCTTGCCAGGAGCTCTCCGTTGAGGGCGATGGCCGAACAGCCGTTAAAGTAGACCCGCTGGCCGTCGCATCCGCGCAGATTGCTGAAGAGGTAGGCTCCTCCCGCCTTGAAGCTGGCGTTTCGGATGAGATCGGTGGTGATGTGGGCCTTCCTCAGCTCCATATAACTACCCGAGCTGTTCACTATCAGCTCCACTCCTGCCAGCGACATCTCGATGTGCTTGCTTCGCACATTCCACAGCTCCTCGCAGATCTCGTAGCCCAGGCATGTGTCCCTGGTGGCGATCACCGCATCCCCGAACGGCACCGTCTGCTGCCCTGTGTGCTGGGCAATCATTCGCGGCAAGACAAACTCCTCCGTTTGCAATGCCTTTGTCCAGGCGGTGAACCAGCGTGACTCCCGATAATTGCCATCATCGCACATGGCCATCTTGGGCCGGATGAGGAGCAGCTGGCGATTAAAGAACGCCACCCGACAGTTGTAGGCCACATTGCGATGCATCACCGGCATTCCCACGTCCACCAGCATGTTCTCACTAGCGATATGGAGGATATATAATAGAATTTTATATAATTGCAGAGAAAACTCACCAAATGGGCGACATCATGACCTCCAGGAGCACTTCCCAGGAGTGCAGGAATGTGTCCGGCTCTCGGAAATGATCCTCGCAGCTATAGCCACTGTGGAAGAAAGATATAATTAATTAAATATTATGATATTTATTATTATATACTCTTCTCAACTCACCAAACCTCCAACTCGGGTCCTGTCCTATAGCTGGCCCCCATATCCTTGGCCTCCAGTATGGACTGCAGTATCCTGGCCATGTTGCCCTCAAAATCCAGGGCCCATTGATTCAATGTGGACACAGCCACCGTAACTTTGCGTCCCATATCGAGTTTTTTTTTATTGTTTTTTTTACAAATAATTTAATTAAATTTCACTGTTTTTTTTTTTTTAGTTGGTTCCTTGGTTTTATTTGTTATCCTTGTTGTTGCGTTTCTTTTATTTTTTTGTTTTTATTGTCAGTTCAAAAATCGGCAGTTATCAACTGAAATAAATGAGAAAGAGTAGCCACAAATTAATTAATTACACAATGCAGTGGCAATTAGTTAGTGATTATGATTATTGCAGCAGAAACGAACTTTTCTGCTTCTCGGGGACTTTTGGTCTGGCTTTTCGATGATTGTTGATTGTTGTAGTTGCCACCAGATGTTGCTAGTCGCCAGTTGCTATTGTTATTATGGTTATTGTTGCTATTGCCACTTGCCACTTGCCGCTGCTGCGGCCATATATCTGGGTTATTGATCAAACATCTGCCAAGTCGCCGGTGGCAGCGGTTCTCAAAAAAAAAAAATATTGCCCCGCTGACGTAGCCGGCATCTAAAATTAGAACTCCATAAATTCATAGGGCGGGGGGAGGGGGCAAGGGGCAAGGTATAATGTGCCACCACAAAATCATGGCTCAGTTAACCCTCGAACTTTGACCAAAAAATAAATATGCATCAAAAAAGCTAAAAAGTTTGCAGGAAAATAATTGTAGGAAAACATGTAACTGATACAAGGATATTTTTTAAAAGAAATGGTTTTAGTTTTTAAATAAATTATTTTTAACTTTAACAAGGATTTAAAAAAATCTCTATAAGTATACTATATTTTATAAAAATCTATTATAAACCTATTATCTATTCTACATACCTATTATCTATCTATTAACCTCTAACCTATTATCTGTAATATAGTATCTACCTTTAATTAACCCCTTGATAACCCTTACCATTCATGGGTTAAGTCGAGGCTTAATTAATATTTACTCAAAAGAGGAGTGCGTTGCACTTCGGAAATTCCCCATCAAGTTGAGGAATTTCCGTTGCCTTGGCCACATCCTTTTTGCCACCAGCCCTCCCTCACTGCTTTTACTTGCCAGAGGCAGTAGCCACAACTCCCCCCTCCCCCCTCCAACCTGCCACATTTTTCACCTGCCCTGCCACCAAAACTTCACTCCACTCCACTCCATATATCATTCATTTATCGTGACGCACTTTTGGCATTTTGAGCTGAAAAATTGAAAGCCAAAATGAATAAGAGCTACACTGAGAAAAACTTGTGATATTTTACAAAATTTTATTACAAATTAAGTGAAAAAAAAAATAATTAAAATTTGATTTTTTTTATATTTAAAATTTTATTTAAAAAAAAACTTGAAAAAATAACATATTTTTTTGAGTGTTTTTTTGGTTTAAAAAATTTAAAAATTGTATGCAAATTTTCTTTGCAAAGCTAAAAGTTTAAACACGCAACCCACGCATACACACACACACCACAAACACACACGCACACACTAATGCAATCCTTAAGGTGAAATTTTCTCATAAAGTTCAGAGTTCATTTAGTTTTCCACATAGAAAGTCGCGCATATTAAATTTTCTGGCGCTTGATGGCAACCTGACAGCAACACATTCGCCCCCAACCTTTGACCCCAAAGGCCCTCTGCTACCACCAACCACCCCCCGCCTGGATAAAGTTTTGATAAAGTTGCGTTTAGGATTTTTCGACGCCTCTGCCATATGTGTGTGGGAATTTTAGTGAGACGGACTGTCAGTTGCATTCTTGTCAGTTTTCCTTCTTTATAGGACAAGTTTTTTGGGAAAAAAATATGCAAAAAGGATAGAGAAGGAGACGAAAGGATATGGAAAAATATGGAATTTATATTTGGGTTATAAATAAAATTTAATTTAATTTAATTTTTAGACTCAAAAGATAAGAGAAATGAATTAATTTTAAGAAGTCCAGAGCCCAGAAGATTATATTAATGATACCCCATACTTTTCTTTTATTTCTATTTCTAAACCTTAAACTACCTTTAAAAAAAAACTATAAAATATAAACTTTTATTTTATAACTTAATTAATAAACTAAACTTTATTAAAATAATTCCAATCCCCAAAAAAAAAGTCAAAAATCCCTTCCAACTGAAAAAAATTTGAAAGAAAAACACTGAAACCCAAGTCAGGTGTTTAATGGCATTGGGCGTAAGGGGGCGTGACGAATTGGCATGTTTATGTGTATGTGTGAGTGTGTGTGTGTGAGGCGGTATGCGTGCCGCAAGGGAAATGCATTGAACTTTGAACCGCGCCAAAGGGCAAAGCTTCGTTCAGTGCAAAATGCAGAGAAAAAGCTGGAATGCAGAATGCAGAAAAAAAAACTTTTGCCAATTGGCAGCCAATTTTAATGGCAGCAGGCGGTGTCGAGGGGGGGGGAGGTGTATATCTGATAAATATGCTAGTACATACGATTATCTGTAATAAAGGGTGTTGTTGGTTACTATCTCTCCAAAAAGGGTTAACCCAAAAAGACAAGGGGGTTATATGATACCCGGTACTTGGACTTTTTTAGGAGAGCTTTTGTAGCTTTTCTTTTGAGAGTCTCCTTTGGGAGATGATAGTTATTATACCCGATACTTATAGCATCCTTTGATATGACTAAGATAAAGATTCTTTTAAGAAAACTGAAATGAATGATACCCGATACTTTCTCTTAAATGCCAATTTTGAAATAATTTTAATTAAATTATATAGAAAGGATCAGAACTGATGAAACTCTAGAGAAGATCACCCTGTATCCTCCTAATGGACTCGCATGTGCATTATAGCATTATGGCAGTAGGTGCTGGCACGCCAGCCGGCCCGCTTTTCCAACTTCGGCTTGGGCTTGGGCTTGGCAGCGGTTCTGGGTTCTGGGAAAGCGGGAAAAATGCCCAAGGAAATGGGAACGGACCGTGGTCGGGGTGTCGGGAAATGGTAGATGGTAGCTTGGGTGTTGAGGCATGAGGAAAACCCATTGGCACAGAGGTGCCGCATCCTGGAGCTTTTGCTGTTGCTGCTGAATTTCCTTTGCTGATAGCTGCCACTAATGCAACTAATTCGCTTTGATTTGTTTGCCAGTCCGCGTCGCATTGTCACGAATTGTGTTCGGCGGAGGCTCTGTTTCCGTTTTTTTTTTTGGCAATTTTAGTGAAACGGAACTCCTTACCGTTTCCGTTTCCGGATAGAATCCGGTGGCCAGTAGCAGGCAGTCGCCAGTCGCCAGCCACCAGTCATCCGGTATCCGGCGTCGGACGCCGTTCATTACTCCAGAAACTCAACCTAACCGGGCTGATAAAAAATACTATTATTTTTTTTCAAGTGCTGATTAAAGAAAAGTAAGCCGGATAGAGAGATGATTATAGAAATCGAGACAATCGCAGTGTGCTGTTTGATTTGCCATTTCAAAATAGCCGTCGGTGGGAAAGTAGGCCCAGAGACTTCAGTTCGATTCGGCCCAACAACACACCACACACGACACACTCGGCACACCCACAAAATACTCCAATCTGACCCCCAAACACACACTTTCGAATCCTTTAGCAAATACTCCACAATACACACATGAACACACAAAAAGCTAAAATCCTTATCCAAGTTGGACACAAATTCAGTTCCAAGCTCGTCCACACGTAGTTCCCAAAAAACATCATTTTTCGGAATCGCTCAGAAAATTGCATATCGCATTCCATCGGTCGCCTCGCCCAAAAAAAAAAGCATTTCCTTAAAAAATTGAGAAATAAATTGGACATCAAGATCACGGATTAGACAGACAAGCTCCAGATTAAGGCTAAGATGCAGAAGGGAGTCAAGGATAAGGAGAACCGGGCAACCAGTACAGGTCCGGAGATCTATGAGTTCAATCAACAGCAGCAGCAGCAGCAACCCAATCCCGGAAAGGCCAATGAAGGTGAGTCCATGGGGGTTTCTTTCTAAGGTTGGGCTTATAATTTTATACAATTCTTAAGTCCAGAATTAAGCCTACTTTAAGGGTATAAGGATGTGCGTTATGAAAATGAATATCAATCGGTTCTGGTATCTTTTTAGAATAGTCTAATTCTCATACCCTATAGTACATATTATAGCATAGTATAGTAGTGCCCTCTTTGTATTGTACAGTATAGTATAGTATAGGCTTTGGGTACTATATATACATATATATACATATATATACATTTAATATACATATAAATTTTCATATCCTTATATTTTTAATATCCGTGAATTTTTCAATAGGGACTCATGAATTGAATCATGCGCGTCACTAATAAGATGACGAGGCATTTAGCTACCTATGCGAAAGTAATTCAACTCCCGCCGTCTTAAGGTTTAAGACTTATAACAATACATGTTTAATATTTTTAATATCCATATATTTATAATATTCATAATATCCATATATAGGCTATAGTACCCAAATCCTTTTTCTCATTTCTCACTATAATTCTCAAGTTTTTTAAGCAGTGCAATAGAAAACATCATAAAATAGTTCCCAATTATAAACTATTTTTTGTTTTTGGTTAAAAATTACTTTATATATAAGAAGTATATTTAAAATTAATTCCAACTAGGCGATTTTAGTGACGAAATTTCCGACTGAAAAGGTTCAAATCATTGTAATTCCCAACTAGTATAGGAAATATGCGTTTTTTACTTCTTAAAATTCTTAAAATAGGTCATTAATCATTCAATTTTACTTGATTTTTAGTCGCGGATAAATTTAATGAAAAGAATTCTAAGAAAACCTTATAAACTAAGTCATAAGTTATTATTTTTGATGGTTTTTGCCTATAATTCTCAACTGGTTATGGTAGAGAATCTCTTTCAAGCTCTTCCAGTCTTCCAAGCCGCTTTAAAAAGCTTTCTTCTCCTGCCCTTGTTTTCAAACTCTATTTAAACAAGAGTCGGCTTATAAATCTGTTTCTAAAAGTCTCTAAAAATATTCTCCATCAAATTCCTAGTTTAAAAAAAATATATATATAAAAATAAAGTTCCTCCCACCCACACCTGCCCACCAATTACCACGAAAGCCTTTTTATAAATAAAACGCTCCCGAAATATGGCTGGTATTTCTTGAGTTCCTTGTAGGCGGCTGGCGTTTTAGTTTTTTTTTGGCTTTTAGTTGGCATTTGACGTACCTGACGCCTGACGTCCACCGTAAATAGTTGAAAAATTGTTTCTTTTTTTGGGTGGCCCGCCGTTCTATTTTCGGCCCAGCTCTAAATGCATATCAATAAACGGCGAAAAACAAAGCACTTTGCCGCTCCTGTCACTGTCTTGACTTGCCCCAAGCCCCACCGAGGGGGGGGGGGGGAGCACCCATCGGATAGGCTTCACTGTACTGCGGGCGGCCGCAGTCGAGCAAAAAAAAAAACACATTCTACACGAAACCATTGAGCAAACACAACAAGAAACAAAATAACAAAATGAAGAATAAAATATTAAAGACGAATTGTAGCATACTCTTCGGTAGGGATTTCAGAACCTAGACCTTAAGAAAAAGCTAAGATAAGGGCCATTAACCCATAGGTATTCTGTCATGATGTCCTTTTTTGAAAACAGGTCCAAATACCCCCTCAGTTAGGGCATCAAAAACAAAGGAGACGCAACCAATTGGTGAAACAAAATGACAACACCGCGACATGCAAGGCAAGGTTTTCCATGGGGTTAAGGATCGGGGATCGGAGGTGACGGTGGTGGTGGTGGTGGCACGGGGTCACGGGTGGTGCGGTGTTGCAGCAAAGTGTTCGACCCGGCCTAATGACGCATTGCAGACAAAAAAGCGATATGACACACCGCATGGCGGTTGCTCCTCTGGGTGCGGGGATATTGCGATTATTAATCAATATTCCGGTAATCTGTATTCCGGGGATTTATATTTACGACTTGCGATTATTAATCAACATAATTTATTTATAGTCCTTATAGTTCAATATTATTAGATTTATGTGCCGAAAGGGCAACACAAAATCTTAATTAAAATTACTTGGATAGACTCTTGCGTGGCACCACCACCACCACCAGTCAAGTCATTGAGATTGAGTCGGCTTTAAGGACCTCTTCTCTAAGGACGTCCCGCCGCTGCCAGGGCGCTGTCAAATGTCAATAAGCCGACATCGTCTCCATCTCCGGCAAAAACAACTAAACCCATAGAGCCATATAGTTGAAAAATTGGTGCCAAGCGGCCCACACAAGAATCGAGGGCCAAAAACAAAGAAAAAAAAAATAGAAAATATTATATGAGAGTCGGAGCTGGGTAGCTCACGATTGCCAAATCAGCCATTTTCTGGCTATTAGGTTGGCCAACAAAAATTCACATAAATGCGGAATATTTCTGACAGTGATTTATGAATATGGAACAAGATGTGTCGCTTGAAATCTTGTCAGAAAAGTCATTAAGTAATTAGGGAAAATATATGAAAATATAGGTAAAATATAGAGGAGTTTATTGAGAATTTTTTAATAATTATCTCTTCTACTAGATTTTTCTTATCTTTTAAATTTTGTTTATTTTTCCAACCGCCATTTTCAAAACTGGCGCCCAACACTGTTGAAAATCGTTCACGCGCCCGAAAAGTAGGCAACAAAAAAATGAGAAATGTGAAATTGAGGTGGAGAGGGGGCGGGAGAGGCTTAAAAAAGAAAGGACCCGCTTGTCCTGGCTCAAGCGGGATTTAGCTAGCATATTTTTATACCCATATATGTTTATATATACATATATATATATATATTTATATTTATTTTAAAATTGCAAAACAAATGCTTTGGGATTGGGATTGGTTGTGGATGGTTGGGTTGGAAGGGACTTGGGGGGGAAGGACGTTGCTGCGCTGTTTATAGCCCATGTCGTGCGCAATTTATGTTAATCACAACGGAGTTGCAAAGGGGTAACAGTATAGGGGGCACTATACTTCTCCTCCTCCTCCTCCTCCTACTCTTACTTCTATCCGACCGAGCCCCTATGCCGCCCCTTTCACCTAACCACGCCCCCATTTTGCCGTGAGTATAGTAGGCCTACAACAATATAAAAAAAAAATATGTTGTTGTTTTTCTGTGTATTCTTTTAATACACTTTCCAAAGGGATATTAGAGATACTATACTAGATACTATATACTATATAGAACTACAGTGGCGAGCAAAATTGAGTGCATGTTCACGACTCAGACTTTCGTCACCCATAAAATCATAATAACACAACAAAATCCAAAAATTTTTTTTGTTTTCTATTAATTATTTAATTCTTAATTAATTCTAAACAAAAACAATGATAATATACATGAATTCGAGGAGACATAAATTAAAAACGAAAAAAACCCACATAAACTCAATTTTGCACGTGGCACTTTTTCACCTATTTTCCTTTCTTACTTCTCTTATTAGCACAAATCGGCAAGATTTACCGTTATTTTTGATTTTGTTTTATTTCTGATGTTCGTAGCAAAGATTAAAACGTGCTTCAGACTAAGAAAAGTGTTATTGAATTAGCTTTTAATTATAAATTATTTGTGGTAAATTTGCCAGCGAAATAATGCGAAAATTATCTGAAGATATTGAAAATAATGTAGTATGCCTGACCGAGAATGGTTCTACATCACGTGCAATTTCTAAGAGGCTTGGTATAAGCCAATCGGCGGTAATCGCAGTTCAGAAGAGACGGAATGTGACTCCCAAACCGCAAGTTGCAGGTCGCAAGAAATTATTGAAGGAGTCAGATGCTCGACTAATGATGTCTGAAATGAGAAGGAACAAGCTTCTAACACCAAAAGGTGCTTCTTTAGCTATTAACAAGAATGTTAGCGAATGGACAGCTAGAAGAGCGCTGCGAGACATCGGCTATATTGCAAGTGTGAAAAAAAACAAACCTGCATTATCCGATAAAAATGTTAAAGCGAGATTAAAATTTGCAAGGGACCACAAAAATTGGAGTGTTGAAGATTGGAAACGTGTTGTATGGTCTGACGAATCCAAATTTAACCGCTTTCAGTCTGATGGAAAGCAATATTGCTGGCGTAGACCCGGAGATCGAATCCAAAGACACCATGTAAAAGAAACTGTAAAACATGGTGGTGGTGGTATTATGGTTTGGGGATGCTTCACATGGTGGCATGTTGGCCCTCTACAATTAATAGAAGGTATTATGCGAAAAGAGGACTACCTTCATATCTTGCAGACCAATCTTCCCAATTTTATTGAAAAATGTGCTTATCCCGATAAAGAAATTGTTTTTCAACAAGATGGGGATCCAAAGCACACTGCGAAAATTGTGAAAGAATGGATTGGAAAGCAACCTTTTCATTTAATGGAATGGCCAGCACAAAGTCCCGACCTCAATCCGATTGAAAATCTTTGGTCAATCGTGAAAAGACGGCTCGGGCAGTACGAAGCAGCTCCATCAAACATGGGCAACCTTTGGGAGCGTGTTGAAGCTGAATGGAGACGTATTCCCAAAGAAATAATAGAAAATTTGGTAGAGAGCATGCCTAATCGCGTCCAGGAAGTTATCTTAAATAAGGGTCTTTGGACAAAATATTAATATTATTTTAATAATTAAAACTTTTTGAAACGTGCAAAATTGAGTTTATGCGGGTTTTTTTCGTTTTTACTTTAAGTCTCCTCGAATTCATGTATATTATCATTGTTTTTGTTTAGAATTAATTAAGAATTAAATAATTAATAGAAAACAAAAAAAATTTTTGGATTTTGTTGTGTTATTATGATTTTATGGGTGACGAAAGTCTGAGTCGTAAACATGCACTCAATTTTGCTCGCCACTGTATATAATATATAAATAATAATAATAATGGTAGGTATAATAGAATATAAACAAATATGTAAAGCCAATATCTTTAAGATCCTTTCTCCAAAAGAAAGTCATAGCCCCCCTTAAGGGTATTTCAAAGTCCATGGTTCGAGCCGTGTCCCTCATGAATCTATTTTTTTTTTTTTGTTGCTTTTTGGTCGGTGCCTTGCACAAAGGCAACGCCGTGGCAGCAACAATTTTAATGCCGTGGTTTGCTGTGATTCGCAATTTCGCCAAAGGCAGTAGCTGTGGCAGTGGCAGTGGCAGCGGCAGAGACGGAGGCCGTCGCCGCCGCCGCCGCCATTGTCGTCCGGATTGGTTTCGTAGCTTCAGTCAGCAGTTGCGCTAGCAGCTGAGTTGAGCCAGAAGCCCAAACCGCCTGAGCCTGAGCCAGAGCCTTAGCAGGAGAAGAAACCATAAACCGTTAGGATAGCTGGACAGGACACAACGCGCGCGCGTCTCTGTCCACTCGCTACTTATCTTATCATAAATACGCTGTTTTTTTTCGAGTGTGTGTGCGTGCGCTGAGTCAGCAACTTTGCACTTGTGATGGCGCTGACAGCGACAGCGGCAGAGGAGCAAGTAGAGAGGGAGAAGCCCAAGGAGGCAAGTGTGAGAGAAGTCACAGCTTCCTTCAGCTGTCTGCTACGAAACTTGAGCTCAGCTTCGATGAGTCGACGCCGCTGCCCGCTCGCTCTCCTCAAGCCACTGCCCCTTCGGTCAGGGCGGGGCGGGGGAGGAACCGAAGATAACACGTCCAGCGAGAGATGCTACAGCAGCTGCAGCGACAGAGACAGCAACAACAATAGAAACACTCAAGATGACGAGGACGATGATGATGATGATGATGATGATGCTGAGGACGAGGATGATGAGGAAGATGATGTCGATGAAGAGCGAGAGGGTGAGCGGGAGCGGGAGGAAGGAGAAGCGGCTGAAGAAGCTGAGCTGGAAACACAAGTGGAAACGGAGGTGAAGAGAGAGGAAACCGTTAGCGTCAATGTGGTGAGAGCCAACTTCAAATGCAATGACATGGAATGCTCCCTCGTCCTCGGCGACTACGTGAATGGTGAGTGCCGTTACCGTTAGTTCGCCCCACTTTCTCTAGTTTTTTTTGTGTTTTGTTTTTGTGGCACAACCACCATCATCGCGCGCGCCACTCAAGAAGTTTATTCAAACGTCGATGTCAGGATAATGAAGATTCAATTTTATGTGACGGCAGAGATAAAGTGAAATGGAAAGGAAACATGAAAGGCAAAGGGGGAAGAAAGCCTGCAAAGAAACCACGTTTTGAGGGTTGTAGAAAGTCTAGAACTTACAGCAGAGCCACAAAATGTGGCGTTTTATATTTATATCTTCTCTATAAAGCTGATCTGAAGGGTTAAAGTTTGAAAAAAGGCGCTGTCTTAAAGAGAAATCTAAAGAAAAACAAAAATTACGTATACGCAGTGTTGGTAGAGGGGTTTAAAAATACCTCAAATTGTTATCAGGCTTTACTAAGATTCTCTATTCGTAATTTGTGATTAGAAATTTATACTTAGGAACACATACATTAGCTATTATCACTAGGAGTTATAATATTACGTATACGCATAGTGTACAGGTGGAAATTCTATTGAGGAGATATGTGTTTCTAAAAATTAAGCCGTAATTGTCTTTAATTTAATCACAACAATTTCTTAGAAAGATTATACAAATAATATTGGAATTTTTGTTATTTATTTAAATGTAGACAGGTCGTATACGTGATTTTTTTTCTTAGAAATATTTTAAACATAAACATCAAAGGCTAAAGACTAAATCTTATGGTCCAAAATAAAGAAAATTAAAGGCCAGAATCCTCTTTATCTCCCTTAGGATAACACCCCCTATTCAATTCAACATTGATTAAAATCATTTCAGCATATGGGAATACATGGCGTATACTTGATTTTTCGAAAAAACCATAACATGTTCGATAGAAACAACCTTTCTTTTTGGATGAAACACACTCATCGAATGTATAAATACACTTCACTTAATTTCCAAAACATCAAACTCAATCTCAAGAGCTTTGGACATCAAAAGAGACTATGAATATCGGAGGATATATCCATCGGGAATATTATTCAGCAAGTTCATAATTCGCTTTTCACTTCTAATTCATGTACATCGTTTATCTCTGTCACAATTATTAGACTGTTTCAAAATGCGGATTTGGATTCGGGTGATTTTATATTTTGTGTGAACAGAATCACCGTACACATGTCGGTCGGTGGCTGCCAAAATATGGCAAAACGAAAACTTTTAATTGCAATTTGTTAATTTGCCCAAAGCAGCCAGCAAACGTATAGAGGAGGTACAGTGGAGCATGCTTATGAGGGAGGAGTAATAATAATTTTAATGAAATTATAAATTATCAATAGTAGGGGCCTGTATCTTAGAATCTTGTAAGATCCTTCTTTTAATATCTAATATTCCTTATAGCCAGTGTCTACTGTTTAAAGCCAAGGCGAGATTTTGAAGGGGGCTGAAAGCTAATCGCTGGCACAATTCGATGATTGACGAGGGCCGAGCACTGCTGCAAATGTGGCGAAAGGAGGCGGGGGAGGGGTGTCGGGGCATGAGGAATATCATGCGTTTACGGTTCGGTGAGAGAGAGTCTCTTCTTCGTTGTTTCAGTTTTCGGTTTTCGCCTTGGCAGTCACGGCAGTCTTGCCAAAATAGAAAACACATAAATTGCACGATCAAGATCATTGCTGTAGCAGCTCCTCCTTCTCCTCCGTTTCCTCCTCTTTCTTCTTCTTCCTTTTCTTTTGCATCCACTTCGATGACATAATCCCTATAGGCACGACAAAAAAAAAAACAAAATGGTGGTCTAGCGGGCGGCGAAGATGAGAGACTGCGACTGATTAAAACTTTTCACAGCCATCTTCCCGCTCTTCCACGCTCTCTCTTTCTCTTCCTCTTTGACACCTGTTCGTTTTGTGTCCGCGTAGGCAGCTGACAGCAGCTGCTGCTTCATCCACTCTCCTCCCTTCCTCTCTCTTGCCTTTTCACAGTCGCAGCTGCTTTAGCTGTTGCTGCTACCTATGCTGCTGCTGCTGCCGCTGCTTCTCCTCTGCCAACTGTGGGAGCGACTTTGACAAATTTGTTTGGCGTTGAGGCTTTTCTTTGCCTTTTCCTGGCACCTTTTACCGTATTTTTTAGTCTGGCTGACCATCAAAATCAGCTGTTTCAACAGTTTGGACTTATTTGATTGATCAGCTGGATTTAGAGACAGGAAAAAGCTCTAGATATAGCGGTTTTTTCTTAAAATTCGAAGACTCCTTTTAACTTCTTTTGTCGGTAATGACTTCTTAAATCATTTAAGCTTAAAATGAATATTTTTTTAGAATAATAGCGCTTTCAAAAAATATTTCAGCTTGAAATTAAGCCAATATTTTGTAGGCCATATTTAACAAACCCAGCTTACAAAAAAAGTTGCCTACTTATTGGGGCGCTTGCAGAGCTTAAGCTTCGAGATCGATCTTTACTAAGATTTTTTCTTTTTAAATTTTATATTCCATTAAAAAAAATACTACAAAAATTTATAATATTTAAAAATCAAAGTTTTAAAAACAAGAAACCTAAAGAAAAAGATTTCTTAAAAATCCAAACTAACCAAAGTGGTAGTGAGTGCTACTACCTGACAGGTGAACTGCTCCCACCTTCGGGCCGAGCAAACATTTGTTGCTCGTTAGAAATATTATGCGGAGATTTGTTGTGACAATGTATGTGTGTGTGTGTGTCTGAACTTATTTTATTTTAATTTTTTTTTCACCTTTGGCGTATCCAAGGCTGGTTGCCTTTGGCTTTGTTTGAGCCATCGAATCGAATTCATGTTCACGGCATGCCACGAACCGATGGAAGGGGTTCTGAGGATGGCTTTTAGTTGGAATACACATACATATATATAGGAGAGTAGGAACATAGGGACAGGACAGGGTGCATGGTCATAGGCATGTGGAGGACGACTACCTACCTTGCACTTCCTTCGGAGCAGCACCACTAGAGCAGCGGCATTAGAGACAACAAATCGCAGAGAGAAAGAGAGGAGCTTTGTTTATTTGTTTATAACAGTCGCAGTTGGAAATTCGAGTTGGCTCACAACGGCTCGAATTATATCGGTTGCCTGCCTGCCTGCCTGTCTGCCTGCCGGATGGCTGAGGAATTTGGTAAATCAGTAGTTATCATTTCTTAACGCGGCACAATGCCAGACGGGCCGAGCCGCAACCGCTTCGAACCAAAAGGCCATTGAAAATTACGAAGGATTTCCTCCAAAAACCAAAAAAAAAAACAAAGACAAAAGGAGATATAAGGAGGGGAAATGCCGCGGTTTGTTTGTCGATTGATTGCATAAGGACGTGCAGGACTATTTGCATTTTTTCATGTGTGCCAAAACGCCAATCGAGTGAGTGACGAGAGTGAAATCAATCAACAATCTCTGTGCAAGTATTGCATCAACAACAGCAACAGGATATAATGTCGTAAGGATATACAGCCGTAAGGATATCATGGACTTTGGCGGCGGTCGTGTGCAGTTCCTGCAGGCCCAGCTGTTTCCTGTTTGTACCCTAACCACATCCAGTGGAGGTAATATTCATAGACTATCCCTAAGTTTAGTAGCTATTACTTACTTTCGTTTAATTAGTTTGTAGAATCCTGTGGTAGATATACAGATTGTCTAAGGGCACCTCGGTGTTGTTGTTGTTGTTCGTTGATGATAGATAAATAGGGTTCCACTGTACTACATAGTATCAGTATCAGTATCAGGAATCGTTGTGAATTCGAATCGTTGCCAAAGAGTATCCTTGCTCCTTCCTCAGCTCACCTCCTGTTTGGATGGATAAAGTGCGGATTAGAATGGGAATTAGAATTAGCTGCAAAAACGATTTATTGAGATTGATTTTACGAGAAGTAGTTGCCACTTATGGCTGTCATGACAACCAGAGTAGCGCCACCCAACACACAAAATCATTAACACAGAAAATCGAGAATAGCAATTCGGAAATCGGTAATATCCTGTTGACAACGGGCTCCTTAAGACACACCACACCACCACCACCTCTGGAAAGTGCTATTTGAACCCAATCGAGTTCACTGAATTGCGATTAACGTCATTCCACCTGCATAAATCACAGACAGTCGGCCACAAACCCCACCGAGGCCGAGGCAGTAAACTCATTATTGTTCATTCACTCCCAGATATAGGGGTCTCTGATGACAGGGAATAGAATTAAATGAATATTATACAGATGGGGGGAGGGAATTATTATTTGAAGGGGCTATCTGGGATATATATGCATCTGGGTTAATGCAAATTATAATTAAAGACAATTAATTAAAGACGAAAACAAGGTCTTATAGTCTCGAGAAATGCCTGGAGAAATGGCAAACAAAGAAGAAATGCTATTCATAACAACGAATATTTATTAAATTTTTATTCATTTTCATGAAAATGGAAATGGAAAATGAAAAGTGCAACAATAACAAGTAAACAAAGAAACATGAAGAACAAATAACGTCAAAAAAAAAAATGCGGAATTGTGAAATATACTGCGCCTTCAATAGATCTGAAGATCAGAAATTCCCGAGTAAGTCCCGAGAGTCTGAGGTCCTCCTCAGAAGGCCTGTGCCTGTGCCTGTGCCTGTGATGAGGCATTGGCCGAATGCCTGCGATTGGGATAAACAAAATGCCATAAATATTACGAATAATAATACAATTTAAGTAAATAATATGCAAAGATTGCAATTAAAAACGTATCGGCCTACAGCAGATACCCATAGATCTCTGGCTCTCGATCGCCGTTTGCATTTGAGCATAAAAATTTAATTAATGCTAAATTCCTGCTGTCGATGTTGCGGTCTCTGTCGACTTTGGCGTCAGCGTCGGCGTCGACACCTGCGTTGGCGCAACAATTGAAAACAGAGAGAAAGCTTTCACTTTGTGGCATTTGTTATGAATGAAAGCGCATTTTGTTTGCCCTCCGCGGGGTTTGATGGCCAAATTGCACCAATGGGCCATAATTTTAAGAAATTTTTATTCAAAAAAACTATAATGGGATTCATAAATTTTTATATTTTTATACTTGAAACCTAAAAAAACATTCCTAGAAATGTTTTGAAATTTTGACACATCTAGAAATGTGTCATTAGAAAGCTTTACACCAATCCAAAAGCAAACAGAGCACGTCTAAAATCAACAACAACTAATATGCACTTATGCAGGGCCATGGTGGCAGGGGGGTGAGTGGCGGAGGGACTTCTGCGTTGGGTGGTGGTGCAAGGTTGAGGTCAAGGTCGCCGCTTTAGCTTTGTCATTCCACTTGAACTGCAATGGCAAGTGTTAGGGCATTTAAAACAAAACAAAAAACAACTCACATAGGTTTTTAAACTATCAGGACAACGTGGCGTATGCGTAATATTTTATCTGAGACTAAAAATAATGAAAAGTGTTTGCAATGCAGGTAACACTACGTATGAGTGATATTCAAGGTAATGCAAAATTTTATAGCATACTTTTTTGTAAGCCGTAGGATTCTTGGCTTTAATTTCAGGACCACTTTGCTTATACTTGATATTTTTTATAAAATAAAACAATTACAAGCTTAAGATCGCTAAATCGCCAAAACAGCTGTTTATTTTTCAAAGCTCAGAGCAAGAGCTTTGTAAGACAACCATAAATGGCCAGCATTTGGCAGGATAACTGTTTCGGTTTTGCCTAAAACAGCTGAGCGCCAAGCTTGCGTCGGTAGGCGAAAGTGCAAAAGCTCGCTCATTCCCATTCCCTACTCTCTCTCCCACTCTCTCTCGCTCTGGGTTCCTTGCTCTTTCCCCATTAAATAATATTCGCAGCCGCAGCGCAGTCGCCGCTGTCAGCGCTGAGGTGCACACGCATCGGAAACGATAGCAGCGGCGACGCAGGCACCGACTGTAGCAGCAGCAGCAGTGGCTGCGGCAGAGACACAGCCATTATTGAGAATTTCGCATTCGCTGGCGTTTTCTGATTTAGTCAACAACAAAACGCGCAACGGCAAACGACGACAGATATTCCCGAAAAACCAAAAAAACCGAAATACCAAAAATTCCCAATTAGCCAGAATTTAAAATTTACAAAAATACGAAAATTAAGATTAAGAAAGCTATTAAGTTAGCAAAGTAAGCGCGCGCTAAATTCGAAAAAGAAAACAAAATTTGCCAAATTCATTTATTTTTTTTGCTTTAATTTTTTTTTTAGTTTTGGTTTATTCGAGTGCCACAAATTCTGAAAATCATTTGCCAAAAAAATCAACAAAACAAAAAATCTAAATAAAATCCAACAACAAAAATCAACAAAATAAAAAAAAAATTCACCCAAAAACGAACAGCTGTGCGTGTGCCGCTCGCCCCCTTGCTGTGCCCCTTGTGCTTGCCTCCCCTGCCCAGCCACCCACTCGAATCTAGCGTCTTTTTTTTGTTTTCTTCGAATTTTTTTTGAGATCACTTTTCTTCGAGCTACAAATTCTGTAAAATCTGTGCCGGTAAGTCAACAACAACAACAACAACAAAAGTCATATGAATTCATTATAATTAAACAACAACACAAAAAATAAGCACTTATCTGTGAAATATCCACAAAGTCTATATGGAAACATGTGTGTATATACAATGTTTGGCCAAAACAAATAATATTTCTCATTTCAATATGTTTATTGTTTATATATGAGGAGAATATGAGAAGAATTGGGCCATAAATTAGCCAATTTTTGAATGCAAATTGGGGTGTTTTTTTTTTTTGTTAATCAAATAAGTAAAAGTGCCAATAGTCAAAATTTTGGCATACTTAAGGGAAAGTTTTTCTTTTATTTTTCTCATCGAAGACGAAGCATCAGAAGCTGAGTAATCCTCGTGACAGGTTCCCAGAATAATTGGCAACAGAATCTCCCAAAGAAGAAATCTGGGATAAGGTGGGAGACAAACACCTCTTAGTCAGTATTATATATAAGGCTATATATATATATTAGATATATATTATTTCCTTTTTATGACTTTATAAACAAGTTATTAAATTCCCAAGCCCTATCACCTGTCATAGTTAAATCATTTAGCCATTATCCGATAAATTTTGGCCATAAACATGGTTACTTTGTACAAGTTTTTATGGACAGATTCAAATTTGGCAGCTTTGGTCATAATTCCCAGCCAAATTCATTCAAAAAAAATCCCACAAAAAGTAGCTACAAACTATAAGCTATATTTTAATCGCCTTGACAGGATTCCAGGCAAGAAACTTTTTCGGCTGGAATATAAACCGAAAAAGATTTACAGAATCTAAACACGAAGACTACCATCCTCACCCCCCCTATTTTTCCTCCTTTGAAAAATTGCAAACAAAAACTGAAGGAAAAAAAAGGAGGAAAATCTGCTTTTATGAGCTCATAAAAACGGACTTTTCAGCAGAGAGAGATGAGCGAATAAAAGAAAAAAAAAATGACCAAAAATTAATTAACAAAATATGTTGCAGTGGCAACAAAAGAAAAGATAGAACATCTTTTTGCACCAAAAAACACAAAACAAGAACTCGACTCCAAAAGAAAAACCACCCGCCACGAATATAAAACCCCACACACATGGCAATTAATTGCTGTTGACGTTTTCTTGAGGCTAGAAGCCAAAAAAAAAAACGCGGCACAGATTCCCCGCTCATTTAGGCCAAATTAATGGCGATTTTTCGGGCCTACCCCCCACTCTGCCCCCTAAGAAACTTTGCGTGGCTCTGGAGACAGAGACACAAACTTATAGGTTTATATAATCAAAGGAGGCCTTGACTTTAGTATTATTTTCTATATTTTCCAATATAGTTCACATTTTAGTGCTGAAAACAATCAAGTTCGAAGAGTCTGTGGAATTAATATACATTTTATTTTATTTTGGCTATTTTTCGGTTCGGTTTTAGCTTCGCGGTCCAAAGTCTCCAAACCATAAATCACAAAAATAGTCCCTAAGGATATTAAGGTTAAGAGAAAGATTAAGGCAATAAAGTAACCAAAGACTACAATCTTATCCTCTTGTTTTTGCAGGCTTCCTTGGCAGTTTCCTATCAAAGGGTCTGAAAACCAACCAGCTGGTGGTGAACACGGATGAGAAGACCCTGCGACCCGTTGCCCGTTTAAAGGAGCCGCGCGATCTCTTCGCCCTGCCGAAGGACAAGGACAATGACTGCTCACAGCAGGCCCCCAGATGGCCGGTCGAATGCCAGGTGAGTGTAAATGACAGGATCGATTCCTTTGACTATCGAACTTCGAGAAGGGGGAAGGACGAGGTTAAGAAGGTTTCCTCAAGGTGTCCTAGATTTCTGTGCAAACAGGAAAATAGGCCTAGGCTTAGGCTTAGTTGGGGTTTCAATGCCTTTGACACGCACACCTTGTCTGTCAGGATGTCCCAGGACATGCGTGCCGCGTCTCATAAATATTAATGCACATAAAATCATGGGCGGGGACACAGCGCAGATTACGAAGGGGGAGGAGGGGTGCAGGAGGATACAGGCAAGCTTCCTTTTTAAAGCTCAGCGCAATGTAATCCTTACAAGTCCCTGGTTATCCAGTACTCACTGTACCTTTTTTACAGTAAATTTCCTCTATCTTGGTAGCTTATGTAGGTCAAATTGCAATAAAAGGTGCACACACACACACACACTATGCCACGCCTACCGGCTCACCGCCCACCGCCCTCGAGCTTAACCCATGGCATGCGGTAAACGCTCGCCAAGTGCAATGAAAATCCTTTCGTTTCCGCTTTCCGCCTGTCTGACTTTTCCGCTGCCGTTCTAGTTGGTTATTTATTTATTTATTTTTATTTTTATTTTTATTTTTTTTTTGTGTTGGCCTTTACCTTTTCGCCTAATTGTTGGCCAAGTCGTTAGCATGGTTAACAATCGATTTTATTTATTTTGTATTCGATTCGCATTCGATTTCCCTGCCAAATTGTGTTTTGGGCAAATATTACACATTACCCATACGCCCCGTTGGCTGAATGGGTCTGAATGGGAGAGAGAGTAGTGGATAGAAGAATGGGATGGGAAGGGAAGGGGGGCGGCAGAGAGGGGGCAAAGGTCAACAACAAAGTGGCCAACTGATTGATTAAACAAGGGGGCCGGCAGGTCTGGGGTGGCCTGAAATGAATCAATTGGAGGTCAATTGTTGAGCAATTGAGCAGCTTGTTGTGGCGCAATTCGAATAAATCGAAAAACAAAAGGAAGCCCACATCCCATTTCCTTGTCAATTAACACACACATACAGAGTCCTTCAAGGGGCAACAGCAGAAGGATTTTTTGTGGCGAGTAGCAAAAAAAAAAACCCACATTTCAAAGTCAATTTACATTATTGATTTGCACACGAGAGCAGCGCCACAAATTGCATATTTAATTCATTCGAAAGTAATTAATTAAAAGTATTTAAGTGCTTTTCAAAATGGATTAAAACAAATGCGATTTAAATAAAAAAAAAGTAAAGGGAAATGGTGGTTCAGTTATATTATAGCTATAGTATATAGTCAGCCGATCCTTGCCATTTATTTTTAAAAAACTAAAAACCATTAAAAGAAGTATAAATGCCAAATCTGAACTAGATGGTTTTAAAATTGAGAGAGTTATACAGCTTGGAAACATTTTTGCGGACAGACGGACACGCGGACATGTCATTAAAAATATCTAAAAATATATATATATTCCAAAAACATAAATTAAAATGTAAATTTCAAGAAAACAAAAGTTTAAAGCTCTTATAGTACTTACATTGCTTTTAGTATTTAAATCCCGTTTTGGATTTTTCACCTTCAACTTTTTGTTGATTTTCTTGTATTTTTTGTTGATTTTTGTTGTAAGGCTCCGGGCAATCCTTGCTCACATATACATACACCCTCACACACATACATACACACCCTCTTGAAAAGTTCTGCGAACTGTAAATGCAATTAAAACAAAAAAAAAAAAGAAGAAACAATAAGTCAGGAAAGTTTTTTTTGCCGAAAACGTCTTTGGTTCGCTTTTTTTTGTTGGCTCCCCTCCCCCTCCTTTTGGGGCTGACCATGACGTTCAGAATGCAAACACAAATAAAAAGTGAAATTTCAAAAACGCCTTCAGTGTTTTTCGTTTTTTTTTTCTGCCACACAGAAGTCTGTAACAATGACACTGGCATTGGCAATGGCCATAAATAAAGAAAAAAGTTTTTCATTTGCAAAAGGTAGCAGAGAGAGTTCCTTAGTTTCTTAGTGGGGGTAAAATAAACAAGCTAATTAGTTAGTTTTTGGGTAACACAAACACCTATACATACACAAAAAAAAAAAATAATAAAATAAAAGTGAAAATAAAATGATTACAACTGCCACACAGATCCAACTGGTCATGAGGCATGAGGCAGGTTGGAAGGGGAAAGGATTGTTTCTGACACTGATATGTTTCAATTAAGCCAACAGACAACAGACAGACTCCCATATACATGCAAATCCCTGTACGTGAGCCTCAGATTTGCATGTTTCCTGAAGTCCTGCGGAAACAATCGAAACAAATGGCTAAAATGTGAATAAATTTGAACAGCTGCAGTTTAGGTTTTAAAAAAAAGAGAATTCGAACTATGTATATGGATTTTAAATAACGAAAGAGCCTCTATTCAAGAGGCTTTTAAAGGGTTTATTATATGAAATATCACTCATACGCAGTGTAGGTTAAAAGAATTTTTTTTTTTTTAATTACACATACGCCTTGTAAGACAATCTTACATAGAGTTTCCATGAAGAACATTAAGTATACGCCTAAATATTTTATGAAATATCACTCATACGCAGTGTATGTTAATAGATTTCATTTGAAAAATTACTCATACGCCTTGTAAGACAATCTTACATAGAGTTTCCATCAAGAAAAATACGCAGTATTTTTCATACGCAGTGTAGTTTCATCATACACCATGTAAGCCATACCCAAGAGAGACCCAAGCTTTTGGGTCTTGATTTTCCATTAAGATCATTAAGTATAAGCCTTTTAAAGGCTTTATTCTAAGAAATATCACTCATACGCAGTGTAGGTTAATAACTTTAATTTTAAAAATTACTCATACGCCTTGTAAGCCATACAGAGAACCAAAAAAAAGCCCATCTTACATAGAATTTCCATCAAGAACATTAAGTATATGCCATGTACACCAACTAACCTCCCAGTTAACCCATTTTGAAGCACTTTTCCCAGCTTACACTCCCACTGTGCCTTGTGACTTACATATGTAAGCACATCAGCGACTAAGCAAATAAGCTGCTAAAGCTTTGTGGGCAAAATTACAACACAACGAGACAAAAAACAGCAACAAACGACAACCAAGCCTTAACAGGAAAATCCTTAACACAAAAGAAATCACTGGGAAATATGAGAAGACCAGAAGAGACTGACGAGAAAAGACCATTCGATTTTCCTTCCCCTTATCCCTCCCGAGAGTCAAACAATGAATGTAGACATAACCGTAACCGTAACTCTGACTGACATTCGCAAATTTTCCTGTCAAGGACACGAAACACAAACGATGAGAATTTCCCTGACGGGAAACATATGTGCCTGTGTCGTAGAATTGTAATAATTGGGGAGTCCTTAGAGGACTAACAGGTGTGCCAACAATTACGAGGGTAGTTGGCCTCTTAAATCGACAAAATATATTTAATTGTTTCTAATTCCAATAATTCTTGCTGCTGCCAGGTCATCGAGGAGCGAATCACACACATTCCGTACGTGCCCCCAACACCGGAGCCCCTCAACGCTCCCACGGGAAACGAACTGAAGCCGCGACCCGTCGGCGAGGAGAACGGCATCGTCGTCTTCAGCTATAGTCCGATCAGTGCCGTAAATTACGTGAGTAACCTTCAGAATATTACTAATACATATTACAACTAATATACTTAACATAAGAACTCTATCGATTTCGATTTGCATTTTAGAAAATTAAAAAATATATATATTATTGAAATATAATATTGAAATATAAATAGTTTAATGCTTTGTTTTTAAGTAACGGATAAATATTGCCAAAGATATAGCCCAAAAACATAGAGAAATATTAAACAATTCAATTAAGATACTGCCTTTCAAAATTGAATAAAAATAGACAAAGATATAACCAGCACCGCGGATCATACACGCATTTTAAGGGTTTTTGAGGGGAACACCCTAGAAATTTTGACAAAAAATCAAAAAATTATTTTACTCCCAGATTTTGATTCAAAATGATAGGAAATTGATATAGAAATCGTTTCAGGTATTCCGCTTGAGAATCGAATCAGAATTGGGGAAGATAAAGACATCGCAGTGGGCCCTATAAGAGAAAACCCAACTTTTTAGGGATCCCATCTGGAAAAATAGAGGAAAAAACCTTTAAAAAAATATTTTTACCCCTGATTTTGATGTAGAATGATGGGAAATCGATCTCTGCACAGGTCAAGGTATTCCTTTTGAAGATCAGGATAATATTCCCAAAGATATAGCCTTTGTTGTTAGATATAGCCTCTAAAAACATAATCTATTGCAAATCGAAATCGATATAGTTGCCTAACCCATACTGACCCTTCGCACTTTGCACTTGCACCTTAGCCAGTGACATGGGCGGGTGTATAGGAGGGGGTGAGACCAGCTACTAACAAAATAAGAGCATTGGGAGAATTTTTGAATAAAAACCTCAACCTCACACAACGCACAGGCCAAGCCCAAGGTGAAGAAGGAAGAGGATGAATCGAGCGACGAGTCGGACTACTCCTCGGACTCCCGCTTGGACTCCACGCCCCCCAGCCGGGCCACGCCCATGCGATTGGCGGGGGGAGGGGGCTGTGCCCGCGGCAAGATCAACAGCGTGTCCAAGATGATCCACAATGTCGATAATCGATCCACCAGCGCCTCCTTGGACGACAATGATGACTACGACGATGACTACGAGGAGTACGAAACCAGTGGCGATGGAGGAGAGGGTGAGGCCAGGGAAAAGGCCATGATCAAGGATCTTATCGAGGCGAAGAAGAAGCGCTACCAGGAAGAGTCAGCAGTGACGGCCAGGAACTCGCGGGCCGGCAGCCACTCGGAGGCCAGCAAGGATCCCAGCGACATCGACAACATCTGGAAGAACAACACCAGCGAGTACAAGCCCGCCTCGCCGCGCTACATCCTCAGCCAGTTTGGCAAGAACGTGGTCATCGACCAGATTCTGGATCCCGACGATCCCACGCAGACGAACGCCGGCGGCGGAGGCGGATCCGGATCCCAAAAGGTATCAAGCCAATACGCGGTTACACCCATCAAGTTGCCCAAAACGAACATAGCCCGCTTGGAGGTGGCCTTTGAGCGGAGCACCCGCGATACAGTCTCCCCCTCGTCGTCCTCGGGCGGCCAGACCCAGTCCCGGAAACGTAAGCGCGGGGGTGCCATAAAGATGGGCAATGAAAACGATGGTCCCGGTGACAGCAGCACCGAGGAGACCAGCAGCTCCAGTCTCGGGGAGGACGAGGAGGACGACGACGACGAAGACGATGACGACGACGACGACGTGGAGTTGGGCGAGACCGACACGGAGGATTCCGGTAGCGGTGAGACGGTCTGCCAGGCCGAGCCCATTACCGATTCCAGCCAGTCCGTCGGCGGAGTAGTCTTCTCGCCCAGGCTGGCGGGCGGGGCCGAGAAACGCACCTGTTCCGGTTCGGTGTCGGATACCGAGACTCTGGTGGGGGACGAGACCAGGAGCAGGCTACCACGTAAGCGAAAGGGGTTTTGGAGTAGGGAGTAGTAGTAGTAGAAAGAGTGAAAGCTTTCTTGGGAGGATTAGTAGCTCTCCAAGAAAGTTTTCCAAATAACCTGAGACCTTATCTGATATATGAAACCACCTGCCCACAGCCGGGAGTCACCACCATGCCGGAATGACGGCGGTAGCGACTCAGTCCAAGATGCGCCAGCCGCAGGGACGCCCTCCCAACCGGGCAGTACCCTACACGCATGCGGCCACAGTGGCAGCAGCGGCGGCTTCGGCGGCGGCCAGAAATCGGCAACGCGGCGTAGAAAGCTTCCAGGGTTCGCTGATTCAAGACCAAGATTCAAGAGTAGCAGGCGGCGGCGGCGGGGGCCTGGGGGGTGCCGCTAGCTATAATTCAAGCACTGGCACCGCCACCACCACCAGCACCATTGGCACCTCCACATCGGGTGGGGGCAGCAGTTACATGGGGAGCAGCGTTTTCCGGCTGAGCAAGGAGCAGCAGCAGTTGTTGCCGCCAGGACTGAATCCGATAGCCAGCCAGGAAACGACTGGAACGACAACCACGACCAGTACTAACCAGGAGACGATCACCTCGTCGCAATCTTTTCTCTCCTCTGACTTTCCCCAAGCACAGTTCAGCCGATCGGCGGTGGGCGGAGCCCGGTTCGTCACCAACTGCCATCCGATGAATCCCGAGGAGTACGACGGCCTGGAGTTCGAGTCGCGCTTCGAGAGCGGCAACCTGGCCAAGGCGGTGCAGATCACGCCCACCTACTACGAGCTCTACCTGCGCCCCGATCTCTACACCAGCCGCTCGAAACAGTGGTTCTACTTCCGTGTCCGGCGCACCCGCCGCAAGATGCTCTACCGCTTCTCCATCGTGAACCTGGTCAAGTCCGATAGCCTCTACAATGACGGCATGCAGCCGGTGATGTACTCCACGTTGGGAGCCAAAGAGAAGAGCGAAGGCTGGCGGCGATGCGGCGACAACATCTGCTACTATCGCAACGACGACGAGTAAGTACTGACCATCCGTTCATCCTTAAACCTTGACACATGCCCTCTCCTCTCCATGCGAACAGGAGTGCCGGGAATAGCGCCAACGAGGAGGAGGAGGACAACTCGACCTACACGCTAACCTTCACCATCGAGTTCGAGCACGACGACGACACGGTATTCTTCGCGCACAGCTACCCGTACACCTACAGCGACCTGCAGGACTACCTCATGGAGATCCAACGTCATCCGGTCAAGTCCAAGTTCTGCAAGCTGCGCCTCCTCTGCCGCACTCTGGCGGGGAACAATGTGTACTATCTGACGGTGACAGCGCCCTCTAGCAACGAAGAGAACATGCGGGTATTATCCTTAAGCGTTATCCTTCTGGAAAGGCTTCTCAAATAGCTATCCACATTTCTAGCGAAAAAAATCGATTGTGGTGTCGGCGAGAGTCCATCCCAGCGAGACGCCAGCGTCGTGGATGATGAAGGGTCTCATGGACTTCATCACCGGCGATACAACGGTGGCCAAGCGACTGCGTCACAAGTTCATATTCAAGCTGGTGCCGATGCTGAATCCCGACGGCGTCATCGTGGGCAACACCCGCAACTCGCTGACCGGCAAGGACCTCAACCGACAGTACCGGACGGTCATCCGCGAGACATATCCATCCATTTGGTATACCAAAGCCATGATTAGAAGGTAAGGATGGTAGCTAGTTGGTCCTTAGTTAGTAATCCCTGTTGTCTAGACTGATTGAGGAATGCGGCGTGGCCATGTACTGTGATATGCACGCACACTCACGCAAGCACAACATATTCATATATGGGTGTGAGAACAAGCGCAACCCAGAGAAGAAGCTCACCGAGCAGGTCTTTCCCCTGATGTTGCACAAGAACAGCGCGGATCGGGTGAGTATCCAAGCCAACCAAGTCACTGGCTATCTTCTAATCTTGTATGTCCCCCCATTGAAGTTCTCCTTTGAGAGCTGCAAGTTCAAGATCCAGCGCAGCAAGGAGGGCACCGGCCGCATTGTTGTCTGGATGCTGGGCATCACCAATAGCTATACGATCGAGGCCTCCTTTGGTGGCTCCTCCCTGGGATCGCGTAAGGGGACACACTTTAATACGCAGGTGAATCCAATCTCCAATCTCCAAATCTCCAATCTCCTCCAACTGCCAATCTCTTTTGCAGGATTATGAGCATATGGGACGAGCATTTTGTGAGACACTCTTGGACTACTGCGATGAGAATCCGAACAAAGTAAAGCGGCACGCAAAGTTGTTTAGACAAATCAAAAAGATAAGAAAACGCGAGAAACGCGAACAGAAAGCATTAAAATTACAGAAAATGGCCGATCAGGGATGTATAATGAACGACAAACTGAAAGTGAAACGTTCTGTGGAGAAGAGTGTCTCCTAGGAAGGTTCCACCGCCATACTCTACACCTCTACAACTCTACACAACACCAAAGAACACACACACACACACACCCTGCCTCTCGACCCGACCCCCTGTATCTCGTTATTATCGTTATGTTAATCGTTAATCGTAATAATCGTTATTTGTAATCGAAACGTAAATGTAATCGCCGTTGCCTGATGATCTTGAACCAAAATGGCGCTGCTGTGCTCGTTCCAAAATCCCCCGAAACCAATAGGACACTATGTATTATTAACCAAAAAAACACGATACACTTGACACGAAAAATCCCAAGGCCAGAGCCACAGATCTATATGACGGAGATACGGGGCTATAGCCACGAATATCTGGACATGTTGCGAATGAAATTTGAATGCTGTCTATTTGCGCGTATCGCAGTTTTTCTAATGTTTTTGTTAGAACCCGATTGCGTGGATAGAGTCTCGATAGATCCGGACAATACCATCCACGCAACGGGTCCTTTTACCTTATGTATACCTCTTATATACCTATACCTACTCTATATACACTACACTCTGAGAAACGCACCCAAGTATCTAGAGATATTGAGACACAGCCGCAGCACAGCATCGCCGGGCACCCGATCGCTATATATATTATATATTTAGTTACTCTTATTTTAGTTACTCTAACTATAATTTTTGTAAGCGCGTTTCTCAAGCGCAACTATTATTATTATTATTATTATTATAACCGAAGAATATTATTTGTTTTTAAATAAATTCTATATCTATTGATTTTGGAGAAGTAATTCTTGGAGAATATATTCTTTAAAATAATGCCCTGCTTATCACAATCGCCTGCTTGTTAAATTCTGCTTTTTATCTACAAACCTCTACACTTTTTACTTTTAATATTTTTATATTTAATTAATTTTTTTGCCAGTGTATGATTTTTCACTAATCCAAATGCATTAACATTTACAATAGATTTTAAATTTACTCAAACAACAGGACCGACTACGATCCAAAATCATCGAAAGACTGATGCGAGAAGGCTCTAGTGCCGACGAGCCATTAAATATACCTTTGTCTGATTACTCAAGGTGGGTTTATCCTTAACAGATTCTTGGTTAGATCAAGGTCCTTCATATATAGAAGCCCATCTCCTTTAACCCCTACTAACTTTTACTAACCCCCCACCCTCTCTTCCATTAGCGACGAGGGCAATTGCAGCTCGAGTTCTGATAACGAGGGCAAGCACTCGATAACCGCCTCCGATTTGGAGGGTCCTTGTTGTGCCCCCACCCGAGCACCGCCCAGTTCGCCAGAGGTCATCCACGAGATACGCAAGGTGAGGTCCTTTATATACTATTATAATAACCCATTCTATGGGGCTAGATATCCGATATCCTGCCACATAAAATGAGTTCCCCAAAAGCACTCTCTCTGCACCGCACTTGCACCCATCTTGAATCCCTTTCGTCGATCCTCCAGTTCCGCATGCGACGCATGCGCAAAGTGATGCACGAGCTGGACAGGATCTACTTCACACCCCTGTTCCAACGCAAGTTCAAAACGCTGACGTCACTGAAACGTAGGCGCCACAAGCTGGGCTGCAAGACGGCAGTGCCGCCCAAGCGCCTCAAAGCTGGAGCCACTGCGGGAGCGGGAGATGCCGCGTCAGTTGGACCAGCCACTTCCGGGAGTGACCCGGGGGCGGCATCCCAGCAACAACAGCTGCCACCGCCACAGCAATCCCAACTGCAACAGCGAAAGCAGCTGGGCGTGAGACCACTGCCGGCGAAGAGAACCCAACAAATGGTGGCCATGGCCAGTTCAGAGAGTTCCGACAGCGGGGACTCGGACTCGGAGTCGCAGCGGGATCAGGACTCCAGTGCCAGCACCAATGTCAGTGGCATCAGTAGCGGGGTGGAGGTGAAGCGAAAGCTCAAGTCCGCCGTGGCAAAGAAGTCGGCCAAGAAGAAGAAGTTCATGCCCATCGAGAAGAAGAAGGTGGTGATCAACCAGAAGCTCCATGTGGACCGTAACTTCCGACTGTGGCTGGCCAATCGTAGAATCTACATCTATCGCCGTAAAAAGGTGGCAAGTATCAGGGGGGGGAATCTCATAGAGTACTCGACGGGATCTATTTTTTGAATAGACAGACTTGGAATCCAAGTTTTAGGGCAATCCTCTCTAGAAATATTCAGAAAATAGATTAGAAAACTCACTACTACCATTCACTGCCAGTGCACTAATAAATCACACCACCCTCCTCGAATCTTCCCTTCCCCACCACTAATCGTGTAGACTCTGCAGACGCGCCGCACCCGGGTGAGGAACAAGCCGCCGAAGAAACGCGGCGAAGTGGTCCGCACCACCCTGGACTTGCCCACCACGGATCCGGGCTCGGATCTGCACTTCTCCACCGACGACGAGGAGCACTCGCCGGCATCCGGACACAATGGCTACGGAGCCGTGGCTCCCCTCCGGCACACCCTGCTGCAGAGTGATCTCCAGCGACGCTACATCGAGGAGATTGGCGACACGGTCGTCCAGAAGCCGAAGCCGGCGAACATGCCGCCAGAGCTGATAGTGACCACGCCCTCGAAGAGCGGCACGCCGGGCGGTGGAAAGAAACTGGATGTCTACAAGCTGACGCCGCGCACGGCCCCCGAACTGGAGATGGGCGGAGGGGGCGGTGGCCACCACATGTCCACCATTTTGCATCGACAAGGCGGTGGCGTCGTAGCAGGCGGCACTTCGGCCCGACGCACCTATTCCTGGCACAACCTCGACCAGCAGGATATACCCAGTGGCAGTGGAGGTCAGAACAAGGCCAACTTCTACATGGGCGGCGACGCCAAGCCCACCATGAAGGCGATGCCCAAGCCGCCGCCCAGAAGGTGAGTAAAGGAAAACCTAATCCTAATGTAATCCTAACCCTGTCACTTTCAGGAGCGTTCCGAGCAACTTTATCCCCCAGCGACATGGCGCCAACGGGCCCACTGCCGATGACCTGCAGCTGAAGCTGTCGCTCAAGAAGAAGGTCTGGACAGGAGCACACGGTGAGCCGGACGGTCGTCCGCTTGCCTGGTACAAGGGACACTCGATACCCGGACCTCAGATGACAGCTGCCAACGCAGCTGCGGCCGGAATTCGGAGTGCCGGAGGCGGAGGAAACGTGGGCAGTGGCCATGGCAGGAGCATGTACACCGCCAGTGGCCGGGAGGCGGCAGCAGTGGCAGCTGCCTCCGGAGGAATGGCCATGGGCGTGCCGCCCGCATTTATGGGAGCGCCACGCAAGCCCCGGAAACTGGAGCAAGTGGATCTGTTCAAGTAAACCCAATACTTTAGCCTTTTTAGTCCAAAATATTCACGAAATCCTTCCCGCAGTGCCTGTTCCCAGAAGCTGCTTCTGTGGCAACAGCAAGAGGAGACGAAGCGCAGCCACCCGCATCCCCCCCAGCGTCTGATGAAAGTGGAGGATCAGCAGCAACACCACCAGCACCACCAGCGGGAACGGGAACGAGAACGCGAGCAGCACCAGCGAGACATGATGCGTGCCTTCAAGCCGATGCAGCTGTCCAAGAAATCACTGGCCCAGGGCCATGCCAAGGGCCTGCAACAGGGCATGGTGGGCGAGTCGGGCGGCAAGGTGAAGCGCAAGTCCAGCAGCCTGATGAAGATAGCAGAGACTACGCAGCTGGTCACGCGGTTCGCCCGAAATCGCAGCAGCGCTGGTGGGTCCGCCGTCCAGCAGCAACAACAGCAAGGGCAGCAGTCCCAAGTCCAAATGCACCAGCAGAGGATCATGTTCAAGGGCGGCGCCGGCGGCCCCATGAGCGGACGAATGCATTCCGCCGGAGTGCTGGGCGGAGGCGGTGGTGGAGTACGGGCTCCGAATAAATTCAAAACAGGTGGCCTGGTAATCACGGCTGTCCAACAGCCGTCCAATGTACCCGGCGGCAGTTCCCGACGTATGCGGAATGCTGCCGGCTTGCATGCCAAGAGCAGTACAGGGATCGTGGGACCCGGTTCCGGGTCCGGAGCAATGCATTTCCAAACAACGCGAGGTGGCGGCACCATGGTTCAGGCCACCAAATCCTCCACTGGCATCACCCTGGACACCGTCAACCTCGTCCGCAAGGTGAAGACCAAACTGAAGAAGCGCAAATCCCGGACCCTCTCCACCGGACCCCCCAAGTAAACCATGTCCAGATCCCGTCCAGATGAGTGCTGCTTAATATTCGAATTGTTTCCGGTCCAGTTTTGAGTTTCAAAATTATGTAGCCATCGAAGGAGTTTTACCGCTAGATCCTTTGGTCTGATCCGATATCTTAACCCAAGTAACAAGTAACAAATCCCCTCGCCCTCACACGTTTTGGTTGCGATTTTAAACCGAAAACGAAAAACGAGTCCAAATTTTAGTCCAATTTTCTAGGCATGGCAAAAAAGGAATAGCAAAATTATCTAAATAATTCATATAAATATGTGGATATATATATGTATAATCTGTAGCAGTACGCATATCGTACGTAATCGTGTTTCCTGTAATCCCTCAATCTCTGTACCTATACAGTTAATCCCTAAAATAATGTTTAAAGTCCAAACGAGAGTGCGGTGTATTTTTTTTTTTTTTGTCGGCGGTCGGCGGTTGGCCCCGCAGGATGAACTTTTTCTATTGAGATTTGCAATAAAAAAAAAAATGATGATTAATAAATGAGTGTGTGATGTACAGAAAGGAGGAGGCAAATCAAATTCCAATGGGGTGATTTGTAAATAAATAATGCTGACCACTGACCGAAAAATCAATTACGCACATGTCCGGCAATTGTTGCGACGGCAATGCGTTGGGTGTTTCGGTGATACATACCTATCCAGTTCCAATATCCTTTCCCGATCCTTGCACAAGTCACGCCGCAGCTGAACATTCACTTCACCGCTCAGAAATCACCGAAAAGTTTAAACTTTGGCGAAAGTAAACAAAAAGTGTTGCCCAATTGTGACCTCTAGTGATGGCAACGCGCCAAGCGCTTAGCTTTCGATAAACGGTACATTCTACTATCGATAGTGCGATCGATAAGTCGATATTTGAAACCCAAATTTAAATTTCGTTATAAAATAATTTATGAGTTCTATTATAATCTTATGGAAGATTTTAATTAATTTAAAGATCCCCTTCAATTGAATTTCTTTGAAAGTATTAGCCATTTTATTTTTGGGTTATATTTATTTTGGAATGCTACGCCATAAGCGCAATTGTTTAATTGATTTATTTTATTCGTTATATACCCAAGCCATTATGCTATATTAAACTACGTACACATGCATGCGAGACGTGTGTGTGTCTGTATCTGTGTCTGGATCTGTTTCAGTGTGTGTATATATACTGGTTAAGTGTTATGTCCTGTTATGTCGCCTACTCCTCCTCCTGATCCGGATCCTAATCCTTATAACGTCTTAAACGAACATGTATTTGTTCCTGCGGGCGGGGAAGCAGCATTGATTTAACTAAAGCTACGAAAACTACGAATAAATAGAGTACACGCAAGGCTAAAACGATAAAACGATAGAAAAAAAAATACCGACGACGAACGAAACGAAATTCAATGCAGACCGAGACGGCTACCGTCTGGATTTACACGTTGACGGCGTTCTGGAGTGCCGTCTTGTCGTCCACGATAATGTTGGCCGCCGTGGTGGTCGGATTGGAGCTGAGCAGCTGCTTGGTGGAGGAGCTGGAGGAGTAGCTGTCGCTTGAGCTGCGGGTGGAGGCCGAGTTTCCACTTATCGGGCTGTCCAACATATCTGAAAAGCGCCAGGAAAAGGTCACAAAATCTATAGATAACTTTTAGGAATCAAAGCTCACCTGGTAAAGAGCTAACATTGTTGGATTTAAGATCCACAACGGTGGCTACAGAACCGGATCCGGAGCCCAACATGTTGCCCACAGAGGTGGACTTCTTGTGCAGGTTCTTCTTCATGGCGCTGCTGAAGCCCACAACGACTCCGGTGCCACCTGTACCGGAGGATCCACCCACCACTGCGGCGCTCCTGCCTGAGCCCAGTCCGCCGCTGGTAGTTAGTCCGGCACCCAGCGGATCGCCACTCTTGGCCCGCTCTGCGGGGCACAGTGGACTGAGTATGGAGTTCTGAGTGTCCTCGGGCGTATAATAATCTGAATCTTCTGCGGTCGGTTCGTTGGACGAAGCTCCACCGCCTCCGCCACTCAGTTCCGGCCTGGGTTTGTTGCGCTTAAGCGAGGAGCCTTTCTTGGAAGTGGTTTCCTCCACCAGGCCATCGCCGGCTCCACATTTTTCGCCATCATCTGCATCCAGGCAGGCGACCACTTGCTTCAAGGACTTGCTGGACATGTTCTTGCTCTTGCTTCCTGGCGAAAGCAGCGGCGACAACTTCTCGTTCTCGCTGTCCACATCGTCGTCGGTGCCGGCGGATCCATCGCCTCCGGATCCGGCCTGAGACCTGGAATACTTTCGCTCGTTGACAATCTGCAGCTTATCCTGTTTGGATTCCGGCGATGTGGGTGCTCCCAAAGTGGGCGACGTGCACGTTCCGGCCGTGGACTTTTTGGGATCGCTCTCGATCTCCACGACGGAGAGAGCCGAGCATCCATTGCCGGCTCCTCCGCCAGACTGAGTGGTAATGGTGCCCACCTCACTAGTCGAGGTGCAGGTGGAGGCGTTCTTCTTGATTTTGGGCCTTCGCTGGCTGCTGGATTTGATGGGCGAGGTCGCCTTGATGTCGTTGCTGGTCATCGTGGAGGCGGCCACCGTTGCCGAGTCAACAGTGTCTAGCTCACTGGCCCTAAAAATAATTGAATCATTAGTAACCCGCTGAATCACTTCTTTGGCTAATCTTACCTGGCTCTGGCCACATATTGTGGCGGTCCATTCAAGGCCTCGATGAGCGACACGGGAACATAGCCAGGAGGCACATCCACCGGAGCTGGTTCCCCGCCTGTCGAAGTGGGTGTGTTCTGGTGCAACACGTGCGTACTAATGCCCTTCTGCACCGCACGGATCTGAAGGAGAGCCCGGAACGGAGCCCGGCAGATGGGACAGTTGTTGGCCTGATAGCGGAGGGAATCCGCACAGGAATTGCACAGACAGAGATGCCGACAGGGCAGTATCAGGGTGTCTCGGGTCTCGCTCATGCAGATGACGCACTCGCTGCCGTGGTCGTCAATCTCCTCGTCCATCGAGTTCTTGTTCACGGCCTTGTTCTCGATGCCGTAGATTTCCTGCAGCAGGTAGCACAAGCCATCCACGAAGATCTTCTGCTTGAGGGCACGCAGCGAATAGCTGCCGCTCTCCGGATGATGGTCAATCACACAGATGGTGGTGTGCGACTGCCTGCACTCGTCGCTGCCCTCCTCGACGACGCAATGGATGGCCACCGGATATTGTTCCCTTCCGGGGCTATAGCCGAGCTCATCCTCCGGCATCTGCTGCGGATTAAAGATGTGGCCCGGCTGTGAGAAGCACTGGTTTATCCCCTTCTCGTAGTGATACGTCTCCGAGGTGAGACCCTCGCGGGGCACAAGGGTGACACCACTTGGACTGACATCCTCGGAGCAGAAATAGTAAATGGTGATGGCGCACTTGGCGTCCGAATCAAAGGTGAATTCAATATTGTAGGTGCTGGGTGGCGGTGGTGCTGCCGAATCGCTGTCACTACTTAGGTTCATGGAGCACAGAACATTTCCGTCCACATCCTCGATGGTTACATTCGTCTTGTCCTTATCCTTCTCCTTCTCCTTTTCCTTCTCCTTCTCTTTCTCCTTCTCCTTCTCCTTTTCTTTCTCCTTCTCCTTCTCTACATCCTTCCTCCTGGGCTTCTCCTGGAGATTGATCTTCTTGTCGTTGGGAATGCGCACGAAACGTACGGATTCCTTGCGTATGTTCACCAGGCTCTTCAAGGTCTTCGTTGGTTCGTTGGCCTGGGGCGGGGGGTAGGGGAAGGCAGTGGGTCGGTTCCCAAGGAAATTCAGATCCGCATTCTCCCCAAACAGATACGACTCCGGTTGGGGCGTGTCAAATCTCTCACCGCCCATGATAAAGTGACTCCCAAAGAAGTTACCCATCCGAGGTGGATATTTGTAGGCATGGTTAGCACTCGGATCCGCCTCCTCCACTGCCGCGTTCTGCCTGCTCACAAAGTTTCCCATTCCGGGCAACGGATTACGGTTCACTGAGAGCTCCCCTTTTTTGTTTTCCAAACTATTTTCCCTTCTTTCCTACTTGGTTTTCTTTTCTTTATTCTCTTTTGCTTTCCTTTTGCGATAACGAGTGATGGGTCAGCTGCGATAACACTTTTTCTCAATTCTTGTTGACAACTATCGATAGCACTGATTCTTAAAGACGATACACTGAAATAAAAACTTACTAACACAAGTTTGCGATGCGCGGATATATAAAAATGATAAAAATTTAACTTTTTTAGAATTTAATTATTCGATTCAATTTAGTTAGATCGTTGTTGTTCCTTTGTCACATTTAAACTAACGAAAGTGGCAACTCGATAAAAAAATCGGTTTAGTGGCAACTCGTTACCTATCGTCTTCGGGCACCCTGTACTCTAAGCAACAAACGGCCGCGCCAAAACTTCTAGTGTCGATGAAACCTTGCAAATATTGCCAAAAAACAGAAACATTTGCGAACGAACTGCTTAAATAAACAGCGCAAGGATGAGCATGAGCTTGGACGAGTCCATCTGCGCGTATTTCGTGAAGAATTCGAAGCCGGGCGATGGTAGCAGCTTGGACGCGGAAATTCTGGAGCAGTTTGAGGCGTCGAAGGAATTACTAGGCCAGCAACTGGCAGAGACCCAAATCCGACAGATCAAACCCAGCGAGGGCTATCCCCTGATAGCGGTCGGGAACCTCACCAAGAAGGATGTGTTTATCCTGGCCCATTTCGAGGGCGACTTCTTCGAGCAGCTGAAGAAAACAAAAGCTCTGATTCTGGGGCCACCGTGTCTGCTGGCATGTCTCCGGCAAGAGCAGCCCATTCCCCTGGGCAGCAGTGCCATCTACACCACGGCCATGCGCGATCTCCAGATATCCGCCACTGGAATAACTCCCGACAAGAAGGAGGAGCTCAGCAATCTGATCCAGTGGATGGGCGGAGTTTATTTCCAGACCTTTGGCCACCGTACCACCCATCTCATATCCAACACCATCAAGTCGTACAAGTACGAGCAGGCCACACTAAACGGGGTGCCCGTGATGCACGTGGATTGGGTGCAGTATGTCTGGGATCTGAGTCGCCGGCAGCAGCGCGAAGGAATCCGTGCCACAGATCCGGAGTTCGACAAGTACCGACTGCCCGTATTCTTTGGGGTTAACATCACATGCAGCGGCCTGGACGTGGCACGCAAGGATCAGGTCATGAAGCTGGTCCAGGAGAACGGAGGCATCTACCATCGCGCCTTTCGCTCCCAAGTGGTGGACATCGTCATAACCGAACAGTCTAAAACCGACACCGAGAAGTACAAAGCAGCCATACGCTACAAGAAGGATGTGCTGCTTCCGGAATGGATCTTCGAAAGCAGCAAGCGCGGCTACGCCTTACCCACCAAGGAGTACGAGGTTCGTCCCGGCAAGAAGTCCTCCACGCCCACAAAATCAAACAGATCTCTGGCTCGCGGTGCCGACAGCACGCAGCTCTCGGATCTCTCTAGGATTAGCTTCGTTTCGGGATCCCGTCGCATGGGCAGCGATCTTACCACAGTCAATGAGTCCCTGAGCAGCCTGGGCAGCAGCTCCCCAGCCAAGGAACTGTTGAAGCAGGCCACATCCCAGGCCAGAAACTACCAGCAAGTGCTGGCGGAGATCGATCCCAGGCAGGCGAAGAAATCGGGGTCCTTCCTGGACGGCTGCTGTGTCTACCTCAGTGGCTTTCGCACCGAGGAGCGCGAGAAGCTCAATCGTGTTCTGAATACTGGCGGAGCCACACGCTACGATGAAGCCAACGAGGGAGTATCCCACATCATAGTCGGCCAGTTGGATGACGCAGAGTACAGGCAGTGGCAGCGCGACGGCCTAATGGGTTCGGTGCACGTGGTGCGCCTGGACTGGCTGCTGGAGAGCATCCGCAACGGCAAGGTAGTGAATGAGCTCACCTATCGCGTCTCCCTACCGGTCAGTGGAGAGCCCGACGTGGCGTCGCCGGCCAGCAAGCGCACGCTCCGTTCCATGAACCACAGCTTCAAGCAGCCGCAGCTGCCCATCAAGAAGAAGCTGTTCGAGCAGGAGCAACAGCAGCAGGAGGACCAGGAGCAGGATAATCAGCTGCTGGGCCAGTACTCGCAGGACCAGGGTGCAGTAGCTCAACTACCGCCTGTGGACATAAGCGTTCTCCATCCGGCCGCCAGCTCCACACAGATGGAAATCAATCCGAGGACTTCCCTGGCTCCCAATCCAAGCATAACATCGGTTGCCCCGGTTGCCATTCCGGATCTGAGCGCCAGCGCCATGTCGATCGATTACGAGAAGCTGGACTACTTCTCCGGCCTGACCGTCTACGTGCACAAGGAGTGCTTCAACTCGGAGTTCTACAACCAGTTGCTGGTCGAGGTGGAGGCCGCCCAGGGCATCCTGGTGCCGCCCAGCTACGTCGACCAGGTGGACTTTGCCATCGTGAGCTTCGAGGTGCCTTTCGACGTAAAGGAACTGCCCGTAAAGTCCAACTTTGTGGCCACCGAGCTGTTCCTGGAGAGCTGTATGAAGCTAAACAAGCTTCTGCCCCTGGACTACTACCACAAGCCGGTGCCCGCCGCCGCCCTGAAGCAGCCACTGGAGGGCATGACGATTGTGGTGTCCATTTATGCGGGACTGGAGAGGGACTTCATCAACTCGGTGTCGGAGCTGTTGGGCGCCTCCGTCAACAAGACCTTCATCAAGAAAGAGAAGCCCTTGCTGATCTGCCCGAGTGCCGAGGGCTCCAAGTACGAGGGCGCCATCAAGTGGAACTATCCGGTGGTCACCTCCGAGTGGCTGGTGCAGTGCGCCCGCACCGGCCAGAAGCTGCCCTATGTAGGTCACCTGGTGGGCAAGAGTCCCGAGGATTTCCCGGTCTCGCCCAAACTCCGGGAGAGCAACACTCGCACACCGAGGCGTCCAGAGGCGACTCCTCCGCTGCCGCCGCCGCCAGTGCCCATGGAGGAGGAGGAGAACCAGCCGGAAATGGAAGCGCCGCCTATGTCAGCGGCCAATCCTTCAGCTCCAGCTCCAGAACTGACTCCTCTGCGGAACCGACGAGTCTCCGAACTGGCCGGCATTCCCGGCGGCAGTGCCCGTCGCCGCAGCAGCAGCTCCACATCCTCACCAGACTCGCCGTGCACGCCCTCAGCCAGGTGGGTGCCCAGAACTACAACTTCGACTTCCTCGAGCAATTCGTCCAGCGGTTGGACAACGACGAGGGGAAGGACTGCGTCCGCCAGATCATCCGCGAAATGCGAGAGAACCAAACCCCCGAACTGGAGCGCATCCGGAGACAGGCCTGTACTCCGGTCAGTCGACGACATTCGCGACCCGCTTCCGGGATACCCGACTTCTGCCTGACGCCGGAGTTCCAGCAACGGATGGCGGACGACTTTGAGCGACGATGGCGTCTGCCCACCCAGAAGATCAAGCCGGACACACCGCTGGCGGTGATCAGGCAGCGGGTGATGCGCATAACCTGCGAGACCCTGGGCATAGAATACGATGAGGGATCGGACACGGTGGAGGAAGAGCATCAGGCGCAGAAGGCACAGCGACAGCAGGAGGAGGGACTGGGCACTGCCAAGAAGAAGCCTCCGCCGAGGACTCAAGCCACAAAGCTAGTTTTCGAAAGGTCACCGCCGACTCCCAAGCAACCAGTGGCCGGCGGAAGCTCCGCCACACCCAAGCTATCATTGGCCAGCAGCAGCTCCACCACACCCAAGCTATCAGTGGCCAGCAGCAGCTCAGCCACACCCAAGCTATCAGTGGCCGGCGGAAGCGCCATCACATCCAGGCTATCACTCAGGCCATCCCTCGACAACAGATCCCCCCGAACGTCTGTGGACGCCAATCCAAGGCGTTCGTCGTTCATACCGCCCACCCAGGAGAGTCCAGGACTGGCCCGGAAACCGGAGGAGCCATCGAAACCACCCAGAAGATCGGATCTAGCACCGAGTGAGGAGGCTGCCAGTCAGAGCACCATCAACTTTGACAAAATAAGCTTCGAGGAGACTGCTCCGGCTATGAACACGGATCTGAAGCAGATCACGGACTATCTGAAGAACTGCGAGAGCCGGAGGAACAGCCTGAAGCGCAGCCACGACAGCGACATGGAGGGCCCCGAGAGCGAGGTCCAGTACGTGCAGCCATTTGAGTCCGAGGGCTTTGCCATGGGCACCGAGGACATGGTGAGTTGGCGGGATCCCGTCGAGTTTAATGCCGCCAAGAGGCGATCCTCCGGCGGCTCGCCCAGGATGCAACACCGGGGCACACCCTGCTTCAGCATCTCGTGCGGCGATGACGGTGAGAAGCGAGCGGAACTGATAGCGAGAATCGAGCAGCTGGGCGGGAAGATGTGCGAGAATCTGGTCAACTACGACGACGCGTGCACCCACCTGCTCTGCGAGCGTCCCAACCGGGGCGAGAAGATGCTCGGCTGCATGGCCGCCGGCAAGTGGATCCTCAGCATCCAGTACGTCGAACAGAGCCACGCCCGTGGCCACTTCCTGGACGAGGCCATGTTCGAGTGGGGCAACCCGAAGGCCCTGAATCTACCGGTGCTGCCGCCGGAGGAGCAGCCCATCGCGGCTGCAGTGCATCGCTGGCGCTCGGAGCTGGGCATCCGCGGCGGAGGAGCCTTTACCGGCCACCGGGCCATCCTAAGTATGCAGCGCAGCGGGGCGGCCATCCGCAATGTCCTGGTCGCCGGCGGAGCCGTCATCTTGGAGCCCAAGACACCCTTCGCCTCGGACCCCATGGCCGCCACAGCTACCCATTGCTTCGTGGACGTGAAGAAGGCTCCGCTCTCCCCCCAGGACCTGGCCTATCTGCTGAAGAAGGGAGTGCGTGTCCTCAGTCAGATCGCCATCAACAGTTATCTGATGAAGGGACGGGATGCCGATCTGGGAGCATACGAGCTCAGTTAAGGAGTCTGCTCCCCTACACTGGAAACTAATATTAGTTTGTTCTATTTTTTTTTTCTTGTTGCTTAAGACTGTCAGAAGACTTGTCGGAATTTCTTAGAATCAGTTTTTCATTTCTTTAAGTTATCTTGTTATCTTTTTTCCAAAAATTCTCAAAATAAATATTATCGATAGAGTGTAAAAGGTTCTTTACGAGGTTTTCTTTCTGTGCACTTGTCACGGTCGCCATAAATATAAATGACTTGGCTTAGGAGCTGTGAAGTGAATTATCGTTCTTTTGAAGCAAAATATGAACCCTTCTATTGGAAATTCAGGGCATGTTTTAGGCTTATAAGGATCATATCTTTTGTTTCATTATTTAAGGTATAAGGATCTGAAACTCATAAATAATAAGTGTCACGGTCGCCATAAACATAAATGTATGACGATTTCTGGATCAATTCTCCACCAATCTTTATCAAAATCATGAGACGAAATATTTTTCACATTTTTTGTCCATTTTTCTGGAAATGGACCCCTTGAAAATGGGGTTTTACCCTATAGGGTCCACTGCGATGTCTATATCTTCCTCAATTCTTATCCGATTCTCAAGCGAAGTGCCTTGTTTTAGGCTTACGAAGATCATATCTTTTGTTTAAAAAAGATTTAAGGATTAATTTAAGATTTAAGGATCTTAAGTCGACGACAAATAATAAATGTCACGGTCGCCATAAACATAAACGTATGACTTTACTTAGAAGCTTTTAACTGAATTCTCGTTCTTTTAAAGCAAAACATGAACCCTTGTATCCAAATTCCGATATGGTTTTAGCCTTTAAAGGATCTTATCTTTTTTCAAAAATATTTATGGATCTTAAAGATATTAATTCGACAATAAATAATAAATGAAGAAAACGTAAATAAGGAACGTGACACCTTATATTGTACTTTCCATTTATTTAACGTTTATATATCTTGATGTGTGGGGTTTTTGAATGGATGTGGGTGTGATTGTGGACTCTTGTACATAATATATAGTATGTATGAATATAATTTCACGTTAGCTTCTCTTCCGTTGCTCTCTCCCCCCCATTTCTCAGTAGCAGTACTTAAAGTTTGATTCGTAGGTTTACATGTTTTTACACTCCATGCCGGATTCTTTAAAAAATTTCTATATATAATATATATATATATATTTATATATCTATAGTTATAGTTATATAGTTGTGTGTTGGTGTGTGTGTGTGTGTGTGTTGTTCTGTTGTGAAATCGCATGCTTTCTAGGCTACAAATTCATCAAAAATAGATAGTACACGAATGCATATAATTGATCCATCCGATCCATCGGTTCTACTTCTGTTTTAAGCCGCGACTGGCAGACTGGCGGCATTTTCTATATATATATATTTATAGCAATATATATATACAATTTAATATTGGTTTAGTTTTTATTTTTTGTTATCAGCATATCAATTTTGTTCAATGTTTTTTATATCGCAGCGATAATTTGTTTAGTTTTTTTTGTTTCTTTAGGAGGCATTTTTCATTTTTTTTGAACTTAATGATGAGAATGGAAAGGATAATGATAGTACTAGATGATACTTCTTCTTCATCTTCTGGTTACAATGAATCGAAAATAAAAAAAAAAAAGAAGTGTATAATTAGTAATAATAGTTGTGGAACTTGGAGCATACTTAGAAATTAAAAAATCTCTTTGCTGGGCGTTGAGATGCCCAGTGGCTGTTCGTATTCAGATACGGATGCGGATGCGGATGCGGAAGCCTTCTTCTCCTTGCGCTGCGACTTGTCCTTTTTATGCTTCTTCTTGTGCGACTTGGACGCCGACGGTTCACCCGCCTGTTCCTCATCGGCGGCCACATCGATAATCGCTTCCCGCGACTTCTCCTTGTTCTTCTTCTTCTTGTGATGCTTGCCGGCATCTGGAAGGACATTCGCCGTATTGTTGTTCTCGTTGCTGGGGGCTTGGCTGGCATTATGGCTGGGGCTTGGTGTGGGCGTGTCGGCGTCAATGAGATCGATCACCGGCTGGGAGGCAGCAGCAGCAGCAGCAGCAGCGGCAGTCGTCTTACGTTCCCGCTTGTGCTCTCGCTTCCCCTCCCGGTCCTTGTCCTTTTTGCGGTCCTTCTTGGAGGTGCTACTGCTGCCGGCAGAGTCCGCTGGCACCTTGAGATTCTCTTTCCCGGAGGATGACTTCTTGTACGTGGATTTTGAAGCTTGTGGCTCAAAGTCCGTTCTGTAAAAGGGGTTTGGATGGAAAATGGCTCTATAATTCTGTTGATTCCCTCCACTTACATGTCCAGTTCAATGTCCAGGGCACGATGGGGATCATTGGGATCGTATTTGCCGTCTTTGTCCTCGCTGTCCGAGAGGGAAACGCCTTCGGGCATGTCCAATGTGGTGTTAACAATGTGCAAGGGTTTCGGCTCTGGAATTTGAAAAATTTTTTTATAATTCTTGCAAGTTGGAGGAAATTCTGGCTGGGATTCACCTCCTTCGGACTCGGAACTGCTGTTGTAGGCCACTTTGTTCTTCGCCTTTTTGCTCTTTTTGCCCTTTTTGTGTTTCTTCTTGCCGTCCTTGCCACTCGAAGCGGCCTGCTGCTCCTGTAGGTATTTATCCGAACGTTTGGTGACTAAAAAAAAAAGGAATAGGTCGTTATGGACACCCTTTTTTAAGGAAATATTGAGAAACTTACTGCCCACTCTTAAGGCGGCCACACCCTCCATGTCCAGCGGCAGTTCCGTGATCGGTATATCATCGATATTGTCGTACTGGTCGGCATTCGCGGACGCACTGCTCGCCGAGGGCGTGGACTTGAGGTAGTGGGGATTGTTTGACTGCTCCATGAGGCGGGCAGTTCGCTGCCGTTCCAGTTGCTCGGGCGTGAGTTCCAGGCTTTGGCGACGCTTTGCCCCGCTCCCGCCGCCGCCACCGCCATCACCCAGACCGGATCCACCCTGGGAGGAGCTGACGAAGAGCTCGTCTTTGTCATGGTCCGAGGACGAACTGCTGGCCGCATCCTCTGGTGGCGGAGCATTGATCCACTCGTCCAAATCGAGGCCATCGGGCAGAGGCACCTTCCGTTGCGCCTTGGGCGCCACCGGAATCAGTTCGCCCGCAAACAGGAGCGTCATCTCCTGGACGATCTCGATCGCCAAGGGAGGAATGCCACTCTCCGCCGTGCTCGTCGTATCCATGGCATCCTCCGACGTCGCCAGTTGGTTGCGCAGCATTTCGATCAACATGCAGGCGGAGTTGGCTCGCTCCTGGACCTCGATATCGCTGGAGCCGTTAAAGTGCTGCAGCTTCTCCAGGACATGGTCGCAAAGCTGGAAAGTGAGGAAAGTATGTAAGGTTTCTTCAGAAAACTCAAATAATTATCCATTTACTCTTATTAATCCTGCCAGATCCTGCAGCTCTAGACACGTGGTGGCCAGGCGGGCGAATAGCTTGATCACGTTCTGCACGTAAACGCCCTGGATGTGGCCGGGAAGTTGTCGCGGTCGCAGCAGGATATTCAACGTCTTCTCGGCGTCCTCCAGCTCGCCGGAGAACTCGCCGACAATCCAGGCGGCGGCGTAGAGCACCTCGTACATGGAGTTGCTTTGCGCCGAGACGGTGAACGTGTCCAGCAGGTTGGTCATCTCATTAACGGCGAACTGCCGCACCACCGGCACCCGAATGGCCACGTCCAGCAGCTGCTCGGCGATGAGCCGGCCATGCCGCGAGCCAGCTTCCAGCTGGATCAGCTCCACCAGCACCGTCAGATACCACTCAAAGTTGGTCACATACAGGTAGGAGCTCTGGGCGCAGATTTCGATCACCTTATAGAGCAGCTCGTCCCGGTAAGCGGAGCCCTCGGCTCGCTCCATGTGACCCAGCAGTCGCTTCACGATCTCCATTAGGTTCTTCTTCGAGACCATGCCATAGAGCAGATCCAAAGCCCGCAGCCTGATGGACTCATCCTTGTCGTCCAGGCAGGCCAGAATCAAATCCTTGTGCGCCTGCACGCTCTTTGGGTGCGTCTTGAGGATCTTGGACATGGCCAGTAGTCCAAGGTATTTAACTGCAAAGGGACGATGGGGTTTAGACGCTGCCGATGCTGGACTGGAGGCTGGATACTCACGATTTTGGTCCGAATCCTCGATGAGGATGCGCAGCTTCTGGACGCAGAGCTGGATGGAGGCACTGTGGTTCGGCATGCCGCTGCTGATGCTGATGAGGACCGCGATCACCGTGTTGATGCACTCGTACAGGAGACTCATCGCCGAGGTGCTGTTGGTGAGTTTGGTTTTCGATTTTGGTTTTGGTTTTTGGTTCGTTTTTTTTTTCATTTTTTTATTTTTAGTAGGTGTGTTTGGTTTTAATTTTAATATTTTTTTGTTGGTTGGTATTAGTATATAAAAAAAAAAAAACATATAGAGGATTTTGTATTAAAATTAAGCAGCGATTAAGCAGCAAACATTGCACTACAACAACAATATAAATAGCAACATTCAACAGCAATATATATATAGAGCATTGGTGGTGGCCGATTAAAGCGATAACAGCGATTAAAGCGATCAACAGCGATAACTGCGATTAAAGCGATCAACAGCGATAACAGCGATTAAAGCTATATAAACCGCTATGCAAATTATAGTTTAAGCAATATTTAAAAATAAACAACTGCAACACTTTATCATTTTTGGTTTCTGATATCAGATTTAATTCATGTATATATTCTCTCAATGAATGTGCTCGGGCTAAGCAACTGAAGGCAAATAATAAGAAAACGAGCGAGACGAATGGAAAACAAACCCAAATCGGAGCAGGACGGCGATAGTTAATATTTACAATAAACTTGAAACGATAGTTAACGGATCCATTAATCGATAAAACTAAAATTTCTGATTGGATTTTTGGTGCATTGGAAAGACAGAGAGATGATTAGGCAAAAGATTTGTACAATTAATTCTTATGAGGGGGGGAGGAAACTAAAACAAAACAAGAGTTTAATTTTTTTTATACATTCATCGAGCAATCGATCGATATTTATCGATCCTATTATCGGCCTTATTTCTCGCCTTTCTGCTTGTTGCAATCGCTTTCCACACACACTTTTTTGGGAATCTGTTTTTTTTTGTTTTAATTATTTTTGCAATGATTTAAGACTTGCCTATGAATTAGATTTGTGAGTGGTTCTATTAATTTCTTTCCTAGCCGGGGTTCTAAGGGAGTTAAAGCGCCAAACTGCAAATGCAAAGAGAAAAAGAAACAAGCAACAAATTATAATTGACATACAATCGAAATTGAAATCTTTTTTTTTTATCAACAACTAAAACTAAAAACTAAAAATAAATTAATTTTTATTAAATATCGCTAATGGAGTTTCCTCTCTGTTATTGTCTTAAACTGGTTCTGGTTTTCCTGGCAAGTTTCTCTCCGGTATTTCCAACTCATGACGGTGAAGTCTGTGTGTGTTTTTTTTTTTGGTTTTCAGCGAAATGATATAAAATCTGTGGTGTTTTGTTAAATATTTTCCATTAAATCAAGCGAAAAAAAGACACAATTTAGCCAAAAAGGATGAGGTGGAGGTGGTGAAGGATTGTGGCTGTGAGGTGACTTTCGTTTTTGGGTTTCAAGTGAAGACTTTTTCACTTGGGAGTGGGAACATCATGTGCTTTATCAAATTGCAATTACAATGTCGATTTTGGGTTTATAATAATAATAATAATAATAATAATAAATTACGACGCTCATGTGTGTTCTTGGGTAAATGGATCATGAACCTCTGATATTTATGGTAAATAAATACAACATAAAAGTCACTAATGATTACAGTGTGTATGGCTTCCATTTAAACAATTAGGAGATCAAGTTTAAGTACAGAAACTAAATAAAAACTAAATTATTAAATAGTAAAATGCTTTAGAGTAAATCAAAGCGCGTGCTGGTTTTTTTTTTTTTTTTGATCAAGTTTCTTTGTATTTTTTTCGTTGGGTCTGATTAAAGAAAAGCACGCCGATAAAAACCTGGAAATAATTTCAATTAGGGGCTGAGTCAATTTTCGTCCCAGCGCCGGCTCAATAGTCGTGAGGCTCGCGAACTAAAATTCATTGGATTTGGTATTTTAATACGGTTATTAGTATTTTGTCATATTTTCGAGTGATTTGTTTTCACATTTTTTTTTTTTATTTATTTGGAGCGGGAGCAGAGGGAGGAGAGGGGGAAGGAGTAGTTGTAGTGTTAATTAACTTTTAGTTAGACTTCATTGTCATTTAAAAAAAAAAACGTATACTTATACGAATATACAGCAAAATTAAAGTTCAGCTTGTCTCTCGACAAACTTATAAAATAATAAAATTAATAACTAAAATAAAAGTTAAAAAATAAATTTCAATCTGGGTGGAAATTGTGGGAGGGGAAGAACTCACCAGCTTGATAATCTTGATCAGCATCCAGTTGTTGGTCGATGTGGTCATCAGTTTGAAGAAGATCGGCGCCAGGGGCAGGTAGTTTTTTGGATTCTTACGTGCTAATTCACAAATAACATTCACGGCAGCTGATTGGACACCTAAAAAATATATCAAATTTACTATCTAAAGCTATATTGTGTGTAATTATTGTTTAACCTGGATCTGGATCTTCCAGTTTCTCTTTGAGTTTAGGAAATGCAGGTCTCAATGCCTCGGGATAGCGTAAAAATACTTTATACATCATAAGGACGGCTTTCATGCGCAGATACGGTTTCGTTGAGCTCATCTATAGATGATTATTATAATAGATTATTATAGACTGATCAAGTATTTCCTATTCCCTACCAAGGTCATAATATCGTTGGCCAAATCGCGGGATAGGTCGGGTGAAATAAAGCAGCTTAGCCCACTGAGCGCCACTCCAGCATCGTACTGATTCTGCGAATTGAGATCCTTGCGTATCATGTTTGTGGTAAGCATAAGAAGCTATAATGTAAAATATTTGAATATTAATAAATGATTATATAGACTCTATGATATAGACATACCTCGCTGTCTGGATGAAAGCATTGGCTGGCCGCCAGATAGCCGATTCGTTTGCAGGTGAAACGGGAAGAGCTCATCACCTCGATGATGTTGAATCCCGCCCAGGAAATGTCATAGCCCAGCATTTGTATCTGTTTGGAGAGAGGGAGGGAATCAATAAATATTTGAATTTCTGCTGATTGTGTGCAAACTAAGTGCTATCAAGTGGGTGGCTGGGCAGGAATAGGCTCAAGGACTCGTTAGCATCGAAATCTGTTAAGCTGCATCTGTGTTCTTTGAGCTCACACTAGCGGGTATAACAATAGAAGCAGTATATTAAAGCCCCAAGCTCTCAAAAAAGGGTAAAAAATTAAATGTATTTCTTTTAGAAAGAAAAACAATCTTGCTGTTGGCCATCCATGGCAGTTGCCATGCCTTTCAGTTCCGTGGTTATTGTTAGTCCTGGTGCTTTCGGTCTGTTTTTGTCGTTATTGTCACACTTGCACACAAGGACCTCATACCCCAGGCAATTTGCGTCAAGTGCAGAAAGGCACTTCCCCGGCTTTCAATGGAGAATGGCTGAAACAAGATGCCAAGGCACGCATCCCATAATCCACAGCTAAGCCTCCTTCGTGGCAATTTCAATCCTCTTCAGGTATACAGCCCCGTCCTGGGAGGTGGCAATGAGCTTAGTTTTTAGCTTTTTTTTAGCTTACATATTTAATGAAGGCTTATAAGCTGGCTTAGGGACTTTGGGGGGGGGCACTACTTACATAGGTGAGCTTGGCCACCGCATTGCACTTGACACTGATATTGTCCTGTCGCAGCTCCTGTTTGATTTCCTCGATGCACGTCGATATGTATTTGGCCTGCGGGTAGCATGGAAATGAAAAGTATAAGATAATCAATCTTTGTGTAATCATATGTATGTATATAGGACTGTATATACAAGAGATATGTGCAATGGCAGCAAAAACATAAAACAACAAATCTGAGGCTATCAGTTTTTTTTAACACCCCAATACACAGACAGAGTCGAACGAAAAGCCAATAAACACAAATACCACAACATACAGTCATAATCATATAATAATATTTATTAAATTAATTAATTATTTTTTACTAAGGATTACTAGGGATTTGAGACTTTAAGAATATATATATTTATTATTATATTATTATTTATTATATATTTGTTGGTTCCTAGTTTCTTGACTGGGTTTGTATGTAGCGAAATTAATAGAAGGCCAGGGAGGTCAGTCCGCAGCCTCTCCTCCACCCACTGAAGTACCGTTACTTGATCCATTCCCTTTCCCCACTTTATCAACCAATTGATGGAGTGAGCAGAGCCTCATTTATAACAAAATATATTAAAACCATTGACTAACTTAAGTCGAACTTAAGATGCTCTTAAATAGGATTAGTTGTTATCCTTACTCCCTTAATAAAAGTACTTCCAGGAAGAGTAGACAGAGAGTCCCATACCCAACTGTAAGTCAAACATCTGGGCGCGGAGCACAGCTGATAAGGACCAAACGCAATCACCGAGGGAATTTACATGGGTAAATATTTGATAAAACGTGCTCCGGCCTCTTCTAACCGGCAGAACTGAATTTTGGGCCAAAAATTGACATAAAAGCATTAGGGGCCGCTAATTGAGTGAGCGAGAAGGTGGTGGCTCAAGCGCTGGAGGTGGAAGTAACTCCCCTTCTCTTGTTTTCTTCCTTTCTCCCTACGCTGTTCGTGCTCCCCATTCTTCTTCCTTTTGCATTGTTGGCAGATGCCAACGCACACAACCACCCACATAGCCACACACACACACGAGCTTTCACACACACACACACACACATGGCACTTGCAAACTCTAACAAAATTCCCTTAATGCAAACGAAATTTGTCAGCCAATTAGCGAGTTCTAATTGGACTCACGGCTGGACGTGGGGGCGTGGCAATGGGCGTTGGAAAGAAGGAGATGCGATTGAGCCACCGTGGGGGGACAAAATTCGGCACACGCTTACCTCATTATCCTTGTTGTTCCTGATGCCGCGCACCAAATCTGTTAGGTTTTTATCAAACATACGCTCGAAAAAGTTGCCCTTCACTTTCTTCAGTGCCATGTTGATGTTTTCGTTTCGCTTCGGTCGGCTTGACAATGGGGCTGTGATTTTCCAAGCAGCAGCGGGCGATATTAGTTCGATTTCAACACCTCAGCACCGGCGGCAGCAGCTAACTTCCTCTTTTTCTTTTTGTTTTCTTTTTTCTGGACTTGCAAAAGTTGCAAAAAGAAACATCTAATCAGTGTGGCCAGGCTGCGGGGGTGGCCAAACACCTGCCATACATCGATAACTCTCCACCTCTAAAAGCTATCGATAGTTTTGGGGGAATTTGGGGCAACCAACCAGAATTTAAATTCAAAAAACCGCCGAATAATAAAAACAGTTTTTAGGTTTTTTAAGACAAAAAAAATCTTATAGAGCAATTTAGCGTTTATTTGAAGCTCGCAACACGACTGGCCTAAAACATTGTTTAAAACATTAACATTTTAAAACATCCTTAAACATCTGGGCATTTATAATTAACATTTTCTTATCTCCAGCTTGTAAATTGACAGACGCACTTAAGGAAACGTTTTGTAACATTTGGCTAATTAGGCTTTGTGCTTTCTTATTAGTTTTAGTGTCTTTTTTAACTGCTTAACTACAGTAATCGATGTAGCAAATCAGTGGATTACAAAAAACGATGTGCGCCAAACATATTCCATTTAAAACTAATCAATGGTAAAAAAAAAAAAGTTTCAGATATATATTTGAGATATATTCGTTCGAAGGCTTTTGCAGAAATGCTTGAGATATTTGTGCAGATTCATTTGGATTACGATTGAGTTGCAATGATTGCTTGTTCGTTTCGCTTTATGACTAAAATATTATAATATGGCGCAGCAAGTGGACTGGATCGCTATATTGGCACAGGGGTGTGGTGGTAAGGTCCAGGACCTCAATCTCGACCTTGACCTCGACCTCGATCTTGGCAAATGCTATTCCTTGGTGGTCTGGGGATGGATCACATACCGACTGCTCTGACTCGCCTTGGACGCGGAGAAGACGCTGCTCATCCGCATGTGCTCGAAGGTGAGGGGCTTGCTTAGGTTGGTGTCGCGCTTCTTGTAGTACTCGTTAAAATCCAACCGGGTGCCGAACAGCTGCAGGTTGGGATCCACATTGGAGTTGAGGGCCAGCAGAAAGCCACTGACGGCCTTCTCGTAGGCAATGGCAATGTCTTCCAGTCCCCGACACGAGATGGCAATTCGCTCTAAGAATTTCTTGCGATCGTTATCCCGCTCGAACATCTCATCAACGGTCACACCAAACTTTCCAGCCGCTTCCGACTCCATCACCTTCTTGTGCAGGGCTTTCCGCGCATCAAGCTCCTTAAAGCACTCCTTATAGAACGACGATTGCCAGTTCTCCAGGCCGATGATGTTTTCGTACACCGTCTCCAGATGCCGCTCCATATCAGTTAACGTGTTGACAAAGCAGCCCACAGTAATCGTCTTAAGGAACTTTTGGTGAGCCTCCAGGATTTCGTCCAGAGCGGTGGCCCGCTGCATTTTCTTTTGAAGCTCCACCCAGTTGCACTCGATGACCTCAAAGAGTACGTAATACTGCATCTGGTGGATGAAGTGCATGATCTCTGAGGTAAACAGATGTAAGCGGTAGGAAGCCGGTCCAATCTCGGCGTTCAATGGGCGCAGAATCTGAAATAGAGTGAAAAATTTTTAAAATCAAATATTCTAGAATTCAAAAAGATCCTATCGAAGTGGCAACTCTGTTGCAACGGCTATGCCGATAGTCGATATCCGATAGAACTGCCTATCGAGGAGGCCATTGTTTACATTCGTGACTTTTGTGGCTTTGCTTGTCTTTATCTCCCTTATCAGTGCTGGATTGCGGATTACAAAGCTAAAGTCACGCTTTTCCAACCACGATGTCGCTCTCCACCATTTTTAAAGATCTACCCGAGGAGCACCCTCGCCACCTGATTCCCTCACTCTGCCGGCAGTTCTACCACCTAGGATGGGTTACCGGCACTGGCGGTGGGATGAGCATCAAGCACAAGTGAGTATTCTCCTAGTTACCATAAACAAGAACTTCATTTATGATCCCCTTTCAGTGACGAGATCTACATAGCACCGTCGGGTGTCCAAAAGGAGCGCATGCAGCCGGAGGATCTGTTTGTACAGGACATAACCGGCAAGGATCTGCAGCTTCCGCCAGAGATCAAGGGTCTAAAAAAGAGCCAGTGCACCCCGCTCTTCATGCTGGCCTACCAGCACCGCGGCGCCGGAGCCGTGATCCATACACATTCCCAGCACGCAGTGATGGCCACGCTGCTCTGGCCCGGCAAGACTTTCAAGTGCACCCACCTGGAGATGATCAAGGGAGTCTACGACGAGGCTGACAAGCGGTACCTGCGCTACGACGAGGAGCTGGTGGTGCCCATTATCGAGAACACGCCATTCGAACGTGATCTGGCGGACAGCATGTATGCGGCTATGATGGAGTATCCAGGTTGTAGTGCCATCCTGGTACGCAGGCATGGCGTCTACGTTTGGGGACAGACTTGGGAGAAGGCCAAAACAATGTGAGGAATCCGAAATACTATTTTAAAAACCTCCATTGAATCAATATCTCTATTCTTTCTAGGTCCGAGTGCTATGACTATCTGTTCTCCATCGCTGTGGAAATGAAGAAAGCCGGAATCGATCCCGAAAAATTCGAGAGCACTTAGAAACGTGCCTGTTATTGTAATTGATACAACTACAAATCATCTAAACTGTTGGCTAACCCCGCTATAAGGAAATATTTTTATAATGATAAGAAATATCTGAAGAAACTTTTGAAAAGCTTTTATAATTTAATCTAAATATACAGAAGGTTAAAAATTTACTTTTTGAATGAACTCGTGAGGTGGCACATATTGTTGCCAAAATAATCTGGGGATACTTGAAGCGTTATCGCCTTGTTTTATGGGTCTTTGAAACTCGGAGCGCACTTTGCACTAAAACTTTGAGCATTACCGTGGTAACAGACCATGGCCAAGAGCTGATAACAGCTGTTACGAGTTCATGTTAACGAGACCATGTTACCATATTTATGTAAAGTCTAAACTTCATAGCAGTGGTCAAAAAACATTAAAAAAATACAATTTTAAACTAAAAAATTAATTATAAATTTGTTTAAAATTAATATTAATTGATTGTTTAACAATTCTTTATTGTTTATAACTAAATTTATTTACTCAATCTAATTTTTTTTTTATTTGCAGAGATCTTTTTGATTTTTTAGTTTTATGAAAAAAAAAATATATATATATTTTTGTTAATAATACTATATTTTATTAATTTGTGGCCCCACTGTGCCTGGGAGAGTTGCGCGCGAGAGAGAGAGAAGAGTAGAAAAAGCACTGTTTACGTAAAATCCATAGGTGCGAAAGAGAGCAACAGAGTGAACCGGCACTTAACTGTATAGCTATCTCGCGAGAATAAAATCGGCGACTGCACGCCGTTTTCCCAATACTTCGCATTCCCCGCTCCAAGCGTAAGCATATTTATTTTCCGCGGCGCATAACTCCGCAACACCCATCGATTTTCCCTAATTTTTTTTACTATAATAATCCAGCCCCCCCCGGAACACAACACACACACAAAAAAAAAAACACCATGTCGCTGCAGTCGGACGCCGTTTTCCAGAAAATCATCGATGGACTGAAGGATAACGAGGCCAAGGCCAAGTCGGTCAACGGAGTGTTCCTCTACAAAATCACCAAGGACGGCAAGGTGGCCAAGGAGTGGAGTAAGTTCAAGTTCCAAGTCCCCAGGAACACCCAAAAAATAGGGGCACTACCCAAAATAGCCCACACCCCCCAAACCTACACCCCAGTGGTTTCCATGTAACCATACGTGTTCTTTAATTTTTTATTTTGATTTCCTGGCTTTTTTTTTCTTTTCTTTTTTGTTTTCATTATTTTGTAATGGTACGGAGTTCAAAGTGCAGATGATTTTTTTTTCTATTCACCGTTTTGTACTTCGGAACCAGCTGTTCGATTAACATTAAGGCAGTATTACACGGAATTTTAAGGCATTTAAAAAAGAATTTAAAAAAAGTGCCTAATTAATTTCTACTTCAAAAGGAGAGTTAAAAAAAGAAGTGAAAAATTTATATTATATTATATTTTTTTTAATTTTATTTTTTCTTAATAACTAATATTTATTGCAGTGTATTGAGTGCATGAGTTGCAAAAGTATTTTTAAAATAAAACCTTTTAAACTTAAGGAATTAATTCCCGAGGTTTGATATTTTTTTAAATTAAAAAATGAACTTTAAACCATGATTATTTTTTATAAATGTATTGGATTATCTTTAAAACAAAGACTAGCATAAGTAGCAGCTAATAATTATCAAGTTTCTTTAAAAAAAATATATATATATATAAAACAAAACACCTGTTGAGGTTTGCTAGAACCAGAGTTCTTCCAAAAAAAAAATATGTTCTTTAAAAAACTTCTTAACAAAAAAAAAACAAGATAAGATTAGTTGGAAATTTTATTACAAAATTATGCACCGAAAAAACCCCATTTAACCCCATGGTTACTATTACTATTTCAGCTCTGGACTGCAAGAGCGCCAAGGCTTACGAGGGACCCGCCCAGGGCGTCAAGGTCGACACCACCCTGACCGTCGCCGATGAGGATATGGTGGACATTGCTTTGGGCAAGCTGAACCCCCAGGCTGCCTTCATGAAGGGCAAGCTGAAGATTGCCGGCAACATCATGCTCACCCAGAAGCTGGCCCCCCTCCTCAAGACCGACGCCAAGTTGTAAGAAGGCTCAGCAGACACCACCAACCACAACAATAACAACCGACAGAGGGATCAAAATTAGGAGCAGGAGCAGGATCATCATCCAGCAGCAGCACATTCCTCACCAAAAAGTGTGTGTGTGTTTTTTTTTTTATATCGTATTGTGTGTATTGTAATCTTAAATATGTATTTTTTTGTTTCACTTCATATATAAATTAATATATATGTTATTTTTGTACGGGAATTCATCCACAAAAAATAATACATAAGGAGAAATCGAAATCGAAATCGAAATCGAAATAGTTTTCAGTGCCCTTTGATACTATGGAATGGGGTTTATCGGTAAGTGGGTAATCACGTAGGATTAGATTAAAATGCCCCTAGTGATAATCTTATCAAGGCATTGGCTCTACACCTTCCCGACATCGACTTCGACTTCCTCCCTTTTGAAAAATATTGAAATTCCAGACTCACCTTTGAGTTGGCCATCTGCTCGTTCCAGATCTTCATGGAGAGCAGGAACTCCATGTGCTTCATCCGCCAGAGGGGCTTGAACAGAGCCTTGTAGGTGGGCATTGTCGGCTCCAGCATGGTGGCCAGTGGTCCCTGGACGATATACTGCAGCGAGATGATGTCCCAGCCACGGTCGCCGGGGAAGGGCGACTGCACCACCACATCCAAGTGGTTCAGGATCTCCGGATCATCGTATTGGGCATTTGTGCAGCGCAGCGCTGCATCCAGCATGGCGGAGAGATCATGGGCATATATATCAGTGCCCATGCGCTCTAGTTCGTCCCTGGGGATTCAAATAGGTTGTTAGCTACTCGATCGAAAGGTATAATCCTGGGGGAAACCTACTTCATATTCTCAATGAGAATGCCAACAAAGTCGCCCTGGCCGAGCAGCAAGTAGCGTCGCATTCCGTGCAGATGATCCAGTAGCTTGTGGGGACCCACCATGATGTCCAGGACATGTTTGGAGGTCTGCTGGTAGCATGTCTCCACCGCTGCATGCCAATTGGTGTCCTGCACATACGAAAAGATTTGCGAAGCTGAAAGGGAAAGGATTAAGGCCATGAATGAGAAGGTGTATGACTTTCAGGCACTCACCGTTGGTGTTCATGATCGACTTGAGCTCCTCCCGACCCTTCACCAGCTCCGTCATCTCGCATATCTCCCGCAAGAAGTTAATACTTTTGCCCGTTTTGAGGATCTTGTCGGCCAGCTCCATGGTTATGAATTTGGGCATCATTGCGACCCGCAGTCGGAATTTATCATGCCAGAGTCGATCCGCACCGACATCGTTCAGCGACTCGACAAAGAACTCGCTGTAGGTGTCGCTAATGCCGCCATCCAGCATCCAATTGGAGATCATTCGCACAAGGGGACCACATATGGCAGTCAGAAGCGATCTGACCAGTTCATTGACCATCGAGTTGCCATGGTCCAGGTAATTGTAGACAGTAGAGGCCAGTTCCCCGCCCTTGCGCAGCTGGCAGGAGTCCGCGATCTTTGCGAGCCACTGCATCCGGTGCAACGGTGTTATGTACCATGCCAGCAGCTTAAACAGCGTCACCTCACCCATCGACCCCGGCTCGGACTTCTCCTTCTGGCTATCCCGAAAGTTGGCCACTTCGTCGTGGAGTATCGCCACCTGGCCGTGGAACTCCACCAGCTCCTCCCTGAGCTTGGATATAAAAGCCTGGCCCATACTGCCCATGGCATTAAATCCGGTGGTCAAATCCGCGTACTTGGCCACCCGATCGTGGTAGTAGCCCAGCTCGGATAGCCGCAATAGCATGCCGGCCTGAACGGGTGACAGGGCCTTGGCGTTCATAGGGTCCAGCTTGAAGCAACCCGAGATTACATCCTTTTTCAAATACTTTCCCTGGACGCCGGTGAACGAGTAGATGGCGTTCATCACAAGGTCCTGCATCTCCTCCAGATTCGTCTGGACCTTTAAGTTCGTCATGTATTCGGGCAGTGACTGTTGTCCCAATCCCGTACTGGACTGCGAGGAATCGTAGCTGAATTTTGTCACGATTCCATTTAGATGGGAAGATCGGTTCGATGACGAACCATTAGTGCTGCTCGTTGCCGTTTCGGTGCTCCGGCTTCTCAGGGTAAGCTTCAGTGTGTCTCCTCCGTCCTCAGCAGTTCCGTTTACAGTTTTCACCTCCTTGGGTTTGTCCGCCATGCTGAGCAGGAAGCACATCAACGAGTGTCTCGAATTGGTGTCTATGTTCAGTGCCAGCAGCTTGTTGTAGACTTTCAGAAAGAGATCACCGGTGCCGACGGGTTCGTCGGGATGCGACCCGGCGTTCAGTTTGTTTACGATCCTCTGGACGCACTCTTCTTCACAAATTGGAAATGTCTGACACGAGCTTATATAGTCAGTGGCACGTACCAGCGTGTTTTCTATAAAGGATATAGTGTGTGTGAAATAATTTCAATATTTTGAAGTAAGATTTCAAATTGTGGAAAAGTCATGGCTATCTAGGATAAGCCAGTAGTATGGCCTCACCATGTTCTTCGGGCGTACGCTTTCCTTGAATGACGATGCACAAATCGGACAGGATATTGGCCAGAGCACCGTTTTGTAGTCCCAGCTGATCCTGGGCGTCCAATTGATTCGCTTCCGACATCTAACGAGTCCCCAAACATCCGCCAAGGATGGTAATTTGTGTAAATTTCTCAAATTTCAGGGACGCGCGCGCAAATCAAAGCCACAAACAAAATTAAAAGTCAAACGCCGATATGGGGAATGGCGTCAAAATGCTGCGAATGCCACAACTGTTGGCCAAATATTCGTTTAAACTCGTTCTTGAGACAATTTCCCGGGTAATTGCATCGCCAGTGGATTCTTATGATTTAAATCTTAGCTTAAATAGGCCATTTGGCGTTTAGATGGCGCGTATTTTGTGCAAAATTTAATAAATTATCAAAATAGCAACAACAAAAACAGAAGAAGAATGCAGTGTTACCGTATTGGGCGTAACTTCAAAATAGCCAAAACGGTATTTTTATGTTTATACCAAAAATATACCAAAATCAGTGTTGAGAAATCAGTGTTGCCGGTTTTTCTACATTTTCCATCACTATTGTTATTAAACTGCAAATAAACAAACAAATTTTGGCCACTTACTAACCGAAATATTGTCTAGAAACGTACATTTACGAATGGGTGTGACTGTCTTGCAACCGTACCCGCTGCCGGAGGGTAAATCCGGGGCACACATGATCGACCAGCTGGGAAAAAGGCTGCTGTCGTTGGGAGCCACCCATGCCGGTCAGTTTCTGGTGGACTGTGAGACCTTCATATCCACGCCACAGCCCCACAATGGAGCACCGGGACGGGCGGTGCACGTCCTGCACAATTCCGAGTATCCAGCTTCGGCGTTTTCCATTATCGACAACGGAACCGGGAAACAAGTCGCCCTGGTTGCGGACAACATATTCGATCTTCTGATGCTCAAGATGACCAACACCTTCACATCCAAGAAGCAGACAAAGATCGAGTCTCGCGGCGCTCGTTTCGAGTACGGTGATTTTGTGATCAAGCTTGGCTCCGTCAACATGATGGAACACTTTAAGGTACAAATCCCAATCCTTTGAAGCTGTTTCTCCATCTGTAATCTCTTTCCAATCCCCAGGGAATTCTCGTAGAGATTGAATACAAATCCTGTGTAATTCTTGCCTACTGCTGGGAGATGATTCGCGAAGTGCTGCAGGGCTTCCTGGGCATTTCAGTCTCCAAAGACTTTCCGTCATACTTTGCCCCGCAGACCATTATGACGCCAATGGGCCAGCAGCAGATTCACACTAAGCACAACGACATTTACGAGCCCATGGATACGGTGAAACAGTACCTGGAAACATTCACGAACTATAGGAAACAGGTGCACAGCGGCATGTCTGGGAATACGCCCATGCATATGTCACCCTCGATGGCTGGCTTGAGTCGATCCTGATCCGCCGAAGTGAAGCTGGAGCCACCAGATGGGCCGCCGGTGGGGGAGTGATCAGTAAACATTATAAATATACTTATTGCAAATAATTTAAGAGAAAACTATAAGATTTAAATAAAATAATTACTAAAATAAATTCCACAGCCCCCACAAAACTATAAACCCATCAAAATCTTTATGACCCACACAGTTGGCTGCCAAAAATGCATTCAAACCGCAGCAGACTTACATTTTTTTTTTCATTTTATTTTTATGTATATTTTTCTGCTTTAACACAATAGTTTATATATATATTTAATATATAGATGTGTGTGTGAATGTGTCGCATATTTTCAAATAAAAATACGCTGGATGATGTGCGAAAAAAAAAAACAAAAAAAAAATGTATTTCATAGGACGGGAAGAGGGGGGGTAAGTAGATAAAGGGGGGGAAATCAAAGTGCAAAAGTCATGTGTTCTTATCTTATAAAATGCAATGTTTATTTAATCAAAAAAATAAAGAGTAAGCGAGAAAATATGAATTGTAGTAGATATATGGTATATATGTATGTGGTAATATGCAAATATTAAACATATTCATGTTTCTTCTTCTTAATCACACACACTCTTAAATGTAAAAATGTAGTTTGTTTTTGTTTTTTTTTGTTATACGCATATTAAGGAAGTAAGTATTACAGGTAAATTAATGGTGAAATGGCGAAAAATCAAAAAACAAAAGATATTTCAGCGATACAATGTGTTTGTGGTGTTTTTTCAACGATTGTTCTTTAAAATTACTGCTGGTATTACAATAGATTTCAAAAGTTTACATGATTTTTTTTGTTTGTTTTTTAAACGATTCAAGTTCATGCATGTCGTGTCCCTCTGTATGTGTGTGTGTGTTTGTGTGTGTATAACAGTTTCCACAGCATTCTCTAAGTACGCTGCTTTTTCGATCCAATTCGATCCATTGCGATTCGATTCGATTCGATCCTCAGCCCCATAGAACCCACAACAAATGCATTATCGTTGTTCCTTGGTTACCATCCATCCTCCTCATATCCGGTTTCCAGATTCGTTCATTCGGATCCATATATGTATCTTATCATGGCTGGATTGGATTTTGTTTGGATTGTTCTCAAAATATGATTGATTTCGTCGTTTTTTTTTTTACAGATACATATTTAAAATATACTTTTTTTTTCTTCCACTTTTCGCTTATGGGTTGGTTAGATTAAATGTTTAATGATTTTCTTTCCTTTTTTTTCTTTAATGTTTTTTTAAATTTTAATAATAATGGATATAGTTTAAACGGAGATCAGATTCCGATTAATTGTTTGTTTGTGTGTGTGGTGTGGTGTGGTGTATGTGTGTGTGTGTGACCGTCTTCTCATGAACAGGTCCTTTCTATTATCCTTAGCTTTGCGACAGACAATTCTCTGCTTTCTCTTTCACTTTTCTTGATATTTTTTTGGGGGGAGGGAGGGTGGTTTTTAATTGGTTTTGGTGTTTTTTTTTTGTTGCTTTTGGGTGTCCTTTTGAGGTGGATGTCCAGTTGGCACATCCGACCTTGATTGGTTTTTTTTTTTTTTAGTCGCGCATTGGCAGAGTGGCCGGCTTCACGTGTCCTCCATCACCCTCCGAGACGAAACGCTTGCGCCCGCTGGAAGAATAAACAAAAAAAACATATAAATAAATTACAAAATTGTTTTTTAAAAATAAAAAATTAATTGTTTTTTTTTTTTTAAAGAGAGCTTTTAGTTTCCTCCTCGTCATACGCACTTAGCAATTATATAATTATGCAATAACACGCGACTGAGGCACAAAACAAAGAAAATACAAAAAATGTTGCAAAATACTTGGCGCAAATTCGGCAACAACAACAACAACAACAAAAGCAACAAAATTTGCACAAAAGTTCATTCAACCGTTGACCCTTTTTTTTTCTCTCAGCTCTCTCTCTCTCTTGCTCTCCCGCTCTCTTGCAGCTCACTGCAACTGCAAACAGCTGTGCGAATAGCGGGTGTTTGGGGAGGGGAGGAGGCCTGGGAAAAACAGGAGGGTGGGGGGGGAGTTGTTGGAGCATTAAAACTAGTTTTTCGCAACAAGCTGCTGCTGCTGCGCCTGATGCTGGCCAATCAAAAAAATCCAAACTTGTACAAAAATAAAAAAAAACAACAGACACACAGCTGGGCCTTAATTATTGCTTCTAAAAATATAAATATGTGACCAAGTGGGGGACTAAACTCACATAAAAACACAACAAATACATAAATCTATATAAAATAACAACAAAAAAAAAAAAAAAGAGTCCAATAAACTTGCGGCACGATAAGTGTGCAGCCGCAAATACAAATAAATAAAAAATAAAAATAAAAAACAAACTGAAAAGCATAAACAACGCCAACAAGCAGAATACCAGAGCTGTCGGTTTGGATTTTATAATTTTTAGCTTAATTTTAATTAAAATGTGTGTCTCTTATGCTTTTAAAAAAGCCATAAAAAGGTGTCCCAAAATTCACCCTTCGAAGCCCACTACTTTCTCAGTTGGAATCAGGTTTATAAAGGATATATATTAAAATAATTCTGGACGAATATCCTCATTTTTCAAAAGCTTCAAATCTGAGAATCTTAAGAATTCAAGTTTTTTTTAGGAAGAGGGGGTGTCTCAGTCTCAATATACCCTCTTTCGAATCCCATCACATTCTTAGTTTTTATTCGATTTTAAAAAGATATGTTTTTAAGAATTTAAGGGAAAGAATTCTAGATAGTTTTTTATAAGAGACTCAACTTCGAAAATTTTTTACGTTTTCTTTCAAAATTTGATGATTGTACCCCTTAGAAATGGGAGGTGGTTCCAAATAATCCCCCTTTGAATTGTATAGTTTCTTAGTTTTCATTCGATTTTGAAAAGGAATGTCTTAAAATAACTGTGAAGTAATTCTAGGTAATTCTGCATTACAATCTTAGTTTTCAAAATTTTGCAGATATTTTTCAAAATTTGTTGAATAAAATGGTCCCTGTAGGATACCTTACGAAACCCATAACATTTCAAGTTTTCGTCCAATTTCCATAAATAAATAATCAGGAAGGAATTCTTGGTTTTTCTGCATTAAAATCTGGCTTTCCATTAAAATCTAATGTTACTTATTTTTGAGATTTTTTTTTCAAAATTTTTTGAAGAAACATGGGCTTTTTTAGAAAGATTTTTTTGAAGTATAGGGTACCTTCCAAACCCCAGAACCCCATAAGAGTTGTCTTAAAATATTACTAAATACATACATAGTCTCTTTAACTAAATTTAAATCCCATATTTAAAATTTACAAAAAAAAAATCCTAGATTTTCTAAAAAAAAAAACCTACAGCCTGAAAAGACCAAGTTGGCATCACTGCCCCCCATCAACCGTTATGTGCGAGTGAAGTCTTTTGGCATTGAGTTCAGCTTTTTTTTTTTTTTTGCTTTTTTTTGTGCCTTGGCTCTTTGCAAGCTCTTCGCTCCGAAGCGCGAATGCAGTTGCGTTGGCGTTGACTTCAGCGTCGGCGTCGGCGTTTAGTATAGTTATACTAGTGCTAGTGTTGGTTGCAAAGTGAATGGTGTTGCTGTTGTTGCTTTTCTAGTTGTTCTTGTTTTTGTTTCAGAGCTAAAGTGGCAAAGAGCAATAGCCGCAGCCAAGGCGAATGCAAATGCAGTTATAGCAGCGGCAGCAGCAGCAACAGCAACTACTAAAGTGGGAGTGGCAGGCAGGCAGGTCGATAACAGCGGCTTGGCGGCCATGTTTACCTTCGCACAGGCACAGGCAACCCAAACACACCAAAGCGATCTTGAGCCAAATGCAGGTTGTTGCACTTATCGATATATCGATAAATTATCTAAACAAAAAATTAACCTCGAAACGAAGGGGGTCGACGAACATGTCTGGACTTGAATATTCAACGAAAAATGCATAGCATACTTATTAGAACAAGTCTGGACTTGTACGAAAGGGTATAACAACAAAGAAACAGAAAGTGTGACAGTATAGAGAGGAGGGAGAGTGGAGACGGGGAGGGGGAGAGCACTCCAAGAACACTCGGTATAAATATAACTAGCCGGCACCTGATAAACCGGCACAACAAAACCAATAAGCATAAAGCAAGAAATGGCAAATGGGGGGGAACAAAAAAAAAAAAACAAAAAGAAAAAGAAGAAGAAGAAGAAAAAAAACAAGCAGCGACTGCCCCAACGGATGACGCGTCGTACGTCAAGTTAATTCCAAAGCAAAACTAAACTGCGCAATAGAAATTTCATAAACAAACAGACAAACAGGCAGGCGGCTGGCAGGCAAGCACAAACACGACGACAGCCACATAGCCAGAGCCAGCCCCCCCCCATAGCCCCCCAACACCCCATATCCTATACCGCCTATTATTACGTGTATATATAAGAAACTGAGCCAAAAGCGCAAAACAAGAAAAAAACAACCGCAAAAAATGAAAGAATAATAAACATTTCAAAGCCGGCAAAAACCAAAAAAAAAAATCAAAGACAGTGGTGGCCGAAAAATGAGGCCTATCTTTAAAACAGAAGAACTGATAACTAATACAATGTATGGATTACAATAACAACTATCTTTACTTTCTATACTCTCTCTCCCCAATTCACCTACATATATTTTCTACTCCACTTTTCTTATCAAAGAAACGGAATTCTTATCACATGAGATCGATAGGCCCTCGATTTGTATAGCAGGGTATACGATTGTATAAACAACATTGTTGTGGGCGCTGTACTGCAGTTTGGGGGCGTGTCGTCTTTACGGCCTCTAAGATTACGTAAACACGACGACCGGCACCCGGCTTTCGCAAACAAGAGATAGAGAGAGAGAGAGCAAGTGAGATACTATGGTTTTATCAATAAATAAACCCAACATGGAGTGTTCCAATCATAGCATAAGATATATAGATATAGATATTATTGTATCTTTAAACACTCACCGCGATGGCATATTGTTGATGATCTTGTCAGTAAGGAATCCAGCGCGATTGCAACGCTCCACGAAACGGTCAAGTATGATATACGCCAGTGGTACATCCAAGACAATATCAGCCATGTCATCAAAGACGCGCATGAAGCCCTAGAGGAGGTGAAGTTATAAGTTTTTATATCCATCAGTGGATGCCAATCACTTACCTGCTCCATGCCGGCGGGCAGCACCAGGCAGGTGAGATCCAGCTGCTTGAGCAGCTCACACATGGCCTCCTCGGTGGTCTGGCTAAGGGACTCCAGTGTCATGACAATGGCCTCGTAGACGAGCTCGTGATGGTAGTGGGGCACCTCGAGGGCGCGGAGGCAACGCTGCGCCTCGGCCACATCACGGGACGATTGGTACTCCTTCAGCAGCAGCTCCATCTGCTTGGTAATGGTCTTGACGGGACGCAACGGTCCGCCCATGCCCCAAACGTTGTCGAGGTGGGCCCAGCCCTGCTTGTGGAGCAGCGAATCGGCGCGACGGAGCGCCTGCTCGGCATGCTCACCGAGCTCCAATAGCTCCAGATCAGCCGTCGACTTGGCCACAAACTTCGGGGGAATGCAATCGTCGGCCACGGCGCGGGCCATAAAGTTGCCCAGAATGATGGGCGCCTCTGGGGTGTCCAGGATGAGATCCGGTAAATTTGATAGTAGAATATTAAAGCCCTTCTCGATGTCCTTGCCGGTGATGACGCGTCCATACAGATCCGAGATCAGAACGGAGGTCATCTCGCGCTGCGAGTCCTTGTGATCCATGGAAATCTCGACCAGGATGCTGGTGATGTGCTCGCGCAACGGTCCCTGCAATATCTCATCGAAACTAACGGCCACCTCGTGTGTGTCCCCGTGCTCAAAGTACTCCAGAACGATCGGTTCCGCCAGCTTGAAGAACTCCGCGGGAGTTATCTCTGTGATCACTTCGCGCAACTCCACATTCCGATCGTTGCACTCGCTGTCATAGTTGGGATCGTTCTCGTCCTCGTAGACCTCGGCCAGAACCTCGGAACCGGGCAATCCCCAAACGCCTTTGCCGCCGGCGCCGCCCTTCTTGGGTAGACCGCGTCCACGGTTCAGGTTTCTCGAACGGCGGCTGTTCTTCCAGCGGCGATGGGGCACCACATAGCCCCCAGGAGTGGCCAGTATGCCATTACCGACCAGAGTGGAACTGGCAGCGGCCCCGTTCCCATTGGTCTGGCTGGGAGATCCACCTAGATAAAGAAAAGAGAAAGATATGCCCACCATATGGAATCACTGAACCAAAACACTGGATATAAGGATGTTCTTAAAATAGCAACGGAATTTCTACGGAAAGTGCCATTTGTGGAATATATCGTATTTATAGCCTCTACATACCTCCACCACTGCCGCTGTTCTGTCTTTGGATGAGCCGCTTGGCCTTGCGCTTGATCCTGCCATCCTCGACTGGCAGCGGCTTTTTGATGTGCCCGTTGGCGTGACTTCCACTTCCGTTTAGCTCCACCGCCTGGATCTCGCCGTTGAGCTCGCGTTCCACGGAACTCTCCTTGGAATCGGATCCCTCCGGCGAGGCAGAGTGCCGCCCGTTGGTGGCGCGTTTGTTATTCGATTCTACTTCCATAGTTGCTGACTGTGCGATTTTAAATATCTCTCGTCTCTGGTTCCTTCCGTCAGAAATGCACAGCAAGGGATTTTTGTTGATGGGGTCTGTGTTAGTTTCGGGATTTGTACTGGTGCTACCAGGTGCGTCTTCGTGTAAAGTGTGTTCTATAAATAGAATGGAAGTGGGAAAAGATACTTTACTTAGAGAGCCTCTACTTCTCTTGGAGAAATCTACTTAAGATCTATCGAATTTCTATCGATTCTTTCGATAAATCTAATGTGTATGTTAAATATTTATAACGAGATCAGTTCCAAAGTTTTCGGCTGAAGATGGCATGTATTAGCGTCTTCTATCGATACTATCGTCTAATCCCTTATTCTACATGCCTGACCTAGAGCCGGCACTTTTAAGCATAAGATTTTAAGATCGATATTTATTTGAAATCTCTATCGATACTATCGTCTAATCCCTTGTTCTACATTAGAGGTCTGCATGAATAGCTAAAAAACGACATTCAAATGCACAACGTTGAAAATGAATTGAGTGAGATAGAATGCTGAGACGAAAATTAATGAATGAGTGAGTGCGACTGTGTAGGTCTCACTCGCACAACATTTGGGGGATGAAAACCGAATTGAATGAGTTAGAGTTACAGTTCGCATTCGAATTGTTTCGAATGCATTCTAGAATGTACGATACAACTATGCATATTTGCCTGTTTTTTTAGACGCTGATAATAAAATAATTCAAAAGTGGAAGTAAGTCATTGTTTTGTTTTCAAAAATATTCATTATTAAGCTGTATATTTTATGTTACATATTTTACTTATATAAATGTAAAAATATTTTCAATATTTGTTAATAAATAACTTTCCAGCACAATTTTTCCGCTAAAAAAATGTTGTAAAATAATTTAATTTGGAAAAACTTAAGAAAACTAAACAAAAAACACTAAGAAAATAATAATAACAGTTATAACCATAAGTAAAAAACACTTTCATCATAATTCACCTTTCGGTCATTATTAAAGAAGTATTAAAGAAGCGTTTTGCGCAACAGAAGAAAATAAATGAATGCATAGAGTGTGTTAAAAACCATTCGAGACATTCGGCTGCATTCCCTCATTCCAAAAGCACTCTTTTACTACCCACCCCAACTCACTCTGTTTCAAAGCTAAAGAATGCCCATGAGTTACAATGCTCTCTCACTCTCTCACTCCCTCTCACTCAATTCGTTGTGTCTCTTGCACTCATTCATTCTATTCCATTCGAATGTATTCTATGGCTGAGGCAATAAGAATGTATTCTTGCAGACCTCTATTCTACATGCCTGACCTAGAGCCGGCACTTTTAAGCTTAAGATATTAAGATCGATATTTATTTGAAATCTCTATCGATACTACCGATTAATCCCATATCCTACATGCCTGACCTATATCTAGAGCAGGTACTTTTAAGCATAAGATATTAAGATCGATATTTATTTGAAATCTCTATCGATACTACCGATTAATCCCATATTCTACATGCCTGACCTATATCTAGAGCAGGTACTTTTAAGCTCTTACGCCTTAACCCCCCACCCCTCCCTCATAATTCCTTCCATTCAGATTCTTCTGTCAGACATAGTGGGCTGTAATTTGCATACCAAGTCAAACAACTTAATAATAAATTGAAATTACTTGGCTTTTACGGTTTGAAACTTAAAGCCCGACCCATTGCACATAACGGTATTGCGTCTTGCCAAAATGCCAGTCAATGGCGAGTGAGACAGAGACTGAGACAGCAACAGCGACAAATGTCCAAAACTCCCCTTGTCAAATTGAAGGTCACACAACAACAATAACAATAATAACAACAAGAGTGTTAGAGCAGAGAGCCCGACATAATTTGTGTTACCGTTAGAGCATAGCATTTACAACCCCCACAAAGAATTCGCTGCATCTCTGTCACTCCAACTTTGAGCATACATATATGTATCGTACATATGTGTTAGTGAGTTTAGCATATACTTACAGTTATGTATTAGCCAGCTGCTTTTTGTTGTTGTTTTGTCTTTGTTATGATTTTTGCTTCAGGAAGCTTCAGGATCAGTATATGCACTGTAAAATCCCTATAATTTGTTGTTTTTCATTTTTTTTTGGGAAATCTTTCCTTCTAACAGTAATTCTTGATAGAAACTTTAATAAAATTTTAATGAAAAAACTAAAGTCAAAAATCTCGCTTATAAAATACACAATATTGGGAGTTTTGGGATCCTTGGTAGTCAGGACGACTTGACAAAACTATGTCCTACTTTGTACATATATCTATTGGCTTACTTGATCTTGATCTGAAAAAGGGTATTTGAACTTTGGCATTTAAAGGAGTTGGCTTTCCTCTCGTTCTGTGTTTGTTGGCTATATTGCGTCGCTGTTGCTTTCGCTGTCTTTCGTGTTCTTATGTATTTACCTCCTGCTTTGTACATATGTATGCTGTAACCGGTTTTATGTTTGTTTTGCCCGGGTTAACCTTGAAAATTTAGTGCGCCTTACGAATTTCTATGTTTTTATTGCCGTCTCCTTCCTTTCTCTTCTTCGGCGTCTCTTGCTTTCGCACTTGTTGTGCCCCTTTTTTTTTTTTTTTTTTTATGTGTGATGATAATAACAAGAAAAACAAAACAAATATTTTGGGCAGCTCCCCCTGCTCTCTTTTGGGGCTCTCTCTCTCTCTCTCTGTGTGTCTGAAATTACTTCACCCTGGAAATTAAAAAACAAGGAGAGAGAGAGAGAGGCGAAAAGGAGAAGATAAAAGGGGGGAAAAGCATAAAAGTGACGCTGCCGAAATTGCGTCGCAAAATTTCGCCAAAAGGCCAATAAGAAAAAAAAACAAACCGAATCAGTCGCAACATAGTATATGATTTTTGGGACAGTCGCAGACGCAATATTAGTCACGTATCAAGAAAAGATATTTTGTTGACAATTTCCACAGTTCCAGCAACTATTGCATTCCAGCCGATCGGCCGAGTTATTGGCCCTAGATTCTGGTAAACAAGTAAAGTAATACCCGAGGAATGCCAATAGGAAACTCTAACTCGACGAGGTTGTCATTAAACTGTTGATTTAATGTTTAATTTCGTAGGAAAGTATCTTAGCTTCCAAGAGAAAAACACTTCTGTTTGAAAGAAAAACAAGATCAAATGCCGACGAGGGCTCAGCAATATGCAAATAAACACGAGGCGACCGAAAGACAAGACTAAGAAAAAAAAACATACGAGTTGCGCGCATGTTTGTGCAGGCTGCGAAATCCCCCCCAAGCGACAGGCCCTCCGCTTTCCCCCTTTGCGCCCACTGACGACTATGCAGCTGTTTTTCGGCTACTATTTCGGTGTTTTTGGGTGCGTGCGTGCGTGCCGGTAGCATTTATCACGTACACCAAACAAATCTGTCGGATGGAAAAATGGAAATTTCTCGAAGTTTTTCCAATTAGACACCGAATCCGATCATGTTTTTCCAAACAGAAAGCATCGAAGAGAACCCTAAATAAAGAGTAGTGCATTCTTTTTCGACCTCGACTGTATCTATGTTTTGTGTTTTTTTTGGCCCCCCTTTTAGATTCGCATTCGCCGGCAGTATTTTGTATTTACTTTTGATAGCCCCTTCGTCGACTATGGTTGTTATTCCTTTTCACTTACCTCAGTGTTTTTGTTGTTTGTGCTATTTGCTGCTGCTGCTGCTGCTGCTCTGTCTCTCTATCCTTTTCGCTCCTCCGAATGCTGCTGCAACAATAACAACAACGTTGGCCCACTGCAGCCGACGTCGACGCTAGCTGCGCTGCCTTAATTCTTTGGAGCCCTGTTTTTTTTTTTTTTTGTACTTGTTGGGGTTTCTTCTCGTCTTTCAGAGTTGAGAGTGTGCAGTGTGCGAAAAATGCACTAAATCTTGGCTCACAGAAAAAAATTTGTTACTAGATTGCGCCTTTGCCGTTTCCTTCTTTCCTTTTTTTTGGCGTCTCTCCTTTTTCACACACACACCCACAACTTGAGAGTGGTGTCTTATTTGCCTTATTCGACTGTTCAACTTGTTAATTTATTTAAATTTATTTACTGATTGAGGACTTTCTTCCTTGCAACTTTTTTTTTGTTTGAATTATGTAGTGTTCCGAACCGCTAAACTTAACGCCACCTGAGTTCCGTTTAGTTTGAATGTAATACGTGCCCAAAATAGATGAAGTTATCGCAACCTTCTTTCCGCAAAAGTATCGCTTATCGATTGCATTTGGAAACATTTTTTGGTATTTTCTGCCTGGTCACACTTTTCAACACTTGAGCTTATTGTAAATATCGATATATTCAAATATGTTTATATATATTTTCTGTTATTATCTTGAAATGTATTATATTTACTATATTTTAGGATAAATTATTTCATTATTAATTTCAAATAGACAGACGTACCTGATTAATATTGCCTAAAGGAGTTGCGTCGAAGCTTTTAAGGGAAATCATGATCCCGCCATTAAGACGATGGTACAAAATTACGTTTTCAATTTTATATTGAAGTCAAATGAGCTTATTTCTAAACTAAATATAATAAGTTTGTGTTTCTTAACGAGTATATAAGTTGTATGTACTAGTTTGTGTGCAATGATTAAACAAAAAGATTAGTTTCTAGGTCATTATGTATTTAGGAATAAATGACAAAATTCAAAGAAATGTGGCGCCTCTTGGACTTCATGTTTTGCAGCATGGCAACTAGCAAACGTTGGCTTTTTTCTATACCTAGAGAAATAAACGGTAAATAGTGGTATCTGAAGAACCAGCGAAGAACAGAAAGAGATACCCTTTTCGCATATCTTACTTTTAAAATTTGGAGTGCTCCTGAAAGCGACGGCGTTCACGTTCGCGAAACTCACGACGAGCTGATGGCGGAGCTCCTTGCGGATTCCGAATCACAAAGTTGGACTCGCAATAAGCCTGCGGATTATAGGACTCCACCGGCGGCTCGGCATCCCAATCCTCAGTAGACTCGATATTGAATTCCATGGCTCGAGGCTCCGCTGGCGGTAATTTATCCGGATGTATATACCGCTCCAGATGAGCTCGATTGGGGCATACACCGATATGAGTCTGAAATTTAATAAAAAAAAAAAAAAAAAAAGTTGCATTTTACCAGGAAAATACCAGGTATTCTTGGAAAATGAGGGGCGCCGAATTTCGCGACAATATTTACATACCTGGATATCTGTAACGGAATAAATATGGGTATTATTAAAGGGACAATGCACCATTTTGGAGCCCGGATGATTGCGGGCACATCGGGTTAAATGCCAAGCCAGGCGTGTTGGTAGCAAGCGATGGGCGCTATCGTACGGACAAGCTATGTATGTTTCGGTACTCGGTGGAGCAACTTTAAGCTTATTTTTGGACATCATATTTGGAAATACTTATTTTCTTTTCAGTTCACTTTCAACAAAAAAAAAACAATACTATTCAAAGCGGTCCGTATCTGTCCCAGTTATTGCATTGAGTGGAAAGTCAACGATTGAGCGGCTTATGTTGAAATGAAGGAAGGGTTGCCAGATCGCGAAACTAAAGTTTGAGAACCGCTAAGTACAATGGGTGTCAAGCCAATAGTTTTAATCAATAATAATAATAATAATAATAATATAATAATAATTTAATAATCTTTATTGAAATAAAGTATACCTTTAACCTAAAGAGTAAGAAAAGTTTAAACATATATTTTAAACTTGTAATGATATTTGAAAGTCTGGCAGCACTACCCTATCGATAGTACACCGATAACTTTCTGTTTACATCTTTAAAAAAAACGCACGTGCACTTTAAATTGTATAGGATTTAGCTAAATTTTTGGACTTTTTGAAGCATATACTAAGCTGACAATGCCGCCCGTTGCCCAGGAGGGCAATTGCCTGATTTACCGCGGCAGCAACTTCCTGAAACAACGCCTGATACTCTCCTGCCTGTCCGGGAAACCCGTGAAGATTACCCAAATACGCTCCGAGGATGAATCCGCGCCCGGGTTAAGGGAATATGAAATCAGCTTGATCAGGCTACTGGACAAGATCACCAACGGCACAAAAATCGAGCTTAATCCGGCGGGCACCAGTGTCATGTTTTCACCGGGACTGCTCCACGGCGGACCCATTCATCACGATTGCTGCGTGCAGCGCGGCATCGGTTACTACTTGGATGCACTGATAGCATTGGGCCCGTTCTGCAAGAATCCACTTCACTGCAACCTTCGCGGAGTGACCAACAGCAAGGACTCGCCCTCGGTGGACCACATCAAAGGTGCTGCCTTGACGCTGCTCAAAAGGTTTCTACTGGTGGACGAGGGCCTGGAACTGAAAGTCATCCGCAGGGGCGTCGCTCCCCTTGGTGGCGGTGAGATTGTGTTCCGGTGTCCAGTCCGGAAGAGCCTTCGGGCCATCCAGTTCCAATCCCAGGGCATGGTGAAGCGTATTCGTGGTACTGTTTACGCCTGCAAGGTTTCCCCGGCAATGGCCAATCGCACTGTGGAAGCCGCCAAGGGCTGCATGCTCAAGTTCCTGCCTGATGTCTACATTTATACCGATCAAAACAAAGGCAAGATGTCGGGAAACTCACCTGGCTTCGGTATCTGTTTGATTGCCGAGACAACAGACGGTGTGTGCTTCGCCGCCGATTGTAGTTCCAATACTAGAGAGGAATCGGTAAGGAATTTTGGAAATATCTATTTCCGGTTCACTATATCTGTATTTGGTTTTTAAAGGACACTCCGTCCATACCCGAGGACCTGGGCCAGGAGGTGGCCATGCGATTGCTGGACGAAATTTATCGCGGCGGCTGTGTGGACTCTAGCTATCAATGGCTGGCAGCTCTCTATATGGCTCTAGGACAGAAACATGTCTCGAAATTTCTAACAGGTATATCTGATGGTATAGCATTGATGGAATGATCTATATACATTATAATTCTCTACGACAGGTGCTTTGTCTACATACACTGTTCACTTTCTGCAACACCTGCGCGATTTCTTCTCCATTACATTCAAGCTGGAGAATCCCGATGCGGAGGACGACGACGACGAGGGAGAGGATGTTCGCGGTGCCCAAAAAGTTCTGATGGCATGTGTGGGGATCGGATATACGAACATCAACAAGCGTGTTAATTAAATAGCTCTTTAGGTATAAAGTTTTATTAATAAATATATTTTTTTTTGGAGAGTGCGAAGTTTTTATTCAATATTTAAATAAGTATGTCAGTCGAGAATATATATACATATAGCCAATATTTATTATGATTTTTTTATGTAATAATTTTTGCAATTTCCGTAATACGTGTATTTCTGCTGATAAATGCAAAAGAAGCTTCTAGTTTATCCAACTTGATGATGAATGGTTTCAATACCTTAGATAGTTTCTATATTTTATTATAATCGGTAGAGATTAACCTTAGGATCTGCAAGTTTGTTGAAAAATCAGATTGGAAACTAATCTTAATATATATTGAACCCAAAACTATATATAATATTTTGTGGCTGTAAACGTGTTAAAGGTTCAGACACCTTTTCTTTGATAAGAAATCGCATTTCCATTGGGTTTGCAGTTTTTCGAGAGAGATCAGCAGAAAATGTAAAGCTAGACGGGAACGATGACGGCGACTTCCTGCGGTCAGCGGAAAATAATTCGCACCATTTAACCAGACATGTGTAGGTTATAGGTATATGTAGATCCGGAGGTATATAAGCCACCAGTTGGACCGGGAGAAGGTATCAAACGTCGTTCAACGTTTGGCCTGATCGATCCAAGTCCGAATTCGATTCCCGCAATGAGCCTGCGTCTGTGCCTTTTGGCCTGCCTCCTGGTGGCGGCGGCCCAAGCCTCCAAGGATTCCTCCTCTACCCAGCTGAAGCCCACCAAGTGGCTGTCCGCCTCCGACCTGGAAAATGTGCCGTCCCTTAACGACATCACCTGGGAGTATCTGGAGAACGAGCCCCTCGAGAAGGGTGCCAAGCTGATTGAGAAAATCTGTAAGTCTTCCCATTCTTCTAAATGAATCTATTGATTATACCAAGTACTATTCGTTATTCATCAGACCATGTTGGCCAAATCAAGCACGATCTGACCCCCAGCTTTGTGCCCAGCCCCAGCAACGTGCCCGTCTGGATCATCAAGTCCAACGGTGACCGTGTGGAGGCTAAGCTGAACAACTATGTGGAGGTTGCCAAGGGCCAGAACGGATTCGCCGAGGATGAGGTGACCATTGTCGTTACCGGTCTGCCCCAGAACAGCCCTGCCGCCAAGAAGGCCATGCGCAAGCTTGTCCAGGCTTACGTCCAGCGTTACAACCTCCAGCAGCAGCAGAAGTACGCCCAGGAGCAGCAGCAGCAGCTCAAGAGCAAGGACTACGACTACACCAGCAGCGAGGAGCAGGCTGACCAGTGGAAATCGGCCAAGACCGCCAGCGGCGATTTGATCGTGAGTATCTAGATTCTTTGATACTTTCTCCAGTCATCTTCAAGGATTATCATATTCTCCTTTCTAGATCATTGACCTCGGCTCGACCCTGACTAACTTCAAGCGCTACGCGATGCTGGATGTGACCAACACCGGTGCCATGATTGCCCAGACTCTGATCGAACTGACCAACAAGGGAGTGCCCCAGGAGATCATCCATGTGATCGGACAGGGTATCGCCGCCCATGTGGCCGGAGCTGCCGGTAACGAGTTCACTGCCCAAACCGGACACAAGCTGCGCCGCATCACCGGCCTGGACCCCGCCAAGCTGCTCGCCAAGCGCCCCCAGACTCTGGTCGGACTCTCTCGCGGCGATGCCGACTTCGTTGATGTCATCCACACCTCGGCCTTCGCCATGGGCACTCCCATCCGTTGCGGCGATGTTGACTTCTATCCCAATGGACCCTCTGTGGCTGTTCCCGGCTCTGAGAACGTGATCGAGGCTGTTGCCCGTGCCACCCGCTACTTCGCCGAGTCTGTCCGTCCCGGCAGCGAGCGCAACTTCCCCGCCGTCCCCGCCAACTCTCTGCAGCAGTACAAGCAGCAGGACGGTTTCGGTAAGCGCGCCTTCATGGGTCTCCAGACCGATTTCGATCTCCGCGGCGACTACATCCTGGAGGTCAACGCCAAGAGCCCCTTCGGCCAGCGTACCCCCGCCCAGAAGCAGTCCACCTACCACGGTGTCCACCGCAACCAGAACTAGGATGCGTAAGTCCTTACCATCACCGTAGCCGCCACACAAGGATAACCCGGTAATATGTAGAATCTAGTGAGAAGTTCCATTGAACATCAACAAACCAACACCACAACAAACAAAAAAAAAAAACTTAAAAAAATCACAAAAATAAAACATGCAAATTTTCTTAAAAATATAAATATCTTCAAGTCTTTTATTCAGAACACAAAGGTCTTCCAAATAATAAAAGTATCTGAAAAATACATTTATTTTTTTTGGTATAAGATGTTTTCCAGATGCCCCCAAAGAACTCTTCTTTCCAAACAAACAAATAAATTGGAATAATACCGTTAAAACAGCTCATAAAACAGGTCATAATGTGGGAGGAGTTTAAAAATAAAACCAAAATATAGGCCATGTAGGCCAAAAAAAGAGAATCAGCGAAAAATATTCATTTAATTTCTTAAATAAGCGCAAATATAGCGTTTTTCTATGTGTTTTGAATACATTACTCATACGACCCGTATTCCAAAATGCATAGAATCCTCTCTAAAATCCTCTTGTTCCGCCATTTTGAAAATGGTCGAAAGCCTAGCATATGGTCCTTAAATGTCATCCACTTAGGACCAGTTCTGAAAGCATATTGAATCAATAAATGTAGAAGAAAAAAATGCAATTTCCTAAATGCATTTAGATAGCATGCTCGAGCATGCCGAGCGGAGAGAGTGGGAGCGACCGGGATGGATGGATGATGACAGGAAGGCAACTAGTGTCACATGCAGGCACCGTTACTCGAGGCATGTACAATGTATTTGCACTCAATTAATGAGCGCATCGTTCAAAAATTACATTTCATTTACCGCAAGCGCTTACGCTTCAAACATTTTTGCTCGCAAACTCAATTGTTCTATTTGGTGCACATGCGCCCTTGTAAATGTCAAAGTTGAACTTTATCACATGCATAGCATAGGACGGAGAATAGAAAAGGGAAACCGTAACAAAAGCGACAACAGTTGGGCGAACAAGCTGGAGAAGGAGGAGTAGGAAGACGGACAATAACAACAGTTGGCGCCTTTGTTTGTTTATTGTTGTTGTTGTTGTTTTTTTTTATCGTTCGTCTTCAGTTTGCTGATGGCAGAGAGCCATGCATGTCATGACATGTTTGCCTTCATTCCGACGGCGGACGGGCAAAGAACGCCGTTCTAGCCAGAGCTTATCGCCGCACACCTCCGATGCCCTTTACGTCAGTGCAGCTGCTACCGTTACTCTGTGGGCCAGCTCTCCATTTCACTCACTCGGCCCCAAAACTGCTATGTGGCTCTTTCGCTCTGAAGCGTCCGGACAAGGACGCCGGGACGTTGGCATTTTGTGGGGCCCACCGAGTTTCTTGCAGGAATTACAGTTATATTATTCATTGGCCGATATGCATAAATCCAATTTACAAAGCCCCAACGGCAAGTGCGACACCACAAAAGAGTGACAGAGAGAGAGAGAGAGAGTGGGGAGCGAGCGAGCGGAAGAGAACTTTCTCTTGGCGCCTTCTCGCGCGCTTTTGTTGCGCACAACCACTAACCATACAGCATATAGACAACCCATTTCATACAACGAAAATGGACGCGAAAATTTCTTGCGACAGGCCCCAGCAGGCCCCAGAGCGGATTTCTTACGCTCTCTTACGCTCATCGTTCGTTCATCTTACGCTCATTCTCTCATTAAATTTTTTCTGTTTCTCAGTCTCTAAACGGAGCGCGATGAAGAAGGTTGGCCTGCGCTTCGATCAACCGAATGTATGTATGCGTGTCACACATTCACTTACATGGGTGTATGTGTGCGTGCGATTTCGTTTCGAAGCCAGCGCACAAAATTTTGATTTTTCTTACTTTTCAGGCTTGCTACCCTAACCAAATTCGGGTATTCGTTATTTGATGAAATGACGAAAGAAATTATATTATTTTTTATATTATATTTTTATTATTTCAGCATACATTTTTAATTTATTTAGGAATAAGATTAAGTGTTAGTAGTAAAATGTTTTCTGTATATATATTTTTACGAATCATTAAAAATCAATATACTGAGAAAGTGTCAGAGTATATTTCAGTCGGAGTCACTTAAAACGCCGATTGCTTTTAAGTTTTTGTTGTTCTGCAAGAGGCTTGTGCATGCCTACTCTAACGATGGAATGATTTTTAGGGGAGGGTGAAGACACGAAAACAGCTGATGGACTTGTTTACCTTTTTTGTTTACAATTTTTCAGGCACTTGTTATTATTTTGGGTTATTGTGAGATTTTATTAAATTATTGTCGTTAATTTAATAATTTCCCTATATATTTTGGAACTTTAAAAAGTCGCCGCTCGAATTTATAAATATTATAAATATATATATATATTTACATTGGTTTTATGCTTATGGATTCTTATATGGTTTTATGATCTATAGTGCATATCTTATTGTATGATCTGCTGTGTAATTTAAAATATATACATGAATATAAAAATGTCACTACCGTATTTACACACCGTCATTTCCCTGTGGCATGCCTTTGGAGTTCTTGGCAATGAAAGTGTTAACTTGCGCGCCAAAACTATTTTTTTCTGGTTTGTTTTGATTCTTGTAATTTTTGGTTGCCACTTGGCTTACCCACCAACCTAATTTACCCGCCTAAAATATTGCCATTTGATGAAAAAGAGGAAAATGGTTTAATCGGCATTCTATTTTTGTTCTGTGAGGAGCGTTTTTCGTGAGGACCAAATTAAGTGCTGATTTTTGTGAACAAAGTGATTAGTATCGGTGTGTTAACGTATTTTTCGGAAATATTTTTACTAAACGTAAACTTTCCGAGCGTCCGTGGCTACATCATCATCAATTGCAAGTATAAATCTAGTTATTTAAACCTTAAATAATTTATTTAAATATTCGGTTTAAATATTTTTGAAATGAATCGGCCTAATGTTAGGAAAAATGGACGCAAGTGCATTATTGCATCCTGCCAGGGGAGTTACAGGGATTCATCACACTCCATTCCAATTAGATTGTTTTCTTTTCCATCGGATGATAGGAATCTTAAGAAATGGGTTGAATTGTGCCAATTGGATGACACTTTTAACAGACGAACTGCGCGAATTTGTAACAGACATTTTGAAAGTAAATATATTGGGAAAAGTAGGCTTAGAAGCAATGCCGTACCCACTTTAAATTTATGTGACAATTCACTATTGCGTCCGAACAGTACTGTTCCATGTGAACAATTTGAATTTTGTGATGATGGGGCGGAAGAACCAATTGGCACTTATATTAACCCAATAGGAAGAAAAGAGTTTTTGAATAGGGTAGGTAGCCCTTCCAATTTAGAAACTCCCAATTTAGAAAGTTCACCTCAGTTAGAAGATTTTTGTTCAAATTGCCAGAAGAGGGAAGAAAATGAGAGATTTTACAGAAAAAAGAATTATGAGATGTCTCTTGAACTAAAAAAATACAAAGAAAAAATGCAAAAAATGAGAAAAATTCTAGTAGACGCAAGGGTATGAGAAATAGTAGAAAAAGCACCCTAAATTTATTTAATATTATAAATAAATTACCTCATGTTTCTGATGAGGCCAAAACATTATGCAAAATGCTGCTAAAAAAATCGAACTCATATAACAGCGCAGAAAAAGTGAAAGCCCAGAATATAAATTTTTATTCTTCGCGAACGTATGAGTACATGAGGGATGTTTTAAAGTTAAAACTTCCTGCCAAAAGTACGTTGTGTCGATGGGCTCTTTTTAAAAATATGACGCCAGGATTTCAACCTGATTTTCTAGAAAACCTCCAGAAAATTGTTGGTGAAATGAGCGAGAAAGGTAAAGAAGCAGTGATCCTTTGTGATGAAATAAAAATCAAAAAAGGACTGCAATATAATACCGCTCTCGATGAAATTCAGGGATTTGAAAATGATGGTGAAAAAAGAACTCGATTTTTAGGGCAGCAAGTATGCGTCTTCATGGCTAGAGGCTTATTTGAAAATTGGAAGTACGTTTTAAGCTATACTGTTTCGGCTAACGGTATTAAGCATGATTGCCTCATGAAAAAAGTTGAAGCGAACATAGAAGTTTCGCAAACGTTGGGGTTAAACGTACATACGTGCCATAATATGCGATCAAGGCTCAAATAATAGAGCTGCATTTAAGAAATGGGGCGTTAGCATAAACAAGCCGAGTTTCAATGTTAACGGTAAAGAAATATTTACAATATTCGATGCCCCACATCTTATAAAATCATTGAGAAACCTTTTAATAAAAAATAATTTAAACACGCCGGATGGAGATGTATCTTGGGATATAATAAGGAAGTTATACCAAATTGAGTCTAGAAACTCAACGAGGCTTTGTCCCAAAGTAACGGCGAAGCATATAAATCCAAACTCATTTGAAAAAATGAAAGTTAAATATGCAACACAAATATTTAGCCACACTGTTTCGGCCGCAATCCGAACAGTGATTGATTCTGGCGGATTTGTGGAATGCCGAAATAGCGCAGAAGCTACGGCAAATTTTATTGAAAAGGTTAATAAGCTCTTTGATTGCCTCAATAGCCATGTTTTGTATGAAAAAAATCCGTACAGGTGTGCACTGCAAAATAATAATAACGTTCACAATTACCTCTTAGAAATGAGGAATTATTTTGCAGAATTTAAATATCCACAAGTAGTACACTGCATTGACGGCATGATGTTAACAATTTCATCAGTACTTGCACTATCTGAAAGTGTGTGGAGCTCCGAAATCTTTTATTTATCAACCGCGAAATTGAATCAAGACCCCTTAGAAAACTTGTTTTATTTAATAAGGGCTCGCGGAGTAACAAATAACAATCCATCGATGTCAGAATTTAATACAATAATGTCAAAAATGCTATCAATGAAAATATTAACTTCGAAATCATTATCTGGTAATTGCGGCCCAGATGAAGATACAATGTTAATTAACGTTATCCAGGACTGCAGCTTGAATAAAACTTGCAAAGAGTTAAAAACCGGCGAAGACAATACCGATTTCGAGATGTTCTCAGATGACGAGACGGAAATTGAGCAAGTTTTGGATATTGCAACTGGTGACGAGTTTGATAGCAATGCCTTGCGATATTTTGCAGGCTATATATTGTTTAAAATTCTGGAAAAAAAAGATTGCGGAGTGTGTGCTGATCTATTAAAGAAAAAAATAGAAGCACAAACCTGTACGGAAAATTTTATACTGAATAAAAATTATGACTGCGCTGATAAAACTTTAAAACTTAAAGCTCCTTCTGACTACTATTTTTCTTTGATTGAAATACATTATTCTGTTTTTAAGAAAATATTTGAAAAAAAGCCACAGATGAACAGAATAAAGAAAACAATTATTCAATCTTGCATATCCTCCACTGAAAAATCCAGCATATATTCTAATTGGTTTTCGGTTAGCCATCCCTGTTATGAACACAGGATGAAAATGCTGGACGGATTTGTTTTAATATTATTGAGGAAAAACAGCAAATGGCTAACAGAAAAAATGTATTTCAAAGGAAAAGCTGCATCAGCAGCAGGTTCAAAGAAACTAAAAATACTCAAAGAATAATTTTTGGTTTTGTATATGTCTCATTTTATTATTAGTTTAGGAGTAGGTTATGTTAGGTGGGGAACAAGGAGATAGCCAATTAGTTTTGGTATCTAAAGTCGACTCGAAAGTCTTCATTGAAGACTCCATCGCAATCGCAATGGCCTCCTCGTGGTGTTCCCTGGATACCGACATAAATACATATATATATATATATACATATATAAGTACGTATATATATATATATGTATATATATCTGTAACAAATTCGAGCGGCGACTTTTTAAAGTTCCAAAATATATAGGGAAATTATTAAATTAACGACAATAATTTAATAAAATCTCACAATAACCCAAAATAATAACAAGTGCCTGAAAAATTGTAAACAAAAAAGGTAAACAAGTCCATCAGCTGTTTTCGTGTCTTCACCCTCCCCTAAAAATCATTCCATCGTTAGAGTAGGCATGCACAAGCCTCTTGCAGAACAACAAAAACTTAAAAGCAATCGGCGTTTTAAGTGACTCCGACTGAAATATACTCTGACACTTTCTCAGTATATTGATTTTTAATGATTCGTAAAAATATATATACAGAAAACATTTTACTACTAACACTTAATCTTATTCCTAAATAAATTAAAAATGTATGCTGAAATAATAAAAAATATAATATAAAAAATAATATAATTTCTTTCGTCATTTCATCAAATAACGAATACCCGAATTTGGTTAGGGTAGCAAGCCTGAAAAGTAAGAAAAATCAAAATTTTGTGCGCTGGCTTCGAAACGAAATCGCACGCACACATACACCCATGTAAGTGAATGTGTGACACGCATACATACATTCGGTTGATCGAAGCGCAGGCCAACCTTCTTCATCGCGCTCCGTTTAGAGACTGAGAAACAGAAAAAATTTAATGAGAGAATGAGCGTAAGATGAACGAACGATGAGCGTAAGAGAGCGTAAGAAATCCGCTCTGGGGCCTGCTGGGGCCTGTCGGAAGAAATTTTCGCGTCCATTTTCGTTGTATGAAATGGGTTGTCTATATGCTGTATGGTTAGTGGCACAACTTAATAAATGGGGTGTTCTCAGAAGCAATTTATTATCGAAATCTCATTGGGGTTTGGTCTTTTTCAAAGAATTGTTTTAAAATATTTTAATACACATACACATATGTATATTATATAATATATATACAAAACCCAGATAAGTATACTATAGTTTATATGATGTCCTATGTGGCGTATAATTAATATTAAATACCCAGAAAGATTGCGCTTTTGAGAATGCCCCCATCGTGTAACGCTCTTGCGCTTTTTTCTCGCTCACAGGCAAAGCTCATACTCACGGTTGGGGTCTTCGGCAAGCATCGTATAGCTTCGGGTGGTGCGAAAACCCGCGCGGGCCAAGGCTGGGCACCGCTGCTCTGGCTGGTCTGGTGTTTCCATTTCAGAGTGTCGCAACGTCCAGTCGCAACGTCGCCGCGGCGCGCGTGTCTTTTTTTTCCAGTGTGTACGTTTTGATTGCAAAAAGAAGAGGCAAGCATAGGCACAAGCTCTGCTAAAATCAGAAAAACATTTTTCATCTGTGGCCAGTGGAAAAGTGCCTCAAGAAAATGAATATAGATAAATTGTGTTAATCGCCCCATCTCGAGCCAGCAAATATTTACTGTATATTCCATTGTATATTTGTTGTTGCTGTTGCTTTCTTCCGTTGAAATATTCATTTTGTTTTCATTTATTTTGTTTTTTTTTTTTTTTAATTGTGCAGCTGCCCGCCTGTAAATGATAAAAAATGTGAGTTCCTCTAGTATGTAAATTGTTTGTTTTTCAGGTGAAAACTGTGAAAATATTCTGAAATTTGTTAAGGATAACAGAGACAGAGTGCGAGAGAATGTTTGTGTCTGCAAGTGCACACGTATGTGTGGGTGTAGTAGCAGCTCTCTGTGTGTGGCTGTGTTAGTGTACGATGGCAGTGCGTAAATGCGTAAGCTGGACGCAAAAATATATGCTTTTTTTATTTTTATTAAAAAAAATATAAAATAATTAATAAATATTTTAAATTATTAATTAAAAAGGGGAGTAATTGAAAAAAATATATGTATACAAATTTCAATATATTTTTGTGTCCTGATTTCATGTTAGAACGTGTTCTCCCCTTTTTTTCTTGTGGTGTAGTGTCTGTGGCCCAGGTCCCAAGGTTTTTGCTCTTCTCCATCCGCTCTTCCGCCTCTTTGTGGAGCTCTCTCTCCCAAAACAACAACAACAACAAGTCTGCAACTCTGATAAGAATTTTCCATGCGTATTTTTCACGTAAAGCTTTGTTTTGTTTGGTTTTTCCATTTTTCCCATATTTTGTTGTTGTTTTTTTCTTCTCGCTTTGTGATTTAATTTCGGTTCTTCAGTGCGGTGTCTCAGGTGCAACATTGAACAGATTTCATTTTTGAGGGGGGGGCTTAGTATACTTTTCTTTTGGACCTCCTTTATTGTTGTTGTTGTGGTTGTGCCTTGGTTAACCCTTAGCGTGTCCTTGGTGGTAAATCAGCATTTTTGGCTATTTATAGAGTTTATAAATGGTTTTTACCAATTTTTTGGAGTTAATTGATTGATTGACAAAAAAAGGTTAACCATTAACGGTAATTATTGGTATTATTTTGGTTGCCATCTTTCTTGTTTACATTTGAGGACTCAGACTCTGGCCCTTGGGGATGTTTGTTGTGTTTTGCTTTCCTCGGCTATCTTTGGAGGTTTATAAATTATTAATAAACATAAAGCGTGCCACAGGTGTGCACCCAGAGAGGAGCAACCGAATGGGCGGGGAGGGGGGGATGGCGAGAGTCAGCGACGAGAGCGCGACCTTTGTGTCCGAGTTTTCGTTTATGTGTACTTGTACATTGGACTTGTTTGTACATGCCTAAGTATATGGAGATATGTACTTAAGTTCATATGTACATACATTTCTAGCTGTGTTTGCTCTTTTTTTTGTCTAATTTGTGGCTCGCCAGACCTGAGTCTCGGATTAAATAGGCTCACATTTTTGCTGTCCAACCTTTGCTCTCTTTGGCATCATCTGTGTGTTTGCACCTGCCTTCGCTATTCGCTTCCCATTCCCCATTCCCTATCCCCACTGCTTTATGGCCCCACCATCGCTTTCAATTATTTCCGCTTGAATGCGTTGACGTCGCCGCCGACGCCGACAGCGTTCCGCTTTTTTTTTTTCGTTTCGTTTCTTTATTAATGGTTTTGCGCTTTTACACGCAAAAAAAAAAAATTTTAATATAAAAAACTATAGCTTTAGCTTTGTAAAATTTAGTATCAGATGAAGTATAGTTTTTTTTTTTTAAATTAGTAAATGTTATTTTTCATTTAAATTTATCACCTTTATTTTTCTCTCAGTGTAGCCTTGTCTTATAACTTTATTTTACCGTATTGTATGTCTTGGTCAATTACCATGGCAATTTATTTATCAGCTTGTTTGCCGCCCAGCTGTCCTCTCAATTGTGCAAATTGATAACGGTATTGCGCCGCCATTGCGATTGCATTCATGGCAGCGTCCTATCGTCCAATCGTTCATCTTTGCCTCCTCCGCCATTCGCCTCCTTCTCACACCCTCTTTCTACCCCTTTGGTCACATCATAAACTGTAAAATGACAAAATACATCAAAAGCACTTACATGCATACATGCATGCATGCTCTTGTGTCTGGAATCCAGACTCTGGATGTGTGTGTGTGTAATGGATGCACAGTGGAATGGAGTGGGGGGAAATGCGCGTAATCCGCTTAACGATTCGCGGTAGCAATGAAAAAGCCCCCATAACTGTCAAAAGCACGAAATGCATAAATTTCAAAACCGACCGACGATGACTTAATATTGTTTTACTTTTAACTCAAGGATTGCACAAGAAATTTTAATATTTTTTGGCTTTCAAATGTATGAATTTTTCAAATAATATTAGTCTTAGTCTTAGTTTTAAGCTTTATCATAAGATGAATATTATTTCGAGAAGAAAGTTCTCCTAGTTGGTAACTCTTAAGTTGTATAATCAGAGTAGCGGTAAAAGTAAAATCACTCAAGGAACGAGAAGGACGAGGAAGGACATGATACGATTTTAATTGCTGGAAGGGCTTGTCGTATTTAATCCACCACTTTATGGGGGTAGGCCTATTTTTATAATTTAACTAATAGGTGGATAGGGTTTCCAGGTATTTGGGTTTATTTGGGGGATGGTGTTGGCGAAAGGCCAATATTTTTGTAGGGGGGGGCTGTGTGTTATTGATTGACTTGTGGGGGGCCTTCCCCATTTGGAACCCCAAATAGATACACTTTAAGAAATTTCCATTAAAAACTACAATCTCCTTATGATTAATGACTGGAATCTGTTTAATATCCTACTCTTAGCGTGTCGGGAAAAATGTCATTCCCATTAATTTTAAAATTCTACCGTTAGTCACCTTTTACCCTGTGACCTTTCCACCCCCCACCACCCCCTACTAAGCTCCAATTAAAACGAGAACAAAAGCTCTTTGGGGATCCATAAATTCTGGCTGGGGATAAAATTCCTGTAATTAGTTGCTCAACAAAGTTATGATCGCCATAAATACAAGATAAGTTCCCAGCAGATTAGGAATCAAATGAAGGTCGTTTAGAGGCGGTGGAATAACTCTATTTAAATCATATATTTTATCTAGATAAGATTATGGCCCTTAATATATGAATAAATAAGTAGCACTTGTAAAGTAATACAGATAATTAGTGTTTGGGCTCATTATCACTTATTAGATAATAAGCCCCATCGCTATTGGAAATTAACACATGTCGGTGGTGAGCTCCCAAATCACCCAACCACCCACACTCTCCCCCACCCCCACGTTGGCCCACTTCGATAGGTCAAAATGCGATGCAAATGCGTCAGACTGCCCGAGGCCCGATGCCGGGGGTCGTAAAGCATTCACATAACAAATGGAAATGGAAATGAAAATGGAAATGGAACTATCGCTGTTGTCAGCAGTCAACAATAAATCCAATTAGCAGAAAGTATACCTCCATATGTGGGCCGTATAATAAGAAAGTAAGACTAGTCAGTGGTGGATAGGTAGTATACCTTGTAAGTTGCTTTATAAGCTTTAATTTCTTTATAAAGAGATAGGTCTTTATTGGAAGACTTCTTTAATACTACTATGTATTATAAGATAATAGTATAGCAGATATAGATATAATAGTAGATAATAGTAAGATAATCTAATAGTATTATAAGATCTGATCTATTATAATCTGTTCTAATTAAGACTATTCACTAGTAGATATATAGATATAGATATTCCCCAAGGTAGTCTGAAGGTAATATGCTTCATAAGCTTTATTTGCATTATAAAGAAATGGGTCTTCAGACCTAGACCTAGTTCAAAGACCTAGTTCAGACCTAGTTGGAACTAGTTCTTATAATAGGAACCGCTCTATTATAAGATCTGTATAATATATATTATCTATTATCTGTATAAGATCTAAGTAAGACTAGTCACTAGTAGATAGATATTCCCCAAGGTAGTCTGAAGGTTATATACTATAAATGGGTTTTTATTGGAAGATAAAGTTCGAAAGTTATATAGAGATCCAGTTCAATAGTACCTTATTATAAGATCTGTTCTATTATAATAAGAAAGTAAGAAGAGTCAGATAGTATCGAGGTAATATGCCTTATAAGATTCAAGAGATGGATCTTTATTAGAAGACAGATAGTACTATATTATATCTGTTCTAATAAAATAAAAAAAGTAAAAACTAGTATTTATTAGATTTCCAATCCATAACAGCCTAAAACCATAGAATTACAAGACTATAAGGCCTTCGAGAGGAAAAATAATGCTGAACTGGCAACTTTTCCTGTTTTTTTTTTGTGAAATTTGAGAACCTGCTTGACCTTATCGGACTTTCTAGTTCTTTTCTTTGGTTGCTTTTGTTGTTGTTGTTGTTGCTATTTAATTGACACAGCCCAGCCCCCTTTTTCTGGTTAGGGCCTTGTTGAAACCCCCCCTCGTCAAAGACGATTATCTGTAGTGCCTGTCAGAAGACTTTGAATGTGCCCCATACTGCCTGCCACTCCTCTAATTTGACTGTGACTTGAAATCGATAATGGTATGACCCCCTTTATACCCTCGATACTAGCTAGTCGACGATTGAATGCTCTTACTTTCAAGGGGGAGACTTTCAAGACTTCATGGAGATACTTTATTAGGGTATAAGTTGGGTATAAAGGGTATAAAACTTACAATACCCATCAGGGACAGCCGGAACATCCGGAACATTTGGAACATCCTGGACATCCAGGTTTCAGCTGTCAGTCAGTCGGTCAGTTGGTCAGTTTGTGGCATCATCGAGTTTCTCATTTAGTTAAATGTCAATAGGGGGGCATAAGGGAGAAGCCATAGCAACCAGCCAGCCAGCCAGTCAGCCAGCCAGCCAGCCAGCTAGTCACCTAGTCACCTATCCTAGCCACCGGACTAAAAATCATCCGACTAACCACCTCTCTTTTTTTTTTTGTATTCCGTTATTTTATTGCTTTTTATTTACCGTTGGCTGTTTGCTGTGTTTGCTTTTGTACCGTGTCCAGGTCATAGATAAGAAGAAGAACAACAACAGACGTGTGCTCCTCCCCTGAACAGCGCCGGACGCCAGAGTCGCCTCCACACCACATCATCCACAGCCATGACCGGCGTCGGTAATCGATGATTCCCATTGCCATTGAAAGACATAGCGTGGGAGACAGAGACAGCGTTAAAGATAAAGTGAGAGAAGGATAGAGATTGATTGGGAAGACAAATACCGTTAGCTGGAGGAGACATTTCTGAAACACTGAAAGAAAATAAGAACTCAAAATGCTGATCAAGGAGTACCGCATACCACTGCCCCTCACCGTGGAGGAGTATCGCATCGCTCAGCTCTATATGATAGCGGTAAGTAGGGGGGAAGAAGGGTTTTCCCCCCAGAGGGTATAGATGTAATAATCCCCGAATACTCTCATTTCAGAAAAAAAGTCGAGAGGAGAGTCATGGCGAGGGCAGTGGCGTCGAAATTATCATCAATGAGCCGTACAAGGATGGACCTGGAGGCAACGGGCAGTACACCAAGAAGATATACCATGTCGGCAATCATCTACCCGGCTGGATCAAGAGTAGGTCTTAATAGCATCCTGAGATCCTTTCCTAATCCCTACTCCGCCTCAGGTCTTCTGCCCAAGAGCGCTCTTACCGTGGAGGAGGAGGCATGGAATGCCTATCCCTATACCAGGACACGCTACACTTGCCCCTTTGTGGAGAAGTTCTCGCTGGACATTGAGACGTACTATTATCCGGACAATGGCTATCAGGAGAATGTCTTCCAGTTATCCGGCAGCGATCTACGGAATCGTATCGTGGGTTCGTATAACTTCGAAGGATTCTGTTGTTTTGGCTTGTAATCTATAGAATTCCCTTCCAGATGTCATTGATATCGTCAAGGATCAGCTATGGGGTGGCGATTATGTCAAGGAGGAGGATCCCAAACATTTCGTTTCGGACAAGACGGGGCGGGGACCCCTTGGCGAGGACTGGCTGGAGGAGTATTGGCGGGAGGTGAAGGGCAAGAAACAGCCGACTCCCCGCAACATGTCCCTGATGACCGCCTACAAGATCTGCCGGGTGGAGTTCCGCTACTGGGGCATGCAGACCAAGCTGGAGAAGTTCATCCATGATGTGGCGTTGCGCAAAATGATGCTACGGGCCCATCGTCAGGCCTGGGCCTGGCAGGACGAATGGCACGGCCTCACCATCGAGGACATTCGGGAGCTGGAGCGTCAGACCCAGCTGGCACTGGCCAAGAAGATGGGCGGTGGCGAGGAGTGCAGCGACGGTCAGTCCGCGGTTATGTCCTCCACCTCTCCGCGAACCCTTGCAAAATTGTAAACATGTGGATAACCCATAGAGTCCATCGGACAAAATGCCCATTAATTATAGATTTTTGTTTTTTGGTTCTGGGTTGGACTCCTGGGTGGGTGCTTCGTTTGCAAGAGTTCTCCTGGAGAATCCCTGGTTTCTGTTAGTTTCCCTCTAAAGCTGTTTTCCTTCTGAACTCCCCGTACAGATAGCGTTTCGGAGCCGTATGTTAGCACGGCCACCTCCGCCGTGGCCACCTCGTCCGGCCCTGCAGGAAGCGAGCGAAAGAAGTCCGCTCCGGCCATACCGCCGATTGTCACCCAACAGCCGCCCAGCGCCGAGGCCAGCTCGGACGAGGAGGAGGGCGAGGAGGAGGACGAAGACGAGGACGAGAACGATGCCATTGGCACTGGTGTGGATCTATCCGCCGCCCAGAGCAGCTCCTCCGCCCAGCGATCTCGCTCCCAGAGCATCCAAATGGCCAACAAGGCCAAGTTTGGGTCAAAGGGTGCCCTCCACTCTCCAGTGGGTTCGGCCCATAGCTTTGATCTTCAGGTGAGGTGTTCTAGAATCTTGAAGTACTTTCTTGGGGTTTTTATAATATAGGATATTGTGTTAAGATAACCTAAAATTTAAGAATCCTAATCCTTCATTCTAACCCTACTTTCTGGTCCCGGGTTCGACTTCTCCCAAAGAGTCCTCCGTGTTTTTTTGTCTCTTTGTTGTGTTGTGTGTGTGTGTCGCCTTGTCCTCTTGGATTAATCTTTAATTTACCTTCACAACCACACCTGAAACACCTGAAACTGAAACACCTTTACCTTTTTTTTTTTTTAAAAAAAAATCCAATCCACAAAAAAACAGTCCAAAAAGCCGCATGCCAAGACAGTGCCACGCAGACATGTAAGTTCCTAGTTCCCCCTCTCTCTGTCTAATTTGTTCTGCCGTCTCTCTCTGCCATAATTTGCTTAGACTACTCTTAGTAACTCCTGCTTAAAAGCCATAAGAATCCCCAGTTAGCTTTGTGACTAAAATATTAGTTAAAGACTATCATTTAGTAGATTGATTAAATTTTAATAATCATACTAGGTGGCTAACTGGCGCATGGAGCGTTTGGAAGTGGACTCCAAGTCCAACTCTGAGGAGGAATTCTTCGATTGTTTGGGTAAGCATAGACCTTAGACCATCCAAGAAATCCTGACAATTCTGACACCTAATCCTCTCTAGACACCAACGAGACCAACTCCCTGGCCAAGTGGAGCTCTCTGGAGCTGTTGGGCGAGGGCGATGATAGTCCGCCGCCCCATGGAGGTCCTTCCAGTGCCGGATCTGGGGAGGGACGTGGAAACTCACGGCAGGAGGACAGCATTTTCAACCAGGACTTCCTGATGCGAGTAGCCTCGGAGCGGGGCAACAAACGCCAGTTGCGCTCCTCGGCCAGTGTGGATCGCAGTCATGATTCATCGCCGCCCGGCTCTCCCAGCACACCGTCGTGTCCCACTACTATTCTGATCCTGGTGGTCCATGCCGGATCCGTGCTGGACGCGGCCAGCGAGCTGACGGCCAAGAAATCGGACGTTACCACCTTCCGCGGCAGCTTTGAGGCGGTGATGCGGCAGCACTACCCCAGCCTGCTCACCCATGTGACCATTAAGATGGTGCCATGCCCCTCGATCTGCACCGACGCCCTCGGCATCCTCTCCAGCCTCAGTCCGTACTCCTTTGACGCTTCGCCCTCGGCGGCGGATATACCGAATATAGCCGATGTGCCGATCGGAGCGATACCCCTGCTGTCGGTGGCCTCGCCGGAATTCCACGAGACGGTCAACAAGACGGTGGCAGCGGCTAACATAGTCTACCACGAATTCCTCAAGTCGGAGGAGGGCCACGGATTCTCCGGCCAGATCGTGATGCTGGGCGATTCCATGGGCTCTTTGTTGGCCTACGAGGCTCTGTGCCGGTCCAACGGCAGCCAGCCGGGCACGGCATCTAACTCTGGCGGCGATGCCTCCAGTTCCACCAACATAAATCCCCACAATCCCCTCTCCGCTCGCCACTCCCGATTGGATGACGAGGAGCGCTTCATAGAGGCCGACCTGGATGCGAAGCGATTGCTGGTGGCCCCATCGCCTCGCCGGCGTCGTTCCAGCTCCTCCAGCGACTCCAGAGCCACCAAGCTGGACTTTGATGTGTGCGACTTCTTTATGTTCGGCTCCCCGCTGTCCGTCGTCCTCGCGGCCCGGAAGCTGCACGACTCCAAGGCCGCCCTGTCGCGTCCCAACTGCCACCAGGTCTACAATCTCTTCCATCCAACCGATCCGATAGCCTCACGCCTGGAGCCGCTCCTCAGCGCCAGGTTCTCTATCCTGGCGCCGGTGAATGTGCCACGCTACGCCAAGTATCCTTTGGGCAATGGCCAGCCACTGCATTTATGTGAGTACCAAGTAGGATGTGGAGTACCAAGTCTAATCTCTTACTAATCTCTAATCTTGTCCTTCCAGTGGAGGTGATTCAGTCGCATCCGCAGCACTTCAACGATGGCAACAACCTCCTGGCTGGAAGGCGACTATCCGATGCCTCCATGCAGAGCACGATATCGGGTCTGATTGAGAATGTCTCCCTAAGCACTATCCACTCCCGTAAGAAGCTAGAATCTCATTAGATTCCAGATCATTCATTTTAGATCATCAAAGTAATAGCACTAATGGTCTTATAGAGAAGTCTCGTCCTAGTCTAGAAGACTAGTCTTATAGAGAAGATAGAGAAGAGCCTTCTCCTCCTCCCATTTCTCATTGGAGCCTTGGATATGGTCACACTGACAGTATCCCTAGTCTGAGTTTAAACTTAAGTTTAGAATTAATATCCCTATCCCTATGATAAGGTCCCCATGATCATATATCCCCTCAAGAAAAGCTTATAAGTTGGCCAATGTACATTCTTCCGATTCTTCACCAGAGTTCCTTAAAAGATTCGTGGATCGATTCTCCATTAATCTGCATTTCAATCTAGATTTCATGATTTTGGGTCCTTTTTTTGTGAATTCTTCTGGAGATAGTCTTGGAAAATAAATGGAAAATCATGGGGAACCTCATATGGCTTATAGTAAAGTCTATATTTCTGCCAATATTCATCCGATTCTTGAGCGAAATACCTTAAAAAGATTCGTAGATCTTGGAATTCTTCAAAATTCTGCATCAGAACCTAGCTTCGAGTTTTTGGATACATTTTTTGGTATTTTTTTTGAAAATTATGGAAAAATATGAAAAAAAAGAATGGAAGTGAAATAATGGCTTAAAGCGGAGGCCATATCTTGGCCAATATTCATCCGATTCTTGAGCGGAATATCTTAATAGATTCGTAGATTAATTCTTCACTGAATTCTGCAAGTCTGCATTATAACCTGGAATTTTTTCTTGGGGAAATCCTTGGAAAATATGTGGATAACCATGGGCAGCCTAGTATAGCCCATAGCCAAGTCTATGTCTCCTCAAATATTCATCCGATTCTTAAGAGGAATACCTTAAAAGATTCCTACATCAATTCTCCACCAATTCTGCATCAACAATTAGAACCAAAGCCCTGGATTCTATTTTTTTGAGAATTTTTCAGTAAAGACACCCCTTATATGGCTCCAATGAAGACCACATCTTCGTCGATATAGATATATATATATACATCCATAGAACTATAGAACTATTAGTGCCATTAGTTTGAAGACAATCATAGATTATGTATATCTTTAATTAATTCTAAAAATTTTGGATTGCAGTTCAAAACAAGTGGTGGGGCACCAAGCGTTTGGATTATGCCCTTTACTGCCCCGAGGGACTGAGCAACTTCCCGGCCCACGCCTTGCCGCATCTCTTCCACGCCAGCTACTGGGAGAGCCCGGACGTGATCGCCTTCATACTGCGCCAGATTGGCAAATTCGAGGGCATACCGTTTGTGGGCTCCAACGATGACAAGGACAACGCCGCCTTCCATCCGGGCCAGCCGCGCGAGAAGTGGATCAAGAAGCGAACCTCCGTGAAGCTGAAAAATGTGGCCGCCAATCATCGGGCCAACGATGTGATCGTCCAGGAGGGCAGAGAGCAACGGCTGAATGCCAGGTTCATGTATGGGCCGCTGGACATGATCACCCTCCATGGGGAGAAGGTGGACGTGCACATCATGAAGGATCCGCCGGCAGGCGAATGGACTTTCCTCAGCACCGAGGTGACCGACAAGAACGGTCGCATATCCTATTCCATTCCGGATCAGGTCTCCCTCGGCTATGGCATCTATCCGGTTAAGATGGTGGTCCGTGGCGACCATACCTCGGTGGACTGCTACATGGCGGTGGTGCCGCCATTAACCGAATGTGTGGTCTTCAGCATCGATGGGTCCTTCACCGCGTCCATGTCGGTGACGGGCCGGGATCCCAAGGTGCGGGCCGGTGCCGTGGACGTCTGCCGGCACTGGCAGGAGCTGGGCTACCTGCTCATCTACATCACCGGACGGCCGGACATGCAGCAGCAGCGTGTCGTCTCCTGGCTGAGCCAGCACAACTTCCCCCACGGCCTGATCTCGTTTGCCGACGGCCTGTCCACCGATCCGCTGGGCCACAAGACGGCCTATCTCAACAATCTGGTCCAGAACCATGGAATCTCAATCACAGCCGCCTACGGCAGCAGCAAGGATATTAGTGTCTATACGAATGTTGGCATGCGACCGGATCAGATATTTATTGTGGGCAAGGTGGGTCTACTATTAAGGAAGAAGTCTTAACCTAGCTAATGTCCATTCTCTCCCTATATAGGTAAGCAAGAAGCTCCAGTCCAATGCCACTGTGCTCAGTGACGGCTATGCCGCCCACCTGGCCGGTTTGCAGGCCGTGGGCGGTTCCCGTCCGGCCAAGGGCAATGCCCGGATGGTGATACCACGAGGCTGCTTCAATCTTCCCGGCCAGACGGCCAATCCGCGACGCCGAAGGTAAGACGATCCGAAACAATGGACCACACTGCTTGTTAATCCCGGCCCGATCCGTGCCCGATCTGTGTATATATATGTATATTTGTACATGTCTGTGTTTGTGTTTAGTGTAAATAGGCAAAGATATATACTCTGTTATGTTATATGTTGTTCCAAAAAGTTGAATGCCTTCAGCTTTTAAATACTAAGTTCTAAATACTAAACTAATTAGTCCAACTAATAGCTTTAAATCTCAAGGAAGAAGAGCTGAGGGCATTCTACTAAGTTCATACTAAGTTTAGAGTTCGAAACTGCTTGTTTGGTTGGTGTTTTTTGTGTAAAATAATTTATGTAATTTTGTTTTCGTTGTGTGGCTTTATGTTTATGGTTTATGGTCGCATGGCCGTTACTTTAAAACCAGCATTTTTATTCATTTCTTCAATTAAATCTGGAGGACAAGAAGAAACCATTCCATTCCCACATCCCGTCAACTAAACGTTGTGTGCGCTGTTTTCCTGGTGGCCATCCTGGCCAACCAATCGATGTCCTAAACTCTCTCTCTCAATGCAATTGTAGTTCCATCCAAGCTAATCTCTGTGCACTCTTCCACCCCCCCTTGCCAAAAATATATATATCCAAAAAAATATATATATATATAGCAATGCTTTCGAGTTGCAATTGGCCAACATCAGTCCCGGCAGCAACAGCAACATCAACAGTCCCTGCAGCAGCAACAGCATCTTACTGGCCCAGTTAATAGAGGAGGCCGTGGCCAAGGATACGCCGGTTGTCTAGACCTCAGAATACAAAAAAATATATACTATAAGCTATATATATCTCATCCATCCTCTCAAAAAAACTAGTCCGCCACAGAGATCATAATTGTATTTTTAATTTAAAGTCTATTTTCAAGTTTTTAAGTTTCGTCCTAGAACAAATGCCGTATTATGTATGCTATAAGTTATTACAATTATGATTATTACTGTATTACCATATATTGTTATATATTTGTATTATCTTTATTTGTAAATGATATTATTTTCGTTGCGAACAAAAAAAGCAAATTAGGAACAAAACTAAACACAATTTATAAATAAATAAATGCAGTACAGCTTAAATAGCTCAAAATATACATATATGTATATGTGAATAGTGATCTATCTATATATATATATATATAATTTATAATGTTTCGATTACGATTTGTATCTTTTTCTTGGTTTGATCTTTAATTTATGGATAATCGATAAAAAAAAATAATCGAAAAAAAATGCTTAAAAAACGCTTTACCACGCCGACCACTCTTGCCTCCCACGTACACACCACAATCTCACCTCTCAAAACCCACCACGCCGACGATTACACTTGCACACTGAAAAAAAAAAAATACCCATCAGGCTGCATGAACAAGCAACGAATGAAAATTGAACAAAAAATCACAGAAGAGTTGAGAACAAATATTAATATAAATCAAAATTAATCCAGAAACTAGTTAGTTACTAGTTATTAGATTCTAGTATTTTAGAATATTCATATACCCAAAATATTTTCTGTTGTTTTTTCATATACATATGATTTTTTGAAGCATTACTAGATGAGCATTTTATTGATTGATTGATTGATTGATTGGTGTTGTGCAAAACAAACTTGTTGAAACTTGAAATACACTGAAAAAGAAAAACAAAAAGAATATACCCACGCACGTAGATTCAAAATTTGATCTCTATCTGAACTTTAACTCTGTCTCTCTTTTTCCAAAAAAAAAAAAAAAAACAAACAAATACTCAAAATTTGCTTGCAAAAAAACCAAACTCAAAACAACAAAAAACACACAATTCCCCCCAAACCCCCATACACTTCCCCCAAAATGTATCACACCCACTCTCAAACATCGACATTGTTATCGATAACTAGCAACGAGACGGGACTGTCATCGCCGATAAGGAGTGGTTATCTAAAGCGCAAGACCTACCTGAGCCATCACTAGAGCGGATAACTAGATAAACTAGATCGATTCATCCCGAAATACAGCCCTGAAAAATAGTCAAATATCGCTGCATTCCCTACAATCTAGAAAACAGAATATTAACAAAAAAAAAATGAGTAAACAGTTACCCCAAAAAAAAAAAGGACAACAGCATCGATGTCTCCATACGCCACATCTGTATATATATTACACATATATATATATTTATATACTATGCCCGATATATTGACAATTCAATGGTGTAATATAAAATGATCAAAACTTAAAATTGAAAAGAGAATAAAATACAATTGTACAACATTTAACCAAAAGTCAAATGTGTCACGCGGTGAGTATAATACCAACTATCGTAAAACCATACCAACTATCGATATAATTAGTTATAGAATAGAGAGTGGGGAATAAACTCGAATAGGGTTAGAAAAAATTAAGGGATATATTATCAGCATCTTAGCAGCTTTAGTTTTGAAAGAAAGCATATCATATCTATAATATATAGATCCAACTAATATACTATTCTTTTTATTTCCTAGGTACCTGGAAAGAAAGACTGTTTCCTCCTGTTGTTTGATGGTTTTCCAAACCACTTAAAGCATAAACCAAAAACTAAAGAACAAACGCCGATCTTAAAGCTATATACTAAATACAATTAAACAAAAAAAAATTAAGAAAAGATATATATACAAGATGATATATTAAAAATATAGGACCGTTTTACATATGCAAGCGAACAAAGTTCAACAAACCAAGCAAAACAATTGAAGGACAACCAACATACGAAGAAAATCGAACCGATGATCTCAACAGGATTCTAAACTGATCAAAATCTCGATATATATCGAGTGGAGTTATCGATCAAAAATCGGCGAAGGAGTATAGGAGGAGCGTTGCAAAATCAAATGGCAAAATCCAATGCATTTCTTGACATAAACGTAGAAAAAGAACAAAAAGGTTAAAAATTATTGGCTTCCGATAGTAAACTATGGGGGTTTTTCTATATTCGTGAAGCAGATTAGTTGAAAAAAAAAAATAAATAATGAAAATGTCATGAAATGAATGTGAAAACAATCTGAAAACCTGGCCCCAGAAACTTTGAAATCTCCATAATTGTGATAGTTTTTCGTTACCAAAAATAAAAAAACAAAGTAAATAAATAAATCTAAAAAAAAAATGTAAGGAACACAGGCAGAAATACTAAACCTCTATATATGTCTACTAAAAAAAAAATTGTTATTCGGAAATGAAAGTAAATTCGAGAAAATTGCTTATTTTGCGCTGTTACGAGTATGATATAGATGATATTGATATTGTGTTAACATAAAACCCGATTTTGTGATACCAAAGACATAATGAAACCAAAAACCGAATACCAAAACGAGATCAAGCATTCACTTCCGAGAATTAAAAAACAAAAAAAAAACAAACTCGAACGACTTAAGGCTACCTGATGTAACGGGCATTGAATATACTATATATGAACCCGATATAGAACTATATATACACCACACTATGTACGCATAACCCAGTTATGTGCTGTCCACATAAGTTAACTTACAAAGCTCCCATTCTAAAAATTCTAAACGAAATTGAAATTCTAAAAAAAAAAATGGGAGCCCTGCGGGTAAAAAAAAATAATAACAGAGAAAGTACATTATATATTGAGTCATAGATAAGCCCAAAAGTTGATTCTACTCTCTAGTAGTTGAGTTGAGAGGTTAGCATACTTCCTAAAAATCGAAACAGTTTGATTGTATATTGTATATAAGGATAAATATCCATACTATATACCATTTAGTGTATGTTTATATGGCGCAACTATACGTTATCTTGAACGAGTTCCTCTACTTTCTGCTTGGGTTTTATCCTCTGTTTGTATGTCATAGATGTCGATGGATCTCTAGAGAGTTTATCCTATATAGTTAATAGGCAAAAAGATGGTTATAGGCAAAAGGTAATTCCTAATAAGTATACACCAGATGATACTCATAGAGTCGAGGATTTAATATCTGTGTATTAAGACGATTAACGATTCAAGTTTCCTCTCTGATCTTATGAAGTCTGAACTTTTGTTCTTTGAAATTGCCAATTCCTGTAGACGAGTTTCATACAATCCTGCAAATCTTTGATCGAAATTCTATACTTCTATATATCCCTCCACTGTCTCTGTCTCCCCTTCCCCACCAGATGATCTAAAAATCGAAAATAAAAACCAACTCCCTCAGCCAATAAGAAATGCGAAATTAAATAGATATTTTGTGAAAACCCACCATTTAGAAATTAAGCCGAAAAACCCCTGGCCCATATTAACGAAGAATCGGGCCTACACCCTGATGTGTATATATATATACATATATATATAGAGAAGGAAACAAATAACGGTTTAACATACTAAAAGCAATTGTTACGCACTTGTGCGTATACTTACTTTTAAGAGCAACACAGTCCAGGATAACAAACTCGAATTCATAATATTAAACAGATTATATAGAATGGAATGCTATATATAAAGAAAATTATTTATTGACAAACAAATTCTACAAGCAGTAAAAAAAATATTTAAAAAAAAAAGAAATAAGAACGCGGAGCAAGCCAAATGCAATCTATTTACAAAATAAATTAAATTAAAAATAAAGTAAAAAAAAAAAACAGGAATACCAACCGAAAATTAAAAATGTGGGACAGACAAATATATATATATATATATGAATGTATGTATGTGTGAAGAAAAAGACATGGTTTAGGCCAATCTTTTGGGTATTTTGGCATCAAAATATGGCCAAAAGCCACAAAACAGTAAAAATATTTTTCGATGTAAGCTGTTTGTTAGAAAAGGATCGACTATGGGCGAACAAAAGAGATGGCTATACCAAAGTTAATCATTTCAATAAAAAAAAATCGAAACAAAGTGGTTCAAGAAAAAATTAAAAAATACGAAAAAAAAAAAAAAATAAAATAAAAATGTTCTATTTGATGTTGCAAATGAGAAAAAAAAATCAATAAAACATGCTATGTAAACAAATGATTGTTTTCTCTGGGGAGGGGGAGGGGGAGTGGGAGGGGGAAGTCCTTTTAACTGGGCCCTAACGAGTGGCTAACTGAATCCATCGGCCAGGTTTCCTAGAAAATTAAATTTCATTGTTCATCGGAATCGGTTATCTGGAAGGACACCACACCATACCACACAGGACCTCCCCTTGCAGGACCCCCAGCGAACGCACATGCGTCCGATTTAATCCAAATTCAATTCACTTTCGGCCAGGTTCTTATCACAACACGCCTCCTGCCACAGGCCTTCCGGATGGCTTTGTCCTGGATCCCAAATCCCGGCTGGCCTTGGCAAACCTGAAATTACATTCATCGTCCTGGCATCTTTGTTGCAAGGACCGAATCGGACCGGACCGTCTAATTGAATAAGATGGAAAAGCTCTAATTATTCAATAGAACAATGGCAAAGGATGTATTGGCAGGACTCTAGCATCAGGGCGAATACGTTGCGTTTCATTGTGAAAATATTAGGCCGGCAGGCTTATACCTTATACCATAGTCATGAACCGCACTGTTTCGTCCTGGCCAAGGCCATCTGTTATTGCATCTTTTCGAGCGACTGAACAAATCGAAAGCTGGCCGACAAAACAAAAGAGCCAGGACCCTCTCTCCGCCCCTTCATTTTGGCCAAAAACTAATTGTAAAGTCAAACAGAAACTGTTAACCAAATGGCCGCTTATCGGGTTCTCGGAAAAAGGACCCTCAGGGGATGTGGGATGCCCTAGCCGCCATCTTTTAATTCTAATTCGAATCCTGACACATTTGCGCCGTCAATTCCTTGCGCCAGGACTCTCCAGGCCACCAGGACCTTGGCCAGGCCACGGGTATTAAAAAAGTTTTCAATTCTCGCAGTCGACCTTGAGAGTTTTTCGGTTGAGCCGCCGTTGACGTGGCAGACGATGTAAATATATTTTTTGAATGACTGATTAGGTTTCTGATATCCTGTAAAGGATATAATGAATAAATAAACTAAAGAAATTTATATATCAATTAATTATCATAAAATAGGGTTAATAATTTCTTATTTTATCTTGTTAGTATTATTTTAATGGGCATTATGGAGGTCTTATAGAGTTGTAACTACATATTCATTTCTTTATTTGTCTCTTTTGTCCCACTGGCGGCGGCCACTCTATGGCGGGGACCACATAATTTTAACTTTTGTAGGCCAACATAAATACTTGATTAAGTAAATCCACATTTGTAGACAAACTTGAGACGACGAGTGGTCCTGGGCGGCCTTTATACCCTTTTTAAGGAGTACTTTGCTTTGGCTAAGGACTCGAAAATTATTAAATGCTAACTAAAATACTGTTTCTATTAGATTCTACAAGTAAAAGATACTTTTGGTTCTAGTATTAGCTAAGGCCTTCTTTTTCATCTGCTCTCTTTCACTCTCGGTATCTGAAAGATGCTAGCATTCTAGCAAAACACCTGTTCTCTTTCGCACTTTCTCTCTCGACCTTCTACCACCCTACTCTCTCTCCAGCTCCACTGATCCTTCGCTCTCTGGGACAAGTACCGTGAGTTTTACGCTCCCTTTTCGGGCTTCTCCAACATCTCCATTCTCCTTCTACCACCCTACTCTCTCCCAGCTTACTCTTACTCTCTGGGGCAAGTAGAGCTAATTTTACGCTCCCGTTTCTTCCTTTTTCTCCATTCTCCATCCTTTCAACTTAGGGATCCTCCGCTCTCTCAGACAAGTACCGTTATTTTCACGCTCCTCTTTCTTCTTTTCTTTCGCTTTTCCATCATTTATTTGAAATCAGTAGTTGGCGTCCTGGCTAGAGTGATTTTTGTTGATGGATTATCCTTGTAATTATCCTTGTAATTATCCTAGTAATTGTGTATAATTTTTAAGTTTAAGTTTGCGGTTTTGGTAATCGGGCGTGTGTTTCGTTAAGTTTAATATAGTGTCGTATCGGTTTATCGCTTTTTCGTCGTAAAATATAATTTAAAACTTGGAATTAATATATTACTTGGATGATTGGTGGAATATTAATAAAAGATATAAATTTATTAAAAAGTTTACAAAAGTTTTTGAATTTTATGATAATTTTATGATGAAGTTTTGTTTTTTTGGGGAATATTTTTTAATTGGGGATCATTTATGATACTTGTTTTTATTTATTTTTAAAAAACATTTTTAATAATTCAACAAAATTAGATAAAAGTGCATATAAAATTCGATATATATAATCTAATCATCTTTATAATCTTTATATAATAAAGAATATAATCTTTATTTAATTGGGGATTTATTTATAATTCTATTTACGTATTTTTAAGAAACATTTTTAATAATTCAAAGTAACAATTAAATTAATTAAAGTGCATATAAACTTCGACTCTATGCCTAGGCTAGCCATCCCTTCTGCCAGAGTCCTTTGACCTGCAGATCTTAGTACTACTACTATATGTATGCTGGGCGACTCCTTGGTCTGCGCTTTTATGTTTCTCGATTTGCATAATTTACAGAATAGAATGGAAAAAAATTGGCATACGGAGGCTGGTGGTGGTGCTGCTGCTGCTGCTGCGCGTGGCAGGGAAATTATACTCAATTTGGGGCTCGTTCCTCGGTCCTGGAATAATCAGGTTAACCAGAGCCAGGACTAAAAGGTTGACCTGTCAATGGCAATGGCAATGGCAATTCTATGCGGAACGACTTCACTCACAAATCTTTAACAAATCCACTTGGATACAAAAACGTAAAAATAATAATAATAATAGGAGGAGAAGAAAAATAAAACCATACATAAATACCAAAAGTGGCTGTATCTGAGTATCTGGAAGATACTCGCAGAAAAACAAACAATCAAGCTGAGTATCTGTGCGAATCGCCCGGCAAATAATGAAGCAATGAAATGGCCAATTTAAATCAATGCGCCTCAGACGCAAAAAAACCAACAAAAAAAAACCAAAAAAAAGCTGGCCAAATTGCCTTTTTGGCCAAGTTCTGGACGCTTTTTATTGTTTTTGATGGTCATCGTCTCTAAATGCCATTAAATGTTGATCCAAGCCCGGAGTCGGAGTCCTTTTTCAGCCAAAAATCAATCCGATGAAATCACTATTTTTGATGGCCAAACATTTAATAGTGGCGGCATTTTTACATTTTTTTTGCATTCTATTTTATTTATCTAGATTTTCCCTATCTACCGATTTTATTTAAAATTACTTTTAAATCAATTACCAAATACTTTGATCTGTCGGCTGAAAAATGAAAGCGTCTGAAGTCTGGCTGATAATTTGCACAATTTTTTAAACTGGATGGGAATATTATGGATGGAAAAATACCTAAATGATGCCATTTAAATTGAAGTTTATTTTGTTGGTGATTTAATTTTAATTCCTTTTCGAAGACTAAAGCATGAGAATGAAGCCAGGATATTTATTGAAATTTATTTTAAAGATTCATGCATATTTTGTTGAAAAATGAGAGATATTGATTTTGTAGCGACATCGGCCTAAGAGCCATTACAGCAAAAACAAGAAAAGAAAGCTTACTTTGGGCGGAGCCGAAGTGGATATACCCTTGCTGTTAAGATTGGATATTTATATATATATATATATCGCATATAGTAGGTCGATCCTTATTCGAATTTTATAATAAAACCCATTAATTAGCAAACAATTTGTCCATTTTCGTGATGGGATGGGGTTTTCCCCTATAGGGCCCAGAGTGATGGCTAAATCTGGCTATATCCCAATTCTCATCCGATTCTCAAGCGGAGTACCTTAAACGATTTCTAGATCGATTTACTATCATTCTGCATCAAAATCCTGAGACAAAATATTTTTTAGATTTTTTGTCCATTTTTCTTGATGGGATCCCTTAATAATGGGGTTTTCCCCTATTGGGCCTAGAGTGATGGCCATATCTTCCCCACTTCTCATCCGATTCTCAAGCGGAGTACCTTGAACGATTTCTAGATTATTCTATCTTAAAATTATAATACCCTCTTTGAGGGTATAACAATATTGGCAGGCGCTTTTCTTTTCTGACATATGGCTCCTCTTTCGCGATTCTATTTTTTGTATTTTTGTATTTTTTTTATTTTTTACTACCGTTTTTTAGCATTTCTCCCACTCGTTGTCGCCCCCTGGCATCCATCTCTATCCATCCATCCATCAGCTGGGCTCGCTGCCGTCTAGACGTTGGCACATAAAAGCCTTCGAGTCCTTCGTCCTGGGTTCTTTTTCCCACTTTCTCACGCTTCTGCCGCCGTGTCTGACACATTTTTTTGTAATTATGCGACAGATTCGTTTTTCAGTATGTTTTCTGATGCCTCTTCTCTTGTCGTTGTTGTTGGTGTTGGTGTTGTTCATCGCCTCCTCCACTCCTGGCATCATGGCATCCTGGCATCCTTCGGAAAAAAAGCAGTATCCTTTGTGCCGCGTTTTTAATGGCAACGCTTTGCGTGCCTAATTTGAAGCACACACGGCGCACATTAATGAGTGGAATTCAAGTAAAGGGTGAGGGGGGGACTGGTGAGGTATTGCAGGGGAGAAAGGTATGCGGGGGGATTATTAAAAGTTAAAAAAGGATATTTTTAAGAGGATTTATAAAGGAAATAAATATTTATGAAAAAATAATTATTTAATTATACCAAGTCCTTATAACCCAAATCCCAAATATTAAAAAAATTTATTTTTTAAGGGGGGACTTGGCCCCTTTAAAACTTTAAGGCCCACTGTGCACCAATACAGTGGGTGTGAAGAAGCGACATGCAAACATCTTGTGTGTCGGTATTATATGGCGACCCGTATGCGAGGCATGATTAAACAAGATTGAATCAAGCCAAGCGATGGGCGTGGCAGAGAGAGAGAGAGAGAGAGTGGTAGGGGGATCGAGGGAAATGC